GAAAATTAATGAAGGCACAGATGTTTAGTTCAGTTTTTATCTTTCCTTGTCTCTTTCGTTCAAAAAACTCAGTTAAGACATTAGATATGACTCTAATGTTTAAAATTTTGAGTTCTTAATATATGCTGAGGTCAAAATGTGTTTTTCTCCTTTCCATGAATTTATTACGATAAAATATTCTTATCTACGATAGGTCACATGTCTCTTCACTTGTTGGGCAGAGATGAACCAAATCTCGTTTTTTTTCTCTTTTCTTAATCAATATAATACTTATGTTTATAAACTTATTGAGTTTACAAAGTCCACAAATTGTAGCCATATAATAAGGCTTTACTTTGGCATAAATAAAAAATCGTAAAACGTGGCTCAACTCTGCCGAACTTCCCCTACTTTCATGACGAACTCTCATTTGAACGGTAAAGTCATTATTCGTCTCCGTGACTCGCGTCGGATGTGCGAGATGCAAATTAGTATCCTCATAACAGGCACGGATATCACGCTTTTAGATGCAGCGGGACGGCCAAGCAAACCGTCCCGTTTTCCGCAACAGACCTTTATACCCTTCATACACACGCGGCATTATAAATGAAACCGAATCGGAAGATCCGTCCCTTTCACGATCAATTTTGATCGTGAAAACGCGGACGTGCAACAAGCTCAGAAACCGCGCGTGTAATCACACACGAATGTATTCATCTCCGACAGGCTTGCTGGAGACAATCCTCCTCGACGTTATCGAATCGTAAATCGCGCCGAATCTCTCGCCCGTTCTCACGCGAGTAACGCGATGCGTACGCACAATCGTGCGAATGCTAATCACATACTTACCGTATTCTCGGAAAATACCGGCTCGGTACGATCGCTCGCTCCTAACGAGCCGTCTACTAAAAATCTGGCGAAAATCCGCCGTTAGCTTCGCCGCAACACGCATGCGCCCGCTGCCGGAGCGCGAACCTTAAAACGCCCGCCACGCGGCAATCAGCGGCGCGATCGGGCCGGAGCCCAAATAAGTGGGCATAACAAATGCCGTAGAATCGTCCGGTGAAGGTTTCGTCCCGATATCCCTTGCCGTTCGTGAGATATTAAATAGCCGTTTTTGGCGAGAGCGGCATAGGCCGCTGCGCGGCAGGGCAGCGCGAGCGCCATCGACGTCGCTTCTCGCGGCAGAAGCGTGTCAGGGCCTCTCGCTGCCAACGCGAGAGCGTCGGCCTTTGTGGCGAATCTACGCTATACGCGCGCGATTCGCGCGCGATACCGTGTCAGCTCGTCTCGTCGAAATTCGACGGTCTACCGTCGATCCGTCGCAAAAAAGAAAATGGCCCACTACGCGATAAATCTTGGTCCGGCATGAAACGATACGTTTGGGAAAGCTGTCGGTGAGTTTGACGGAAGCGAATCTGGACTAAATCGAGGGGTGTTGCCGTGGATGATTCTCGTTTGTATTTACCGTGTTTCGGAACTTTAACCTGTTCGTTTTGCTTTCGCCGTTTCACGATCGCTTGCTCGACCGGTCGCTGCGGAATGAAAGTAAACTTTTGCGAACGAACGCGCGTAGCTGTTCGACGACGCAACTCGACGCGAATCTCGACGCTCGCCCGGTTGATACAAGCGCGATGGCGATTTTACGGGATCCTTTCGCCGCGCGCGAATTTCAGCGGTCGAGCGAAGAGACATTGACACGTCATCGGAAAGTGTGACTTTATCTGACGAAACGTACAATCCCGAGCCGACTAACGTCGCTCGCGGGGAACATCTTCATTTTTCTGCGCGATTGTTACGTTGACGTTTCCAGCTTGATAGAGAACACAAACGTGTCCCATCCAGATATCGATATACGTTGCACTCGATATTTTCGCGCGCGGGATAATTATGTATCCGGGTGAAATCAACGGTCCACTTATATTTAATGAATGCCTCCAATGATGCGAGTTCAATCAACGCTGGACTCGATACGACACCGAGAGTCATCGCATGTTTCGGACTCGCCCCGAATGCATCCTGCTGTTCTCCATATTCCGCGTCGATTGGAATATTCGATAGGGCAAAGTTGATTGCATCCGCGCGTGGAACCTCGTCCACGCCTTCGCACGTTGCCTCCGCGTCAACAGCTCGACATTCCTGGCGCACGTAACATCGCGATAGGCCCGTAGCGAAGTAGAGTTACATAGTAAAAACTGCGATTAATGACGAGCAAGGACGACGGCGACGGCGACGGTGACGGCGGCGGTGGTGGTGGTGGTGGTGGCGGGCGTCGAAGGAACAAAGGAGGACATCGGCCGGTCCGGATAAAGGTGGGGAAGGGGAGAAGGCGATCGCTCGTACCCACGATACGCCATCTATGTGGACTACTCCGTGTGTATTCCAGGGTTGCGCAACGCAATGCCGCTCGTCACGCGTGGCCGTGTGCGCTTGATAACGCGCATTGCGCCCGCATTTTCCCATTTACGCACCACTCGCGGGGTAGCGCAGAGTGTTTCGTATGCATGGCGATTGATTGCGCCCGAAGGGGGAGGCAAGCCTTGTGCCGTTGGGAGTCGAGTAGGAGGAGCGGGCGTAAAGGGGAGATTGAGAGACAGGGAGAGCGAGAGCGAGCGAGCGAGAGAGAGAGAGAAAGAGCGCTATGGGGGGGACCCCGAAAGAGGGTACGCGAGATTTGCGCGAGAACGCGAACGACGGGAGCGACAGAGATGACAAACAGCGGGTGCGCCGCACAGAGGGTGAAAGCGGAGGGAGGGATTGCGACGAAGGGGCCAAGAAGACGCGAATACAAAGAGAAGGCGAAAGGGGGAAGAGACGAGAGACGGGACGAGCGAAAGAGAGGGACCGCGCAGGAAGAGAGAGCGAGAGCGCGCGCGGGAGAAGAAGAAAATCGCGCGCGCAGTAGTAGTTATGTAGAGAGAAGCGGCATCGCCGCACGGCTACTTGGCTCTCCAGGGCCAGGATATTTCAATACCGGCGGTGGTCGGCCACCGACGTGGGGCCGTACGGGGAAGGGGAGAATGACGACGACGACAACGACGACGGCGCGGTGCGGCGATAGGTATGTCGTGTGTACGTCCATGTGTCCGCGTTGTCCGTGTGTGTGTGTGTGTGAGACACACACTCTCTCTCTCTCTCTCTCTCTCTCTCACTCGCTCGCGCGCCTATGTATACGCGAGTCGCACGTATACATCCGACGGTATATAGTCCCCTCCTCCCTCCCGTTACCCACCCGCGTCCCCTCGTCTACGTGCCCGCCCTTCGCGGCGCGATATACACGGTTCGCGTCGTACGGCTTTACACGGTCGTTCGACGACGAGAAGAGAGGCCCCGGTGGCACGGTAGCGCGCTCCGCTATTCGGGTTTCCTGCGCGAGGGGTAGGAGCGTGAAGGGAACGGGTTCTGCCTCTATCTCTCTTCGGGGCGCGCGCGCGCTCGCGCGGAGGGGGAACGCTCTCTCTCTCTGTCTCTCTCTCTCTCACACACACCAAGAAACACAGAGACTCCGTGGTGTGTGGCGGGTCCGAGGGGTGGTAAGTAGTGGGCAAGGGTGAGAGGGGGCGGGGGGGCAAGCAGCAGAAGCCCGAGTGCGGCCGACGGGCTCGTCGGTAATGCCCGCCTTCGCGTTGCGTCGAGGGGAACCTACATGGGTTGTGCCAGACGGCGATTGGGCGCCCCGGCGAGTGGGGCTCGGGACATCGGTGGCGCCTCGAGGGCTCTGCCAATCGGGCGCTCCCGTCGTGGCATTTTTATCCTGCTATTTACGCCGAGGACGGAGAAGAACGGTTCCCCCGTCCGGTGTGCCGCGTTGTCTCCCTCGCACCCGGACGGTACGCGCGCGCCGTCTTGCTCGCACGCGCTCTCCTGTGTGGCTCGTCGGCGCAGGAGAGGACACTCTCGTTTCGGGATCCGTTGAGGTTGCACGCGTTTCCACGAGACCGCGACAAGAGTGTCCGCCGAGTCTAGTGTCGGGTGCATCGTCGCCGTCATCGTCGTCGTCATTCTCGTCATACATCGCGCTCTCTTGTGCTCTCTCACAGGTACGTGCTCCTCCGGATGACGAGGCTCGATTGAGTGTACTTCGTGATTTTTTCGTGTTCGCCGCTCATGGGATGCGGCGCGTACTACGATAGGTTTAGTCGTGCGCCGCGCTGTGTGTACTCGGGCTACAGTGTGTGACAGTACGTCGCAGGAGGATGCGACGTTGCCGGATGTCGTAGGCGCGAATACGCGTACACGGCTGTAACACGGTGAGGTCGCTGAAGAGAAGGAGGAGGAGGAGGAGGAGGAGTAGTAGTAGACGCGCACGCGCGCGCGCGCGAGCGAGCGAGCGAGTGAGCGAGCGCGCGTCCACGCTCCGACGGGAAGAAAGAGTGACAGAGACAGAGGGAGTGTGCGCGGCGTCGATCGATTTCGACTCGCGGCCGGAGGTGGAAAATCGCAAGCGTATGTCGACGTTGCTGGCGTTGCTACCGCCGCCGTTGCCGTCATCGTCGTCGTTGTCGCTGTGAACGAATTCTGATCATCGTAGAACGGTGTTGTACGCCAGTGACATTTGCGGTGTGCGGTGCTATCGACGAAACTGACTTGGCAACGTCGCATCGACTGCTCTCTCGCCACATACACGCAAACTCACACACGCGTGCGCGCGCGCATACACGTACCTAGAAGGGAACTTGGGGTGGCTGGCTGGTTGGCTAGCTGGCTGGTAAAGCAGGCAGGCACACAGGCAGGCAGGCAGGCTTAGCTAGCGGGCAAGCAAGCAGGGCAGGCAGGCAGCCAGGCAGGCAGACAAACAAGCAGGCAGGCAGAGACAGCTTTCTTGTTCCGAGGACGGCGCTCCTGGTCGTGCCGTCCTCTCTTTTCTACCTCCATTGCGCTTACTCTTCCTCTCCCTCAACCCCTCGCTACCTCCCTCGTCCTCGGTCGGCTGAATCGTTCTCTCCCTTTCTCTCTGCCTCCCTCTCTATCATCCGTCTCTGTTCCTCTCTCTCTCTCTCTCATTTTCTTTTTCTCTCTCTCTCTCTCTCTCTTTCTCTTTCAGTCTTCCCTTCGCGTTCACGCCGCACGTACCGTTGAGAGTCTCTCCCTTCCCCTGCCGCGGTCTTTCTCTGCCTCTCTACCCCCTCTCCTCTCCTAACCTCGAGCGGATCGGACGAGTCCATCGGGCTTGCGAAGGGGAGCTCGGCAGACCTCGGCCCTAGTCGGCCTCGATCCGCAGAATGCGTTAGACGCCGCGAGTCGATCGCTCCGGTTACCGTATACTCACGACCCGTGAACGTAGCACGTACGTCGCGGCGTTTGCGGGAGCCGTAACGCGTTACTTGTGCATTGCCGGGATCCGCGGCGGTCCTTACCGCTGCCAGTTTACGCGTTCGATTTGGACGCACTCGACCAGCGTATATCCGTGCGACGGCCATGTTTGGTGTTTACGACGTGAGGGGGGATCGTTGACGTCACGACGATTCGGACGGCCGATCTTGCCCGAACGGAGCGACGACTGCACGAACGACGGGACGAACGACAGCAGCACCAGCAACGACAGAAAACGTGTCTAGCGTTGTCGTGTCGTGCTGTACCGGCGGCGGCGCAACCGATATACACGACTCGCGCTCGCGCACAACAACGTGAGGAATCGCAGTATCGTCGTCGTCCGTCGTCGTCGTCGTCATCATCATCATTATTGTCATCGTCGTAACCGGAGCGCGACACAATCGAGACGAGAAGAAGGGAGACTTGCCTGTCGTGTCGTCGTCGTCGGTGTGTACGAAGCCGCACGAACACTCGCGGTGCACCGCACGCCGCCTGAGCGTGAAGTTGGCTCCTCTTCCGATGGGATCGACTTTGCTGCTCACTGTGCTCGCCGGTTCTGCCGCGACTACTGGCCTTTCCAAAAACATCGTGCGCATTTCCACCTCCTACTCTCGCTTCTCCGCCTCCGCCTATGTCGTCGCAACGTTGAAATAGCATCCCTTTAAACACCGGGCGGCGGCACCTCGCCACTCGCCACTCGCGCTCGTTCTCTTCCGATCGCCGACCGTTGCCGGAGAGCGGAGCATCGAACGATGCGTAGTAGCGCAGCGTTGTGTCGTCGTGCGTCGAGACACGAGCAGCAGGCGACGACGCCAGGCCGAGGATTGAACTCTGACTAATCGCGCAAGATCGTAGATCACGCGAACACGCCACGTGGTAATCGCGCACGTGTCTCACACTCGTCACGCGATACGTGTTGGTGTTGGGCGCATCGCGTCTCAAGAGTGACCGGACGACGCGAAGCCGACGACGACGACGACAACGTCGTCGTCGTCGTCTCGACGTGTCTCGCGCGATTGTACATTACCTAACCTACCTGCTTACGTACGCGCCAGTGTGCCGAACTCTGTCTCTTTTTGCCTGCCTCTCTCACTCACTCTCTCTCTCTCTCTCTCTCTCTAAAACTGCGTCGCTCGCTCGCTCGCTCGACTTGTCCGTGATCGATCTTGTTACGCAGGTGTGCCGGTGGTACATATGGTGTTTCACGAAGTGACGCGCAGACACGGATTAATCAGCAGTCCCTGCGGCCGGAATCTGCAATACGTGGATTAAGAATCGCTCGACGAGGGAACCATGGATCTGGGTGACAGGGTCTACGCCGCGGAGCGGATCACGAAGAAGAGGGAGAAACGGGTGAGTGTCGCCGACAGCCACGTTCAGGTGGCGCCACCGGATGGAATCCGTCCGCGCGCTGTTACCGCCTCTTTCCGCCCTCTCGGCCCCGCATGCCTCGTACCTCGTTCTCGTCTCTATCTTTCGCCTGGTCGACTTTTTTCTCGTATCTCATCTCTTTCTCTCTCCTCTCTCTCTCTCTCTCTCTCTCTCTCCCTCCCTCCCTCCCTCTTCCCCCTTCTCCCTACGACAGCCGGCTTCTCACGCGCGGCCACCTCCTCTACCGCGACAATTTATGCCGCGCTTGTAGACTCGAGGCATTTAAGTGCCAACAGGTATACGGGTCTGTTCAGCTCGGACGCACGTTCGTGTCGCCCGTGTGTACTTATCGAATCCGGAAGCACGGACATGGACATGGAGTTTACGGATCGACCGGTTTTCACACACGTGTTGCCGTCGGCGAGATTATCGATTCGGCCTCGTTACAAAACGCCGTGCAGGCGATTTCGCCGATACGCACCGGCATCAATCATACGCGGCTAGACTGACGGCGTGTGTCCCCCCTGCCCCCCCCCCCCCCGCGCCCCGCCCCGAAACATATGCTATTTGTCACGTTGAATGTGTGTCGAGGTGTACGCCGTACGAGAAAAAGAGAGAGAGTAAAATGTAAATATGAGAACTTTCCTCGCACGAGACGACTGGATTCTCCTTCGGAGGAGCGCGTCGATGCTCGACTTTTGGAGCGACGCCAATTATTGCGTACTCCCCTGTTATTTCCTTCCGTTCTCTCGCGGGGATCTACAACATTGTAGACGCAGTTTTGAGAGAAATATAACGCCGTATCGTAATCCTCTTTAAATAGACCGTCCGCGTCCCATGAGGGATTCGCATTCGCGCGTGTCCCCCCGCCGGACGCAAAATCAATTCTTTCGCGGTTACGCAATACGGAATGCGATTACTCTGTCGCGTAACTTCGCAGGAAACGGCGGAACGCGAAGGAAAATGCGAAAATTCGCCGTCGCGTTCTCACGTTCTCTCCTTCGCTCGGTCGAGGAACTCCGTTTCGACCGTTACGAATGGACTGGTGCGTAAAGCGCGCGCGCGCGCGATGTAACGCGCTCGTCGTGTTTTCAAGATGAGCATCTTGTCGCGTCTAGCGGCGAATGCGATAATGCGTTTGACACGTCGGACGCGTCAACGGGAACAGACTCTCGAGGCAGCTTAACCGCCGAAGAGTGTCTCAGCTGTCCTGTGTACAATCCTGGGTTAACGGGAGTCCGCGGCAGCGAACAATCGCTGACTGATGGGAGAAAGGTTCCGTATGGCGATCAACTGGTAGCGAGCGTGTTCTACGACACGGAACTTGGCGAACGCGCGCGACTCTCCCGAAATCGTCCACGCGAAGAGACTCACGCGAAGCTCGTCGTCGATCTTGCTTCGTGCATAGGTTCATAAGACTCGTAGTGTCGTGGGGCGCGATTTTGCGACTGCAGGATACCGCCGATGCGCGAGATGCGCCGCTGTAACTCCGCGCGCGAAGCCGCCCGAGGAACGCGCTCTTCTCCGACAGGCGAGGGCACTCGGCATCGAGGCGATTAGTCATCGCGACGTTAACGAACTTACAGTTGCCGCTAACAGATCAGCCGGTGATTTATTAAGCGATTCTGCTGCTCGGAGTCGCTCTCGTGCTCTGCGCGCGACGCGCTCCAGTAACGCCGAGGTTAGGCTCCGAGCAACCGACAACTTTGGACGCTTACTCGCCACGCTAAGTGCGAGTACTTGGACTCTCAGCGTAGAATGATACTCCATGAAGAGAGCTGAGATGTTCGCGTTCGACAGCCGAAGGCGATAGGAGTACGCGGAGTATGAGAATACTCTTGGAGTCTCGCGCTCGAAATTACACCCGGCCGGCTCCGCAAATCGACAAATCGACAAAGCGCGCGCGCGCCCGCGAGATGACACACGTGTCGAGCGGCAGAGTGCATTCATGCCTCGCGAATCGATGACACACGATTGTTACGCGCGCACGCACTATCGACACGTAACAATATCGGCCGGCTCTCTCGCCGGCGCGCGACTCCCGAAAGGATGACAGGCGGCGCGCGGCCGCGTTATCGCGAGGCGATCGCCTCGATCGACGCGGCTTTCGTTCTCGCCGCCCGTGACGTATCGCGCGTGTCATTGTTTTCCAACTGTCACATCGGACGGACGGCCTGTGTGTGAATCGCGATGAGCCGGCGAGTGCCGTTTCTGCCGTTGGCCCAGGGCCAATGGACATCGACGACACCAGCCGGTCGTGCTATCGCGACCGCGAGATGAATTCGGAAAGTCACACGCGTTTTCTCCACCACGCCTCCGAAAACCGACTCTCCATCTCTCTTTCTTTCTTTCTTTCTTTCTTTCTTTCTTTAGAAATACGAGCGCTATCGTCACACGAATCTTTGTCCGATTCCACGTAGCAGAATTCTCTGTAAGAGATTCCTGGAGCATTCACCGCGGTACCTCGATTTAGTTCGCTCTTAGGTGCGACATTGAGAAAACGGGCGAGAAAACTCGAATCTTATAATTTCGAAGGCGAGGCCGAATTGGTTCGGATTTATTTTCCAAAGTACGCAGACCAGGAAAGACCAGGCTCTTATCGTGCGCGTTGGTTGTTTGATTGTTGACGATCAGAGCTGGTATTTTCTACTCTTTCGCACGCCTCGCTTCTCCAGAGATCCCTCGATCTCGGCATATAAATGGACACGATTTGTCTGTTTATCTACGCGCGCGCACGATAAGTCAGATTTTACAGTGTAACCACCGATTGACAGGCGGCTAACGGCGCCAATGGCTTTCACCGATCGGCCGATTCTATCTGCGCCACGATGGTCGACGAGACGTAGAAAATTCCTCGCCAGGACGAACGACGTAATACAACGAGCGCCGCGTCCGCGTCGAATTAATTATCGCGCGATGATAGCTATAATAACGCATACACTGATAAGTGAATCGGCTTTCACCGATTGGCAGATCTTATCAGCAAATGATCGGTTGGACGGGCGCGATACGAGCGAGACGCGCGCGCGTAACACGTGGACGTAATGGTGTAATAATTCTGACGTTAATGCAGTCAGCGTAAGATAATGATAGATCTAATTATGAGTAAATGTGAAAGTGATTAATACGCGATTACGCGCTTTATCGATGGCGATTGCTTGCAGGGTAGTTATTCAAAGATTGGCGTCTCAGCGTAGGTATCGTAAAACACTGTAATTTACGGTACATAAACATAATGCGATAGTAGATATAAAAAGAGACATAGACGAGCCAGGAATATAATCGTCTTCCTTTCGGAACATTCTCTCTCTCTCCCCCCTCTCTCTCTCTCTCTCTCTATCTCTCTCTCTCTTTCTCTTCTCTCACTCTCACTGATGTATACAAAGCGCGGAAAATCGCCATTTCCTTCTCCATCACTATGTCAAGTATTATCGCCGTTTTTGCATCCGTTAATCACCTCACCATGACTCTCGTAACGATGCTGCATTTTTTTTTCTTTTTTTTTTTCTTTTTTTTTTTGAAACGTTCACCAATTAATTTGTCGTGGTGATTGGGGTGGCACAAATAGATATCCATGTGGTGGCGCAACGATAATTAAGAATAATGGAATGACAGCTCTCGTATGCGCTCTTTCACATTTCATTCGATGCAGTGTTATTCGTTGTATTTGCTGTCGATGCGTGATTATATTAAATGATTCGATAATTTATCTTCATTCTCTTATGTTTCGATTTGCTCCAACATTCGTAAATTTTTACAGCATAATCCATCACTTGGCGCAAATCCTCGATCATTCATTGAAGCACGTAATCGTGAAATGTTTTCGTGAAATGTTTGCGTTTCCACGTTCGTTAATCGTTGTTGATTACTTACTTATGTTTACCGTGACGTTTATTCTTTATTTCAGGGTAAGGTCGAGTACTTTGTCAAATGGAAAGGATGGAGTAAAAAGTGAGTACAAGGATTTATCATTGGACACGACTTGTGTAACGCTTGTGAATAGAGAATATATATGTATATATATATATTTTTTTTTAATTGCCTTTGTGTGTATTTTAGATACAACACATGGGAGCCAGAAGAGAATATCTTGGACGTCAGGTTAATCGAACTGTATGAAGAAAGTCAAAGAGGCGGAGATGTATCCACCAGAAGGCCAAGGCGAAGGGATACTAGATATAGTGTAAGAGCAAACGATATTTTCCCTCTAATATTAATATATTTTTCACAATATCGAGGAAGTTATGGTATCTGGTTTGATAAATGGTGTGAAAAACTGAACTTGGCGGAGGAAGACGTTGATGACTACGCACCCACAAATGGCACAGATTGATATTTCTGTAACAAATGCACCCATCGATTTTACATCATGATAAAAGTGGGGAAAATAGGAGAACACTCGAGAAGCGTAATAAATTATTTTTAAAGAGATGCTCGCTCTCTCTCTCTCTCTCTCTCTCTCTCTCTCTCCCCTCCGTAATACGTAGATAAATGCTATAACGTCTCGCAGAGTTATTGCTACATTGTATATATTCGATTACGAAGGCACACGGACCATCCATCACTTGCGCATTACACTGAATCGCTTTAATAGCTTAGCGTCTCGACGAACTTTACGGTGTTCCTCGGTGAGCGCGAATACAGAACTATTCGCGAAACTTTTTTTCATTTAGTAGGACAGTGTTCTGAACTTAGAAAAGCAGAGTTAAGAGGATAATGAAGTTGTGGATTTGATACGTGCTTCATGCATGCCATTTAATCGACGACAACTATATCACCTTCAGGAGCAGGCGCTGGCTAATCTCGTCGTGGAAGAGGAACCTGGCGGGGATGAAAGGGTGGGCGAAGATAGCCAGGACGAATCGACTACGGGTAGTACATCCGCGCCTCGTTTAAACCCAGTAGCACCCGATGAAGACACATTGCCGAGTTCCTTGGATGGTCATGAGTCGCCGACGCCGCCGGAGCTGTCATCGGCATTTCCCGTCGATTCCGAGAGTTCCAGCAGTAGCATGGACATTCCCTTGTTACCTAGAAGAGAACTCGCGGGTACTAAGAGGAAGGCGGAGGTGCTCAGCAAGGAGTCCGGCAAGATCGGCGTGACCATTACCACGAGCAGTCCCAGTAGCGGCAGTGGTAGCCCGCCACCAAACAAGGTTCCTCGGTTATTGCCTTTGAAAAACAACTCCGCGTCGCCGTCTTATGTAAGTGTCGATCGGCACAAAAAAGTAGAAATAGTCATCGTCGCGACGAAATTCAGTTTGGACGTTTCAGAGGCGTTGGTTGCTTCTTTATATTTTTTCGCAGCCTTGTACGATTAAGTTTCATAGTCTTGTATGACTTTGATAAACCTTCCTATGTACTTGTACACATCTACTTTAAAAGAGTAGATATTCGATGCTATCGAAAAGGGAATATGTGACATGACGAGATTGTTTAGCACAGAATAAGCTAATACTGCACCGAGGAACCGTACATTCAATCATAAAGTTCATATAGTACAACTCGTGTACATGGATTGTGCCGTGCGACGCTGAAGACGAGATATGTGTATGCAATTGATGAACACGCACTCTCTCGAGGTGTTAAAAACATTGTCGCGTACAAACATATTTGTCATAATCACAGGAAATTACTCCCTGCTTGTCCAATTCTTTTACGACAGGATTCCTCTGTAAATGCAATGATAAGCACAATTAATTTAGGACATCCTGCATAATGAGATCCTCCCCTGGCATTTTGTTGTCGCGTCTAATGCGGATGCACATGAAGAATACAGGGAACTTTTCGTTGCAGGGTCACAAGTTCAACGGTAAAAGGCCGTCGTCCTCCAGCGTGAAATCGACACCAGAGGAGCCGCTACCAGCGCTGCCGACGACACCGGCGCCTGCAGTGCAGGATAAGAAACGTCCAGAAGCCGACGTACCTCACGGCCCTCCGCCTTCGTTGCCGCGCACACCGTCTGCCCCATCGTCGCCCCAGATAGACACGCCTCTGGAGGAGCCGCCGGCGAAGAAGAGGCATCTGGAGCAGAAGCAGGAGAAGTCGAACGGCGCGGTCGCGGTCGACACGAACGGTCACAAGTCTCCCAGCCCCACAGACTCCTACACCAACAACAACAGGTTATCCACCGTTGTCAACGGTCACCACAGTCACAACAATAACAATAACAACAACAACAACAACAACAATAACAACAACAATGCGCCGAGTGTGAAACAAACCGAGATCCCCAAGTCGGAGACTATCTACGTGCCACTCTCGAGTCCCGACACGGATTACTGGCACGCGAGAAATCCCGTGGCGGATCAAGTGTTCATCACGGACGTTACCGTCAATCTGAAGACCGTTACCATCAGGGAGTGCAAGACTGAAAAGGGTTTCTTTCGCGAGAGAGATCCCAAGAACGATAATATCTATTAACGGTCCTGCTATCTGGCTATTCAGTGCGTGAGCGTCGGAGGAGGAGGAGTAGGAGTAGGAGGAGAAGGAGAAGGAGGAGGAAGAAGTGTCGCCTACAACTCTCCAAGTTGTATCTTGTACCCGTGTATATATAAATTATTTTCACACATCGGTTATTAAACCGCATGCTGTAATCAGCTAAGGATTAAACTTTATGAACGGAGGACAAAGTCGCAGTGTCAACGAGGACGGATATCGGATATCACGTGGAGATCTGCTACGAATTAACGGTAATCTGGAGTGAACGTTGGAGTGAATCGTTTCCCATCAATCGCTGTGAGAAATCTTTTTTCCAAACTGCAAATTGAACTGCGGGCTAGGTGTAAATCATTTGTAAAGACATCGGTGATGACATGTCGTTGGTACGGCGAATTTACTATCGACCCACGCGTCGTATCGCGATATATATATTGTATATTTTAAAAATGCTTGATAGATTTTAACACCGCTGAAGATCTGGAAACTTGTTAGGGGATACTACATCTTTTAGTTAATTTTATTGTTTGCTTGTATTAGGGAACTTCGCTAAGGAAATGCTATAAATAAAATTGTTCAACTTTCGTTTTTACCACGAGATATATACATATACGAGATATTACGAGATATATACTTAGAAAAAGAACAAAAAGTATTTTTCTAATTCGTTTTTAGAATATCGAAACTGCTTGGCTAAAGCAATTCGCGGAGAAATATTCCGAGTTTTCTGGGGAGAAAGATAAAAGGGAGGAGATAGTTTCCAAACATTACGATGTCGTACTCTATCGATAAAATCTTATTCACCGAAGGATGAGATGTCGCGAAAAGAAAAACGAGTGCATGTACTCGTATACTCGAAGAATTTGACAGTATTTTTAATAATTTGCAACGTGTCTCTTCGGTTCTCGATTTCGTTATGAGAAGCTAATCGACACGATATCGTTTGCCGAGAAATGCATTTCCGCGTCGTCGAATATTTCGTTCAAAGGTGTTTACAACTTACACGGAAAGCTTTCTTACCTCGAATATAATCGAGTATTTTCTATTTAGTGTAGGAGACAATTGCGCAAATCAGTCCCACGACAGTCTCGTGAACGTTTGGACGCACTAATGCGCACTAGTATAGACGGTTGTATATTGGCTGATTTGAGTGTACAGAATGCCTTCATTCGCCTCGATATTATATAACTTGTTAAATTTTACCCTTGTATTTAACTTTCTTCAAAGATTTACTGCTATCGTACCATCGAGCACTATTCAGAGACACATTCTTCGAACATCACACATTCGATAGAAAATTGTGTAAACTGTAGATGAAGAAGATTATTGACGACGGCCGTTGTGAAAAGTTTAATACGCCAATAAAATGTAGATATAAAACTTTGATTAATAAGATGTTGAATATACGTTTTATATTAAACAATACGACGGCATAAATAAGTATCTCGCTAATCGAAATTACATGTGTTTCGTATATTTGCGTGGGACAACTTTTAGTGCAGTGCGCAGTAGTGCATTCAACCGCGCAAATGCATCGCGTTTTTTTTTTTTTTTTAGTAAATCCATCTTATTTATATATTTTAATCGCGGAACACCGCCGAATTTTCGTAGGTCGTAGGTGACGAAGGAACGTCCCGAAGCACGAATTCGGTACAAAAGCCAAATTTTAAATACGTATTTGAAGCTTACACGCTGCTCCCTCAGATGTAATCAATTTTTAGTGATGCTGCAACACTCTGTGCATTTCGCGCGCTCTTTTTCAGTAAAATCCTGAAATGAATCCATATTATATAGAATTAAATTTATATATGTATGTTGCTTATTTATTATGATTAATACAAAAATTTTTAGATTTTTACGCTCTTAGTATAGTCGTAATTAGACTGCGTATGTGGATGTGTCCCATCTGAAAATTGCGATTTTGGTATTCGAAATCACGTTATACAATATCTTGCGTTAGCATAAAATCAGTAGTTTTTCCCCTCCAATGTATATCCGATGAATTTGCACACAGGAGTCTCGTAAAATCAGACAAGTTTTGTGATTGAGCATTGGATAGGGGTGGGATCAAGTGTACTCAAAATAATGTCAATATTATCTGCAGCATTTTCAGACCTTTTACTTTAAAATACAAAAAAATTAATGTATCTTATATATGCATACAGTAACAATGTTTTACAATTCGCTGCTGTAACTTTAATTATACTACTTTAACTTTTTAAATGACTCGTGTTCGAGTACAGAATGTCGTACAGAAACCGGCCCTCCATCATCTTATAATATTGATCTTCCTACTTTGAGCCTTCTGATTTAAATGTTACTGTTCGAAATTGTTACCTCAACATTTTCTCAGCAGGATTCTCACCTTTATTTGCAATAAGAAAATGTATCAAAGTTACGGTCGCAAAATGTATGTGTATGTATATTGATGTTATCGAGTAAAAGGACATAAAAAATGCTATTATGTTCACCATATCTCATAAAGTTTCGTTTATATTTCGTATCAATATTATTGGGTGTGTACTTCATTTTATATTTGATTACAGTTAGTTCTTTACAAGTACCTGAAATGTGATGGTATGTCTACGTATGTGTGCGCTCGCGTGTGTGTATGAATCCATTATTTTTAAACCATCTGATTTCAGTGAAATGTTATGCAATTAATTGAAACTTACGAGTACATAATTAAACTTGGTCCCATCCTTGATGATGAAGAAACGGGATTTTCTCCAAAGCGGGGCCATTTGTGTACGACTAAATCTAGATTTTGTTGTAATCATCGAGGCGAAGGAGAACGAAACAACATTTAAATTGTAATAATGTACCGCTGTATATTGAGAGTGTCTTGTAAAAATTGTAAATAGCCGGATGGAACACTTTACGCTTCGCTCGATAGACGGGCGGAGCGCGCGAGAACGGCTCGTAGGGTATACAAATCTTTGAGTTATCACTTGTACATAGATAAAAAGAAGCGGAAATCCTCTCCCAACTCGCCCCCTCTATTACCCATGAAATTAAAAAAATACAGGTCTATTTAGAGAGGGAGAATCCTTTTCTCTTAGCTTTAGAACTTTCAAGATAGACTGTGCGCGTACCTTCGAATATTGTTTCTGTACTTATAAATATTCAGACTACTTATACAATAAAAAAAAGAGAAGCGCGATAAGTGACTACGCAGGCATATACGATACGTGAACCCCGGTAGTATCAAATTCAACGGTAATTTTAGTTCTGTCTGGTACAGATTCCTTGTTTCAATAAAATTTACTTCAAGTCACGCTTCGCTTTTACAATCCATTATTTCCTCTTTACGCCCGATATAGCACTGGCATTACACAGTTGATTTATTAAGACATTAAAACTATAAATATCATTAATATAAGTAGATGTGTAATTACTAATAATAAGTGAAACATTATTCAACGTGAAACAAATGGCAAGTAAGATTTCTACCACATTTTGTAATTTATTAATGCTAAATGATTAAGGTTTGCACCAACTTGTACGCATGCATAGTATTATACCTAAGTGTCTTTTTAAATTTTGAGTTTGATACTAATTGACATTTACCATTGAAACCATTGAAAAGAGTTACCTAAAATGATCAAAATGTTTAATATTTGTTACATATGAAGATGGTATACTAACAACTGTGGTAGGGCTTTTATTTGTCATTTTTTTTACTATTAAATTTTTCTTTTTCAAAACAACTTTAAATAAGTATCATTAATCTTCAACGATTAAAGAAATTCTTAGTAAAGTAGAATTATATAATAGAATATATACACTGTACTCTGTAAATATTTATCAAGTATAATATGCGCACTGAAAAATATGATCACAATTATCCTAAGCGCCTTAGTGGTTTCTTTATTTATCTACTAGATGGCGCTTGTCGCAGAAACGCGCAAACTGCTTTGTGTCATCATGCTGATCATCGCAAAATTAGGTTAGGCTCTTGGTTCCGATATCGTTCTGTGAATTTTCACAGGTATGTGTAAAAAAATATGAATGAACGCGCGTGTGCTCTCGTTACAAACGGTAATCATACGGATATCGTTTTGATACCGTACAGGTAGAAGCAATTTTTACATATTTCTTCTAAAAACAATTTGATTATATGTTATTTTTTTTTGTATCTCTCTTGTTATATTTTTGTATCAATATTTACTTATAGTAATCGAACGCTGTTGATTATAACGCACTTCAAAAAGTTTGGAACATTATTGACGATAAACCGTGATTCATCTATTAACGGTGCATCTGTAGATGATGTACCTCTAAATACTAATAGCGATGTATTTACAATAAAGTAAGTGATAATGTGCTATAATGATTAAGGATATTCAGTGTTACTGATCTTGTTGAAATTTGCAGGACACATTTTGGTAGTGATAACAATGACGTTCACGTAGCTGCCAGATACATAGCACAACGAATTGACATTGAGAAGCCATTATTCTTGTCAATAGCATTAAAGGATTATAACATAGAGACTCTAAAAGCTATTGTCACTGCCATAAATCAGATAAAACCGTGGTAATTAAAAAAAGTTAGATAAAACACTACAATCTTATCGCCATGAGCATAATTTTTGGTCAACTGGTTATTGGCCCACCTGGCAGTGGGAAAACAACATACTGTAGTGCAATGTCCAAGTTTTTGGAATCCATTGGCAGAAAAGTGGCTGTTATTAATATTGGTGAATACATGTTATATTCTAATGGTTCTTTTTTGCTGGCTAAGTACAAATAATCATATTCTTCAGATCCAGCAAATGAAAACATGGAGTATACCCCAACTGTAGATATCTCTGAATTAATCCAACATGAAGAAGTCATGACACACTTTGGCCTTGGACCAAATGGCGCTTTAATTTACTGTATGGAGTTTTTAGAAACTAATGTACAGTGGCTGATTGCCAAAATTTTGAATTTGAAAGATTACTACATCATATTTGACTGCCCAGGTCAGGTGAGTTGTGACAATGCTGTTTAAGGTTGTTTCTTATAATCTATATAATACTGCTCGATGTATAATCTTTATTTAATATTTAAAAATAAAAAATAACAGGTTGAGTTATACACACATCACAAATCAATGAGCCAGATAGCAGAAAAATTGAATCAGAATGTAATGAGATTGTGTAGTGTACATCTTGTAGATTCTCATCATTGCAGTGATCCTGGTAAAAATTAATGCACATGCATTTACTTTGGTCATGTTAAATAAATAATTGCGTAACTGTTGATATGTGATTTACAGGAAAATATCTGTCGTCTCTGATTCTTTGCACAACAACAATGTTACAGCTAGGTTTGCCTCATATAAATGTTATGACAAAGTTTGATGAAATGACAAAATTTAGCAATTGCTTAGCTTTTAATGTAGATTTTTATACGGAAGTACTGGACCTGAATTATCTTTTGGAGAAATTGGATGAAGATCCCTCAACTTCAAAGTAAATTAAACATCATGTATCTAACTGGATATTGCGAATCTCTTACTAATTTATAAAATACTTTGCAAATCGCATGTGTAACCTTTTACAGGTATAAAAAATTAAACGCAGCATTGGTATCAATAATTGAAGACTACAGTCTTGTTAGTTTCGTACCACTAGATATTTCCAACAAAGCAATGTTATTGAAAGTGAAAAATGCCGTGGACAAAGCTAACGGATATATTTACGGTGGTAACGAGCCGCAAGATGTTCAAACGCTACTCGCATATGCAGTTGGGGCCATCAGTGAAACCGAGAAAACGTCGACATTGGATGAATATTTATGAAAATATTTTTCATTTCAATTCTTTAATTTTGAAATTTAACTTACGCTTATTTCTCATTTAATACATAAATCGCCGTTACATTTGTCATTATATAACAATATTTTGATGCACTGTGTATCATATCTATAAACAACAAATGCCACAAAGCTGACAAAAATATTCTTGTCGTGCATGTACCTCTCAATCCAATTGATTGACGAATATCTGCGCCAAGTCGTCATATTCATAAACTCTCTTTAGGAATGTGTCCGTCAGTTTTAGGCCGGAAACGGTCTGTAAGATTTGTTATTTATTTCTGCAGTGATACATATATATATTTTCAACATTTCTATAAACAAGCTACTCACAATGATACCTGTGTCCAGCGTGATTAAGCAGAGAGGTATGTCTATAGAAGCTCCAGGTTTCAGAGTACCGATTGTCATATCCGACATTCCACACCAAGCTATAGAATTGTTCGATTCTAAACTCAACAACAGATCCATACTTCTTTCTCTGCAAGCAGGTGAAAGGACTATCACTAACAATCCTGCAGCGATTACAATCGTGTACACTTTCAAATCGTAATTGCAACTTACGAGGTATTTATTATATGACATTTGCAATTCACTGGTTCTTCCAGATAGACTTTCAAAGGAATGTCTTTTAAAGTGACCCTTAAATCTCCGTACTCAGGTGCCTAGAACAGCATTGTACACTTATTAACACATGTTAATGTATTCTCGCTCCTCAGTAGGTGATGCGTGACGTACCATCCTTTGCAACTGACTTGTCTGCAACCTTCCTCTCTCTCCCAGATTACTCCGCCACACGATATCCAATTTACCGATATTTGTGGCATTCTGCATCATTTTGGGATCTTTCAGTAAGCTCGGCTGCGGTTTTAAACAATACAGATATTGTCTGCTACAGCTTGTATCCAGTAGATTCACGCTTCCGTAGATAGATTTTTCTTCATCGTTCGTATTTAATGTGGTCACTAAAATGTTATGCAAAATGTAATACAATATGCAAGACTATCGATTAATATCATGAAACCAATGAGAGATTACCGCTAAATAAATGAGATGATTCCAGAGCAACTTTCTCTAAACAAATTGGCCCAGCTGTTAGATTCTGAATTTGTGCCTCAAGATATACCTCATCTGACTACAAAAGAGTAATGTTATTCTGAGGATAATAATTTATATGGTAAAAAATATTTGCGTGTAATAATAACGGTACAATGATACATAAGCGTTACCTCAGCATTATAAAATTTAGTTTTTACATCTAATGGCTTGACCACTTGAAATTTGAAATATTTTCTAAATGACAATGGAGGTCCGACTTGATTTGCACAGATATAAGACACTTCACAAACCAATCTAAAAAATATAAAAAAAGTGGTTTTTTTATTTATGTATAAAAATATAGTTATATGGAAGATTTTAAGATACTTACATATGTGTACCTATTTCCTTCACTTCATGATGAATTACTTCATCTACTGTACTATCAGGTGCTAATTCTTTCCCTTCTAGATTATTACCAGAAAGAGAAATTATCTGTGTGCTTGTTTGTAAATCTGCCTATGGAGTTTAGAAGTGATATTAAAATCTGACAGTATACCAAAAAACATGTTATACAAGTGAATAAAATAAGGAAGTTATTATTTTGAAATAATTGCAACATACAATTGAAACTTACATAATAAACTTACTTTTACAATAACATTTTTTACAACTTGATTGCTACCATTATGTACACATAGATAACTGGAAAATATTTCTCCTAGATATATGTTTCTGAAATGATAAATATCACTTGTACAATATCATAAAACACTTTTGTTTCCTACGGATGAACACAAAATAATATTGGTAGAGACATACCCAAAACTCTGAGGTAGTACCATAAATTGTCCTATAGCAAGTGCTTCCATACCTTGCAAAGCTGTGCAATCATTTTTGAGTTCGTTATTTAGTGTATTACCTGGTAAATCTGTTGAATCACACGTAACAACTACAGGACTTGCTAGAGTGGGTCTTGTCAATCTCATTACTGTAAAAAGTAACTTTTATGTGACTCTTATAGAGATAATTTTTATATATCATCTAATATTAATAATTTTAATGTATTTCTAATAAATTTAAAGATACTAAATTTTTATTGTATCCAAATATATTGCCTTTTAAAGCTAGTAAATGTTCACTTTTTGCTTTAACTTCCATTTTCCAAATAAATTACGGAATCAATGAACCAGACACTTGATATCCTTGCAGTATTTAAAATATTCTGCATCAGACATCTGTCACTTTAGAAACCTAACCTAACCTTACTCCCTCTTTCTCTCTCTCTCTCTCTTTCCCTCTCACCCTCTCTTTCTCTCTCTCTCTCTCTCTCTCTCAATGTGACTACAGGCACCGACGAGGTAATATAAAGACTGATAGTCCTGGGTAAATTTTCGTATCAACCAAGGGGGCCCGAAGAGCCCGGAGGTAATTGAAGAGCAATAATAATACCGACTGCTTTAGCTACGCTCAAGATAATACATACAAATAGCAACAAATAGCCAGCAGTTATTGAATCGATTAGGCTACGCTGTGATCCGAACGGCTGCGACGCTTCTCCAATCATTTATCCCGGCGTGCGCTTACTCGTTAAAATTTCTGTAATTAATAATTGCTAAACTATTAAGAATATCGCAAAACAGTATGGGACTTTTATATTAGTATTAACCCGCTTTATGTCTCCACGAGCTCTGCAACAATTGTTAGGAGATACATTGTATATAGGGTATCGCAGAACAATTTTTACGACGACGACGACGACGATACGGGCTTAAGACTTCCCCTACGCCATTCCTGGAACCTAACCTTAAATCAGCGGCACACGGTGCTTGTTTTCATCCAGCAAGCAATCCGGCACGAAAACAAGCACCGTGTGCCGCTGGCTTAATAGTAGCTGGAATGAATAGTCGATTAATCGAAGTAATCGAAAGTAAACTCGATATATAATTTTAAATGTAAAATCTCTTCTTTCATTCTCTCATAAGAATTATTCAAATTTACTATACATAATTTTTATTTATTGTAGATATTCACTTGATTAATTAAATTCACTCGTTATTTCTATATAAAAGATCTTTAAGGTAAATTCTTTTTGCAATTTAATCGTTGAATCTATGTAAATAAAGGGATAAAGAGGCAAATATATATATGGATTCACTTTATATTTCTTTTGTTGATACTAGAATATAAAAGTAGAAGTATTAATGCAAAAAGCAATACAGTTTCCGTTGTTCCCGATGGGCCGTACATTACCTTAAGCCGATATCTATAACAAAAAAAGTATCAGGAGGAAGCGGTATGGCCACTAGTTGAAATCGCGAGCAACTTATTTCATAAGATGAAATTAACAGACTGTATTGTAATTTCTAATTATAATTACGTGTCCGTTATATTGTAACGCAAATAATTGTCGTTTTTTGCATCAGGTATTATTCATTTGTCGCTGACACGTACGAAAATAACCTCTCTTTATGGCATTCAAAATTTTGGGAATCGAGCCAGCGAGCTGGATGGATTTGCTATAATTGCGCTCTTGATATAATTATCGCTTTATATTTACGCGTTATGTAACTATTACAGTTTCGAGCTAGATACAATACTGTTATTTCAATCGAACGTGACTCACCTTGTGTACACTATATAACCTAAGTGTTCCACACAACACATGTATACATTTCTTAGGTTGACCGTTTTATTTGATTTTCAGTATACTATAAACAGACAAGTATGTTCAATCAAAGAATTATAGCAATTTGCTTCCTCGTGTGTTTCGCAATAGTATTTAATTTTTCTCTTCATCGAATCGAGGAGGGTCATGTTGGGGTGTACTTTAGGGTAAGTTTTAATTATAATATTTTTTCTATTGCATCCAAAATCATACAGTATTCCTCAGCTATTTCGTGAATTTTTATCAGGGAGGTGCATTGTTACCTCAAGTGAGCAATCCAGGTTTTCACATGATGATACCATTATTAACAACTTATCGTTCAGTTCAAGTAACTCTGCAGACAGATGAAGTAAAGAATGTGCCATGTGGAACTAGTGGTGGTGTAATGATCTATTTCGATCGTATAGAAGTTGTGAACATATTAGATGCAAATAGTGGTGAGTCTTTTCGAGCAATTCAATCCCTTAATACTTCATAAAACTATTGTTTATATTCCCATGCTATAACATATATTTGTTTTTGCAGTATACAACATGGTGAGAAACTTCACAGCGGATTATGACCGTACATTAATTTTCAATAAAGTACATCATGAGTTAAATCAGTTTTGTTCTGTGCACACATTGCATGAAGTATACATCGACTTATTTGACCAAATCGATGAGAACCTCAAGACTGCGCTTCAAAAGGATTTGAATGAATTAGCACCTGGTCTTAATATACAAGCTGTCAGAGTGACAAAACCAAAGATTCCTGAGACAATCAGGAAAAATTACGAATTAATGTAAGTAATTATTTCATTAATTTTCAATTCAATTTTCTTCAAATCTCATTTCTGACATATTTTTATATTTTATATTAACTTATCTCACATTTTATGTTTTAGGGAAGCAGAGAAGACAAAGCTGCTAATATCCACGCAACATCAAAAAGTAGTAGAAAAAGATGCAGAGACTGATCGCAAGAAGGCAGTCATTGAAGCAGAGAAGGAAGCACAAGTTGCAAAGATTCAGTACAATCAAAAGATTATGGAGAAGGAATCGCTGCAACAAATGGCAGCAATTGAAGATAAGATGCATTTAGCAAGACAGAAGAGCCGTTCGGATGCTGAGTTCTACCAGATGAAGATGCAAGCTGAGGCGAATCAACTATTATTGTCTAAAGAATTTCTAGAACTAAAGAAGTACGAATCTTTGGCACATAACGCGAAGATATATTACGGGCATGACATTCCAAAAATGTTCGCCTATGGAGATTGTGCGCACGATTCCAGTTCTGTCACCAGCGCAAATGTCGAAAATAAGTCATGAACAACAGATAATCCGGACCCTGTTTCATTGATCACACACATCATATTAATATATGGAATGAAATGGTTGATTTTATTAGCCGAAGCAGTCAATACTCTCAGGACATGTGAGTGCAAAGTTTCTGTGGAGAGCTTCAAACTGTTTACAACTTACAGTGACGTGCGACTATATCTTCAAGGCGAGTGTGTTACCTGTTCCTCCGAATTAACTGTGACGTGTGGAATTAAATTTCTTTTGTATACCTATATCTATTTATTAAATCTATACAGATGAATACATCGTAAATACAGTATAAGTATACGACTTATTCTCCTGTTTGTTATTATTATTACGCAGTAACAGATAATTTTTTTTCTCACGACAGTATGTCATTACACGACAATTGAGTAATTATCATATATTAACAATAATAATAATAATAATAATAATAACTTATAAAGAGAAATATCCCGTTCATCGTGACATGTTACTTGATCTTCTTGTGGTTCTCTTTCGCTCTACGCACATGGACTTTCGTTTCTTCCGGTGGTAGAGATTTCACATCGCCTATGTTCTGATTTAGCGTTCGTAATTCTTCCAGCGCTCGCTTAGCCAATTTCCCTTCCGGAGTTGTTGCAGGCTCCAAGAGAAGCATAGTCAGAGCTTTCTTTAGAAGATCTCTGGCCTCTTCTAGTTGACACGCCAATTGTGTGGACGAAATCTCGCGAGCGGAGTATGATCGATTCGCCAATATTATCATGGGCAAATGCATTTCGTATAACATTATGCCTGAAAAATTGGTACTCACGATAATCACATAATCATATACGACTTGATGATAATAGAATATTGTTATTACAGACACGTAAGATATTGTTGTTAGAGTATTACTGAAATGTTTCTGATGTTTTCCAGATGCTTGTATTCTACTTGAAAAAATTGGGCTTATCACGAGCCACAGGATACAAATAAAAGATACAGCCACAGATAAAATTCTAAGAAAACGCGCAATGAGATTATGCGTGCTCGTACCTTTCAAACGCGATATGCCCGGCTCCACTATATCCAATACGCTGTAGATTTCTTTACACGTGTCCAACATCTTTTGTATAATCTTCTTCTGAGGATTTGGAGATGTCATCTCTTTCCTGCATGTCGCCAGTAACTTCTGCTTCAAGGACAGCATCAGGAAGTGATTGGTGTGCAACGATCGGGATAATTTTTTAAGCAAGCCATCTAGACTCTGCAAATCACCAGGTCACGGCAAAGGTTACGTGGGGAAAAATGTAAGAGCTAAATGTGTTTTAAAAGTCAATCATCGCGAACTTTTATATCGATGTCCTCGCACTCCTCGATGAGCGTCCTACAGATATTCAGCGTAGCTCTGATAAGACGGCCGCCGTAGGTCCGCTTGCATGTCTGACACTGCCATCGACTCTCCCGCGCATACGGGTCGACGATTGAAGTATCTTGCATTTCTATGAATCCCTTCTTGCAACGTGGGCACAGCAAACTGCTCAAGTGCGACTGCAACTCGCAAGAGTCCTTACACAAATCGCATTCGCATTCGAAGTACTTGCCCTCGCGAAGATGCTCTCTTCTGTCGGCTGTGCCCTGATTAACAAGTATAAATAATGTATAAATAATGGGTCTGTTCTTTTTTGAAGAACTTCTGAAGTAATGCGATAAATTAGGGTGAGAGAAAATATATTTGTTTCACTCTAACTTATTGCACTAGTTCAGAAATTCTTAAAAAAAGAACAAGCCTATTGTTACAGAATAAAACAATTTCTTCTTTAAGCTTGGAGCTTCTTCACTCAGCACAGCTTCGTTATCGGCAGAGCAATGACAAGTAGCTTCTTTTAATAAGAAACGTGGGACAAAGAAAAGTGGGAAATGTGCTTCGAACAGCGAATGACAGATATATCACTCTCAGTTAGGTTCATGTTTACGAAACAATGAACTGACCAGCAGCGACGAAGTGTAATTGAAAAGAATAGGCTCGTTTTCCCCGATTGCCACGCTCGCATAAACGGTCAACCGGAAATCATCGTCCACGGTGAGATGAGTGTTGCCTCTGCAGTCGTGAGCCATCAGGGCTGCCTCAACATATAAACCCCGAAGAAGAAGACCATCGAGAGCACCGGGTGATCGCAGCTCGAAGGTATTCACGTCTAAAATGCCGCACAATTTCTGCATTAATTCCGCACTGGGTGGCTCGATTCCATCAGGTACGCGGAGCATTCGAATCACCTATACATACATACATACATACGTACATACATCATCCACATATTGAGTGTTGCGGCTTAATGAGAGCGTCTGAATACCTCCGACGTTCTTCAAGTAAAAGAGGGAAGCGGGAGAGACTCTTGCGTGACTCAAAGAAACGAAAAGTACGACGATGATAGAAGAGAAATTTTCCATGAGGTAATTTTTAATCAAATCCTCAAAATAAATCATCAGAGGAAGCGATCGGTTTTGTGCAAGAGATTGACGGTTTGAAACTTGAAGTACTTGCGAAATATCGATTGAATTATCTCATCTGTACAAAAATCTATGTAAGAACTATCTATGTAAGAACACGTATGAAGCAGAAGCTTCCGAATTATTTGCGGCTCGCTTCGCGCCGAAGGTGGGGATCCACGTCGAACATTTAGCGCGCATAATTTCGTTCACTGGCGACTCACATTCACCACATTGACTTCTCTGTCCTTCCAGACGGGCGTACCCATCCTCTCGTGCAGATGGTCCTCCATGTGGTCTACCTGTTCCCACACAGCCGGATTCCTACATTTTATCAGCCATAATCGCAGCGCCAACAAAATCCCCGTCGCGTCGATTCCGTTCTTCGCCAGGAGATCTCGATTCTCCCCGAGTATCAAGCACTCGTCGCTCGTATGATGCTTCGTCCGCGTCTTGAAAGATAGCGAGGAGAAGAAGCGTTATATTTCGATACGTTGCGTTCCGCAATGCGGCGGTTCTCAAACTCTCTCGCTGGAGCTTTCTTTATTAGGTGAGCGAAATTGCGCGGCGCGTGCTGACACCAGTTGCGCACGTATCTTCCCCAAACGACCGTCGCTCGCGTTAAACGCGTCCGGACTGCTGGCGAATGCGTGTTTCCTTGCTCCGCACAGTCGCGCATTTCTCACACGAATATCCTAGAACTTTGAGAATCGCCGGTATGTAATGTATTCTGGCATATACTACCTCGCACGCTACGCTGCACAGCGGCGCGAGGTTACATCTAGAGCAAACGTATTGTCTTCCGATCTTCGATAACGAGCGCAGGCATGCAAAGCACAAGCGGTCCTTCCTGTACGTCATCGGACCGACCGCGATCGGTTCCTCGCGAATGATGACTTCTCCTGCCGCTATATTTTTAGCTGCTACGAGGTATCTGGTGACAGCAAAGAAGTATGAGTGCAGCGTGAGCTGTCGATCGCGCAGTGATAGATACACGTACACGACTTGCTCCTCCTCGATACAATTGCGAGATGGTGTCTATTTCGATCGAGAAGGCGCTAAATTTACCGTCAAAGATAGCGTCCTGCACGCGAGTTGTCTTTTTCTCCTTGCGAAAACTCGCAACTCGTGTCAAGAAGCAGCACGCGTGCGTTTAACGACCGACGGTTATTCGGCGGATAAAGATCGTGTGACTAATCGCGAATGCATTGTCGTGTATTAACAGAGCGCAATTTTTGTTTACACGCGCGCGGTGATGTACAACCGAGACGTAAATCATGCTTATTAGCGACGTGCTTAATTACACGGTAGTCGTACCTGCCAAGTCTTCCCGAATGCGTAACTTTATACTTCGGAATGGGCGCCATAATTTATCCGAATTACTTCCTTCGAGTTTGCGATTGTCGACCCGTAACTGGCATGGGGAAGCGGACGCCAGTAATATGAACCGTCTTCCTCCGGTACACACGCGACGCACTGTATTATTAGACACCGGTGGAATCGCGCGCGCTACACTCTGCGCGATACAAGGTGATGCACACGGTTACAGCTTTATGGCGCAATCAAATCGCTGTCAAATCCGAGATGCACTATCTCACGACGATCGCGAATCTAATTAATTGCCCCGCGTTGAGATGACCAGCGCCGTGCAATTATGACTTGCGATATTACCAGAGAGGATTAAGATGCGAATGACTCCTGCGCAATTCTTCGTCGATTCGGCCGCCTCACAAGGTCACGTTGAGCAATCGACGACGAGAGTTGCGGAATTCGGTATTAACGTCGCCAAATTTTGGGATCTGCGTCCGTTGAGGACGATGAAAAGAGAAAATACGTAAAGGTGTGAGTTTATTGGTAAACAAGTTCGCACAAGTAAGAATATATTTACACAACGAATATATTTATAAATTATTTATGGATTCTTCCAATTGGATCAGGGACTCCTTGGCGACGAGTCCTATCTGCCCCTCTGCCGTCTCCGGCGATTCCAATGTTAATATCGTGGCCGCCTCTTTTAGGATGTTTGCGGCTTCCGTCATCTTGGACTTTAGACCGGCTTCGTCGATGACATCGGCATTCCATTGGCCTTTAGCTAGGAAGAGTAACGGTGCGTGCAGCTCGTATAACGTCATACCTGTCGAAAAAAGATGAGGTAATTAATTATCTACACGTCTGGGCGCGCAGGCATGTGCGTACCTCTTATACGACTGTATCCGGGCTCCACCACGTCCAATATCTGAAGTAACAAACGACACATGTCGACTTTGTGCTCCAACACGACGTCCGGCAGATCGTCCAATAAATACTCGTCAACTCGGCCGTACATTTGAGTCAACGAATGCCTGTCAAACACGATATATCATAAGTACTCATTCCTTTGACCTGTATTCATTGTTTGTCATCCGATCATCTCGGATAACAAACTCGCAAAAGAAAAAAGAACAACTTACGATGACGAGGGAACAATTGTAAAAATTCACTTTTTCATCATTTTCTCGTCATTTCGGTCATCATTTTGATGTACTCGCGATTTCATATTCTACTTTTGGTATCTCACGTAAACTATTTTATCGACAATAAATTATCTAAACCAATAAGATTGATTATTTAAGGCTTGTTATTTTATTTTATTTTATTGAGTCAGAGTCGAAAGATTCGGGATTCTTCATCGACCGAGTACTCGAGTTGTTCTTGTCTGACCTTCTGGGTCGACGTTCTGGAACCGTGGACCGGTTTCCACTGTCGAAGAAGAACGGAAAATCGAACGAAACTTTTGACTGACGCAATATTCTTGTGGGATAACGTTCCGATGTCCAATTTCCTAGTTACTTCAACGTGACTCTTTTTCCCAGGTGATATCCAAATAGACAGCACTAGTTTTCGACGCAACTACGCACTACGTACCTCAGTATCGTGAGGAAAGCGTGACGAGGATGCAGAACTGATCGATACTTCCTCAGAACGGTCTCTCTCTCGTGAATCGCATCGGCTCCGTCAGCCCCGCTGATGGCCTCAACGTTATCTACTTCCGCTTGGATGATCCGGAAGACTTTGCGCACCGCTTGCCCGTTGATGGAGTACTCGCAATGCGTACACTTCCACGCGCTTTCCGCATCTAAAAACCGTACAGGTACGTGATCGAGTGTTAATATTTCGCTTGAATTTAGAGACCTGACGTATTATGAAGTAACATCGATTTCGATCATTAGCAGAAATTATATCCTAATGAGTAAAATGTATTAGCAGCCAATTTGTCATCATACGCTACTGGCAAATCCTGTTTTACCTCTACCAGCAAGCTACCGACACAATTTACAACTGCACAAAATCTGCTTCAGGTTTGGCTCTGAACTCTGGGTAAGAGATCGATACATCCGGTCGATGTGTGTATCGCCGTACCTAAGGAATCCAGCGGCAGGACGATTCCGTTGTCGCATTTGTTGCACTTGAGCGAGGACATGTGGGTGGCCAATTCCGTGGGATCTGAGCATCGCGGGCAAGCGCAGGCGAAGTGTTTGCCCTCGAGCAGGTGTTCGCGCCGCAGCAGCGTCGGAAGCAACGAGTGCGTGTAACTCGCGTAAAGTTCACCGGCCGCCGGGATTTTGAGCGTGGTGCGCAGTCGTATCCTGTAGGTGCAAAAACCGCGCGCGTAATTATGCCATTCGTACGATAGGAGCGTATCCTCATCAGCATAATGAACGACGTGAGATTTCCCGACGAGGATGCGGGCATTAATTGAGGAAGGCGTGTACGCGTGTGCGTAGGTAAAAGCGCAGACGGCTTAAGAGATATTATGCAAGGAGCGGAGGAGACTTTTTTTCCCTCGGATAAAGTCAACATCGCGTCTGAGGATCCAGACGAACGGTCGAGTTTCGTCGAAGTTCAATTTCCGGCGCGACCGAGAAGTTGTGTTTATCCGCCGTCCTTTCATTTTCACGGTTAACAATAGAACTAACGAACACTCAGGTAAGATAGAAAATCATAATATAACGTTGATGCCATCTCGAAATTTTATTTAATAATACTATTGAATATTAATTTGTTAAATATTCGATTAAGTAGCGGAATATCTAATATAAAATTAATATTTAATATTCAATAGAACCAGTAATATTTATTTGTATAAAAATTCAATTTTTTCATCATGATTTGGTCATTTTCTCGTCATTTTGATGTCATGATTTTCTATTCTGCTTGGAAATTTACATTTACATCTCTTTTTCCCGTCATTTTAAGGTCATTTTGGAGTCATCGTGAATCGGTAATTCTAGCGTTAAAGACTAACGAGATAAGAGATAGACGTTCTCGCTACAGTGTCTACAGTGTCGGAATTTGAATCAGAACCAGTATTAAGTTACGTGAAAACCGAAATATCGCACCTGTAATCGATCGGCGATATGGTATGGGACATGTTTGAGACGCACGAGTGGTTCATCATGGCGACCGTCGGATAAAGAGCCCGCGCGCTGTATCCTTTCGCCGTCCGAATTTCGAACGTGTTAATCTCCAGAATTCCGCATGCCATTTGTATGCACTCCTCCGAGAATCTACACCCACGAAAATTCATCAGAATTTATCCAGAATTTATCCATCAACGACAATCGCGCGAATAGATATTGTTAATTTATACCTGTCGAGTTTAAGTCGCTTCCTCAGGTACTCGACGATGTTGACGTGATCCGACTTCCATTGCGACTTTTGACATCTTATCTTAGTATGCGCCTCCATGTCCCTCACTTCGCTGTTCCATCTCTCGACACTCTTTTCCGACTCTAACAGAAGCCTCAACGGCGTTATACATTCTAATTGTGGCACGCCATTTTCATTGTTCTCATCCAGCGCGGCGGTTACGTTGAACTTCTCGTTCGCCTGCACGAACACCTGCCGGCGGAAAATTGATCCTTGCATACGCGAGACACAGTTACGCACAAAGCCGCATTCGCGGCTGGGATATTACAGCAATTTGCAATTAAGCCCAATAACTTTAAATACAACAAAGAATACTACTAATTAACATGACAGATATAAGAAAGAAGAAAAGACAAAAACACGCCAGATGTTTTGCCGTGCGTTTAATCGCGCTTGAACTTCACCGGTCTCTCTCTCTCTCTCCCTCTCATTGCATTGACCCTGCACGAGCGATATTCGCATTTCTCGCATTCTACATTCCGTTATTCGCATTTACCTGACACTCGTAATCTTTATGTTGCAGCGAATTCTCGCATTCCTCGCCGCAAACTGGCCAACCGCACTTGGAGCACAGCGGTTTGTCATCTGGACTAGGCGGCCAGGGTGTATAGCAGGCGAGGCACAAGGGATAGGTGCATGCTTTTGGGCCGACGACGAATGGCATCTCCGTCATGATCTCCTCGCCAGCCTGCAGTTCTCTGCTCGCGACCATGTATCTGAAAACATGATGTGACTGTGTGCTACACAAATAAACGTTAATTGCATCACGGGCAATTAAAGCGACTATATTCGGATCGTGCTATCTTGTTTTCCACGATATCATCTTTCACTGCGTTAGAGCAATTGGGAGATACCTATTGTGTGAACTACCGTGATTTATCTATCCCAGCATTTCAGGTAGCTCACTTGAGGAGAATGCTTGACGTTAACGTGCGATTTCTACTCGAGTAAATTAACTTCTTTCCGAAGCGTTTCTCGTAGCTTGAAACTAACATGCGTCTCTTTCTCATACTTCTTCAGACGGTTCAGCCGCTCCGCTTACCTGCCAACTTGATCGCTCCGGAGCACCTTGTACGCCTGCGACGTGGATTCCGCTTCCGCGGCGCCGCTACTTCCCTGTAACATTCATACACCGCTGATACTAAGAAACTATACCTGTGGCTGAAGTAATTATCGGACCGTGTGACAAGTAATTTCTCTTGAGAAAATCTATCGGAATGCCCGAAATTACTTATTACCTATTTACTTAATTTTTTTCTTTTTACTTTTGCTCAAGCCAAAATATATACGGCGAAACGTTACACTATCTTGTCACGAGAACTTCGCAAATATTTGTAGAGATAATATAAATGATGGACGACGAAGGACACACTTACCGATTTCTGCGACATTTTGATCGAAAATCGGATACTCTCGCCGGTGAAACTTGCCGATTTTCTTTTCTCACATCAGAGCGGACGATATTGTGGCGATCGAAACGTTCGTATTTGCACTGAATAAAGACCTCGCTTACTGCGCGATTTATATCCACGGCTTCTTAAAAATACCGCATCTCTCAGCTCTGCCAATGGTATAATCTAGATTGTACTAGACGAGACGTTCGCGTCGCGGCGCTTCGGACGAGACGCGTTGTGATCGGACACGTTGCGTGTCGTCATTACCATGCCTGACTGATGTATTTTTGGAGCTTCTAACGTACAGGAAGATCCAAAAGCTTCTATCGTTTTTGCGCGTAAGCAAAAGTGCGCAAGCTGTATAGCGATTGCCATCTTCTAACGCACGTCTCGTTGTCTACATCATTTTTATAATTGAGTGAAAATAATACAATACATATAGGATTCCCAAGTTACAATACAAAACACCTGATTTTTTAATTGAAACTGAAATTCTAATTCCTGGTGTCGCGTTTCACTGCGAAACGATAACAGAAAGAGAAGAATTACAAAGAAATACAAAATTTCGCCGGAAAGAGAAGAAAAGGGAAGCGAACGTATTCAGAAACGAAGAGATTTTAATGATGCATCATTTTGTAAGTGAAGTTTTACTTGCGTATCAATATCTTGTATCTTTTATTTGTCAGTATCTTTTTCTGTACTTTTTAAAATTACTTTAAAATTTTAAAATACTTTTTAAAATTTTAATTACATTTTTACGAGGAACTCTATGATAACGATGATTCAAACGTGGCGGAATATTACGTTGCATTATGCTTGCGCAGAAATAGGTTGAATATCTTTTTTTTTCAAGCGCCTTGCTATTGCGCACGCGCCGACAGCGTGGGTCGTGGCTCTCTCTCTCTTGGTACTCTCCTCGCCGCTCCGTCGCCTCTCACGAAGACGTACGACAAAGTTGCGCATTTTTCCGCCGCACGCCTCCTAACGTAAAACTGTGAGTACAAAATTGCCCATCGGGAAATTACTCCCGGAAAAAGATCCCACGCATCGCGAAACTCTCGTAAACGAAATCAGACTTGAACGGGATGTTCAACGCGAGAAATAAATCTGGATACGAGCCTCTCTCTGATGAACCGGCACGAACTTTACGTTGCCTCGTCATGTCGATTACCGCGATCGGTCGATGGGCTCTCTTGCGCCTGTAATCTATCGAGCAGGACCGGAACTTTCAAATGTACGACGTTGTCGAACGGGAAAGGACGTTTGCTTGGCGTTGCGTCGTGTACGAAGTTGATTCTAAGTTAGAATCACACGGTGGTGAATATCGTTTGACCGAGCTCTCTGCGCCTTATGTAATACCTGCGCCAGGTCAATACCATTCCCTTTAGATCGTGGAAAGGTCGGCGATTATGCTCTGTGATACCGTATTATCGCGAATTTAGCACATGTTTAGGAATACGCGACGATGACTTATCGGTTCTTGTGATTCTGGGATAAGTTCTCTCTTCCTTTCACTTTTTTTTTGATTCATAAGAATAGCTCTGTAGTGGATGAAGTTTTCGCCATAAACGCGTGAAAGTGTTTCGTATGTGGTTTTCATTCATTCACTCGGCTTAATGTACATGTATATATAATTACCACGTAGGACAGAGTACATTCTTGGCATGTACTTTGAGTTAAATTTAACCACTGTTTTGTTATTATTGATTGTATTGTTCTTTTTCTATTCGCCTTCAGCTGAGCAAATTTGTTTATTGAGAATGAGGTATAAAGAGAATCGTAGATTTTAGTTTCAATTTATTAGTTATTAATTTATAATAGCATTATTTCTCTCTTTGCAGAACATGGCTCCTCCGACGTACAGCGACTTGGGAAGGAGTGCCCGTGATGTATTCGGGCAGGGCTATCATTTTGGTCTATGCAAACTAGATGTGAAAACCAAGACCAGCTCTGACGTTGAGTTTTCCTGTGGTGGTGTGTCTAACCATGATACAGGAAAGGTATTTGGTACCTTAGAAACTAAATATAAGATCAAGGAGTATGGATTGTCATTCAGTGAGAAATGGAATACCGACAATACTCTTGCAACTGATGTTTCTATTTGTGATAAATTGGTTAAAGGACTCACGCTTGGTTATAGTTGTACCTTTTCTCCACAAACCGGGTAAGATATTTCATTGATATTAAGATAAATTCTGCAATTCCTAGAAAGATAAATCTGTAACTTTTTGAGAGTCTAATAATTTGTTATATAATACCTTGTGATTTTGAGCAAATTTAATCTTTGAAGATAGATTAAACTGCAACTTTTTTAGTGTTTAAATTTTTACTATTTACAGTTCTAAAACTGGGAAGTTGAAGACAACCTACAAACATGAGAATGTTACCGCAACTACTGACTTTGATCTTAACCTATCTGCTGGGCCACTAATTCATGCCTCAGCTGTTATCGGCTATCAAGGTAAATTTAAGTAGAATATTTAAATACTTTTTTAATATCAATGCTCAATAATATTTGAGAAAATTATTATCTATTTCTTAATGGTACTAAAACTTGATAATATATATTATTTTATTATAAAGAAACTAGCATATGTATTATCCAGTTGAATTAATACATTGCTGTGTTTTGCAGGATGGTTGGCTGGCTATCAGGGATCTTTTGATACGCAAAGGAATAAACTTACAAAGAACAACTTTGCTCTTGGATTTACCGCTTCTGATTTTGCTCTCCATACTGCTGTGTAAGTATTATTTGCTATAACATATTTGTAAAACAATACTTTACAATATTCAAACAAATTTAAACATAATATCTAATGTCCCATGACAATTTTTAGGGAGAATGGACGTGAGTTTAATAGCTCAATTTATCACAAGGTGAGACCAGATTTGGAAGGAGGAATCAATTTGGCATGGAATTCCGGCAATAATGTAACACAGTTTGGCATTGGAGCAAAGTATAACCTTGACAAAGATGCTAGTATTAGAGCCAAGGTGAATTCTCACCTTCAAATAGGTTTGGGGTATCAACAAAAACTTCATGATGGTAAATAATTTCTTTTTGAAAGATAATTTATCTCTAAATAAATTCTTGAAGGTTTTCTTCATGATTGCGCAAGTGTTCTGACATGTGAATTTCTTATAAATAAACTTATTAGTGAATTTAGAAATGTTCAGTGAGCGATAACAAGTCTAATCAGAGAAACATACAAATGAATTTTTCGTTCGCAGTGTTGGTGGACAACAGTCTATTAATAGCTGATGCTCATAGATATGCTAAATACAGAATAAGCTTCTGGCAGAATAGCAATTTTACAATAGCTACAAGTTTGCATATGGCAACATATGAAATATGTTGTTATATCGAGCAGATAAAAATCTATATATAAGAATCACATGTTAAATTTGTATAAAGTATACACATACATGCTGTGTTATGTCGCCGCAATAATTACATATCCGTTTGTAGGTGTGACTCTGACACTATCTACCAGCATCGATGGAAAGAACTTCAACACTGGTGGCCACAAATACGGTATTGCATTAGACCTTGAGGCTTAAACACGTAACACGTGTTGCGAAAAAGCTGAGGCAAATTTATCCCGTATCAATAAATATTTATGACCCTTGTGTCATAAAATCGGCGTGACAGTACATGCTTCAAATAAAGTATTGCCTATAAATGCGTAGATAGGTTGATCCCAAAATAAATACCGCAAGGTATCATGTATCATTTGCAATTAGTTGAAGGGAGCATATATTATACGCAGTTGTGAAATAGCGTTATCTTTTTATGAACGATGCAATACCGCGCATTTGAACAAGGCGAGTTTTTACGTCAAGTTTGTAACTCTTTAATTCCGTTATCGTTCAACGACATCTGACGTGCGTGGAAACCTTATCTCGGTTCCTGTTTAAAATCTTTCCGTAGATATTGAAAATGACATAAAGTCGGGCTATATAAAAAGGGATAATGCAATGATACGAAAGACAGTATCGATAGTCGAATTAATAAAGTTGAATAAAAACGAAAAGAAACATTCATAGGGGTGTAAAAATTTTTTGACCATTTGCTTCATGGTAGAATGTGCATGTGTAATCTTATATTATCTGCATTATATTGCAGTTATTACAGTTCTCGAATTGTCATACATTCAATCAGTAGTTTATCGTATTGACTCGTTTATGAATCATACAATTTTGCGAACGCCGCAGGATACTTTCGAATCTTTAACAGCGCAAATTAATTATTTTCACTTTACGAACATTCAGTATTGTACCCTTTTATTTCTCCTATTAATTTTAATTGAAGAATATCTCTAAATATCGTATTGATTGGAAATTCATGGACATATATTGAACTTTCGATTTTATCTTTAGATGTATGCACTTGTGTGCAGTCGGAAAGTATTAATATGAGTGTTTGATAAATGTACGTGCATTTCAATCGTTTAGTACTGTCACACATCGATATGAGAACACGATGCCTTCTCTTAAGCATATAAATAAGGCATAAATGCGTATATATGTATAAATTATAATTATCGGCAGCTATGTATGCCATTTTCATATTACGAGGAATAGATGCATCGACTATCTGTTCCCGATTTAAAGGAATACTGCCACGTTGGCTAAAAATTAGTGAAATGTTTGTCTCAAATATTATCAGACCGTCAAGTTTCTTTGTAGAATTTCCACATTTGAATTATACACACATATACAGCCACATATATGATAAGTAACGATCATATTTTCAAAGGACACAGTGAATAATTGCGCATAGCTATACATGTAATTCCACTCCGCTTTATTTTATATAGGAAATATATAATTATGTTTGTGAAAGGAGGAGAACGGTTTTTATTTTCCTCGACGGTTGGTTATTTGTCTAGGAAAGAACATTGTACGAAGTATGAATGTGATTTATTTACAAGAAGAACTTACATTGCTTTTCCATCTACAATGATCTTGTCTAAATTTTATAGCGGAATCAGATTTTAGAAATGAGAGACGACATGTGTCCTTAACAGTTCCCTCTGAGTTCATCGGTTTGTAATGTTCATAGCAACAAATTTGAATCCATGTTTTAGTTCTAATTTTTTCTCTTCTTTAGCAAGCGTGCTAAGAGATATTAGGATTGACATTGTAGTTTTCACAACGCAATATGCATTTAAGAAAACGTAATACTGCCTATTGATGGTTAGAAAAAGAAGAAAACATAAATATATCTCTGGGAAATTATTAACGAAAGATTTTACATGATGCCATTGCGGAAGGTAACCGAATAAAGTGTATGTTACACATGACGTGCGTTGGGCAATACTCGCGTTTCAGCAGTGAGCTATGTGTTTTACTGATTTTGGCTGGTTCCGTTATCATATACATGTTACAAGCGATTTCCGCGATTCTGCGCGATCGGTTTTCTCTTCGTATTATAAACAAGACCTATATTAATGCACCATTTGATCTTCCATAACTTTCGCGATCCACTCCGGCTCCGTCTGAGCGATCTTCTCGATTATTTGATTCACTTGATAACAGAGCGATTGTATTTGCTTGTCCCACGTTGGTAAGGTCTCACGTGCTGCATCAAGGAACAATTTATGTAAATACAAAATGCAGAGGAAAGGATTAAGGACTGACCAAGGCAAACGCGAAGAACACCAGTGGCTCTCATTGCTCGCACCATCGTCTGCATTCTGCTTCGCATTTGCCGAAGATATGTAAGTTCCACGATCGAAGAGTAATATGAATGATGAAGCTCAAAGATGTTTGAGGCGAATTACTTACTTTCAAAGTGTACTATAGAATCAATCTGATCTATGTATCCATTCATTCTACCTTCGGTGATCATTTGGCTAGCAATTTTCTCCGCTTTGGTAGGCGGGATATCCAGTAATGCACCTAATTCTTCGAATGTAATGTTATTGTACAATTTACTAGCGGACAGCAAATTGTGTTCAATAACAGCACGATCGAGTATGGTGGAGCCTAATCCGTCTATAGTGCACGCTTTCTGGTGAGGCTGCAGTAACGCCTCAAATTCTTGCAATTCGGAACGTCGTATAATACGATCCAAATACATTTTCTCAAGAATCGAGTAAGCCGGTAATTGCTGGCAGCGTTCGTCTTTAAACAACGTTGCCAACATCCGACTTCTTTGCTGTCCTGTAACGAAACAAAGACTAGTTAGGCAATCCAAACAATAAGATCGTGAGATCAAATGGAGCCATGCGGTAATCAATTAATTCCTTGCCTGCAGAAGCCAATACTGTGCAAATCAATGCGTTTCTAAGAGCTGTCATGCGCTCATCCTCATGAATAATAGTCCTGTATGATAATTCATTGTACCTCTGGGCTGCCTCTATGAATTTTCTCCTATAATCTAATACCCTGGCATAGCACACTTTGTAATAAATTTGTAACTGTTCATTTTTCGACTCAGCCTGCCAAACAACAACAGAAGAAATTAAAAGAATACACAATTTGTACAAAAAATATGTTAATGATAAAGAGAAAGAATAATCACCTGCAAAAGCGACGCTCGATTAATAAATGCTTCAGCTTGGACTGGATCATCATCTTCCAAGTACAATCTGGCAATTTTAAGATAAGTCTCGAGTTTGTAATCAACAGTATATTGCCTGAAACAGTCAATTTTATTAATATAATTAATGTACAGGGAATTATGTCAATAGATTTAATTGCCATAAGTGTATATAAGAATACTTTTGTCCTGTTTCCAACGGTATGCCAACTAAAACATTTGCTGCTTCTCGCCAATTCTGATTACGTTCGTAAATTTCAGCTAAGTGTTGCCTTATACTAGCTACCTGTTCTTCAAAGGAAATTACACGGGGCTGAACCTGGATCATAATCAAGTTATTTTGTTTAGAAACTTAATTTAATATTCAACTATTTAGTATTAAAATTATATCCATTTTTGTGTACTTCATGATTAAATTAATAATGTCTTACCTTATCTAATGTGTAATGCGAAACAGCTTTTGATATTTCATCTGGTAAATAAAGTAAACGACTGCTCACATCAGTTAGAACTTGCCTTGAAATCACCAAGCTTACATTCTCATTTACAACTGCAATAAAAATTTTTCTAGAAATATTGATTACCTAGACTTTATACATATATATATATATATATATATATATATATATATATATATATATATATATACATACATATATATGTATAAAGTCTAAATAATATGTATATATATCTTTTTTTTTTAAATTATTTGTTTATAATATAGTTCATGATCATTTTTTTAGATGACTGATTTTTTAGATGATATAACTATATATAATAGTTCAGCGTTATAACATATTCAATTCAAGAGACAAAACAATATATCTTAATATGCATCATACATGTACTTTGAGATTGGGATATTGTACATACAAATGTTTTCAAGACTTTGTATAACCTGATAGCGAAATTAAGTTGCACAAATTTCGGAAAAAGATAGTAGACCCATTCAAATGTTTCAAGTGTGTTAAGACATCAAAGTTGCTTGCGGGATAAAAATAACATACTTGCTTCGATGAACGTTTTCAAGGCATCAACCAGTTCTTCGCCGGAAGACAACAATATCTGATCCAAAGTTCCGCGATATCTAAACAAGGGATCGTTTATTCGCGCGTGAACAGATAAATTAGATATCAATTATACTTCATACGCTTACTTCTCGGCCTGGTCTTTGTGGGAACCGCCGGAATGAGCCAAATTTGTGAGTTGTTGACGTACTGAAGCCACCGTCACCACCATCTTTTCTCGCGATGACTTTATTCGCTACTACGAGCTACAGAAGCAGAATGCGGACGCGGACGCGATTCTTTAACCGACATGAGAACCATCTACGGGCAATTTGTCGAATATCTTAAGAAAAGGGGCTACATATATTATAACTACACCTTTCTCTCCAATTTCTCTTTTTTCCTATACTTTTCATCAAGATTTCAGTAGATAGGTCAAATTCAAAAGATGTTTAACTATTTCATCGAAATGTTCATTTCTTCTACACTATATACCACCCAATCAAACATATCACCATGCCTAAGTTAAAATCTGTTGAATTTTACCTATTTTATAAGTAAAAAGAATAATTATTCATTTTTTGTGCACAGTATAAAATGTGTTTAGCCGTAATATTAAATCAAATTATATGAAAATAAAGTTTTTTAATTAGCTATTACGCGTAAAATTTTAGATTGAGAAAGTTTCCGAAGTTACTATCAAATTATAAAGATAAAAAATAAAAGAACGTCTAATTAATTGTTTAGTTTAATTAACAATAAAAATATGTTTTATTTATCGTTGAGTTGTATGCACCATGGAACATGACATGTAGAATAACGTAACCAGTAAGCAAATCAACCAATCATAAGTGAAACGTTAACGATGACTGCTCCCGTTCTCAACTATAATTGGTTAATTTGTTCGAATATATATATATATATATATATGGCAGCGATTTCCGAAGAATCAGGGCCCGTCGTGTACGATGTTTTTCACATATTTTCGAAAATAAGGGCCTAGAGCAATTCTATCCTGTTGTTTCACGGTGAAATTTGCCTTTTCCGTTTCTCTTTTCCGCTGTTTTGAACTCCATGACTGTACCTTTAATATCAATTCTAGTAACATTGAACAAGAAACTATCGTTTAGGGAATAATCAAGGTAAGAAAATATCATATGATAATCGATTTTATAAGATAAAGATAGTTGATGTCAAAATAATCGAGGTAAAATCGTTCCAGCGGGAAGTACCCAATTCGACACAGCACGATTCGACACAACCAACTGATGCGAAGTATAAAGCGTGGTCTACAATGGCAGTAAGTAGTAAGAAGTACGCGTAAGCGGTAAGAAATAAACCAATCACAATCGATTGTGACAAAAATAATCAACTGTGATTGGTCCATTTCTTACTGTTCATGCTTACTTCTTACTGCTTGCGACCATTGTAGACCACGCTTTAGGCTCGTATATATGTGTAAGCTGTAAGCCGTAAAAACTGACCAATTATAGCCGATTATTTTTATAATAATCGACTGTGATTCGCCAATTCTTACGGCTTACAACTTACGACACGTATTGTAAGGTCTGGTCTACAATAAGTGTCGTAAGTTGCAAGCCGTAAGAATTGGCGAATCGCAATCGATTATTACAAAAATAATCGGCTATAATTGGTCAGTTCTTACGGCTTACAACTTACGACACGTATTGTAGAATGACCTTAAGCTAGGCCGTATCTGGTGAATTAGATCCAACCAATCATTTACTTTGTGTCCAATCGTGCTGTGTCGAATAGATACGCACCCATCTCTAGCTGTCCATGTCCATATATCCACGAGGAAGCACTGGAAAATGGCGTATGGACAAAGCTGAATGCAGTCCGGAGGCAGCAAAGAAATTTCAAACTACTACCCACGAGGGAGCGTGGGACTTGGGACACCAGGAGATCGGTGGTAGAATACTCACCTGCCAGGGAGTTACGATCATGGAGAAGCAGATAAAGCCATTACTAGAACAAAATAGCAATGCCCAGCTATTAGGAATATTAGCTGCTGTTTTTGCTATTATCTTAACGTTAGGTAGAAGCTCATTTTGTTTGAGGGTTATCAGACCGTATTGAATTTTCAGTACAACGTTTAAATCATGAATTTATGATATTTCAGTACTTTACCATGTGTTTAGATATACCAGATGGTATTATATTTTAAGATATCTTCAGATTCTCTCATGACTTCGTAATTCATAGAATAATAAACCTGTCTTGATTCTTTTCACACATATATTTTGTTTCATGAACAGTTTCGATGTTACTACTAACAAATAGCATAGGGAGTCAAAATATTTTCATCAATAAATTATTCTATTATATATTGGTCTTTCTCTCTGTATCAACTTTTAATATAATTATATCTGCAGTCTTGTTCGTGGTTTGGCGTAGGAGAAAATCTACAGGTCAAGGTATCCTCTTAACAGGTCTTAGTGATACCGGAAAAACATTAATCTATGCAAGGTTAATATGTTCTCAATTTGTGAAGACATATACATCTGTTAAGGAAAATATAGGAAACATCACAGTTAATAATGTAAGTTTTATAATATATCATGTATAAGATATATTTGCTATTTGGTTGTATATATTTTTATAGATGTATATGCTTTAGAGTTCCTTGAGAATAGTAGATATTCCTGGGGATGAACGACTTCGCAATAAATATTTTGATAAGTATAAATCATCTGCTAAGGGACTGGTCTATGTAATTGACTCTGTGACTATTCAAAAAGAAATTAGGGATGTGGCAGAGTGAGTAAAATTTGAGAAGAACAATTTGAAATTGTCAATAATATAGCTTATATAAATTTTAGTCTCTAAATATTTAATTTTATATCTTTTGTATAATTTTTATATTCTTGCAGGTACTTGTACAACTTATTGTCAGATCCTTACATGCAAAAGAACATTCCAGTTCTTATATTATGCAACAAACAAGATCAGGTCATGGCCAAAGGATGTGCAGTGATAAAGACATTATTAGAAAAGGAGATGAATTTATTACGAATGACAAAGTCTAGTCAGCTAGAGACTACTGATGCATCATCAGTTAATGTCTTCCTTGGAAAGCAGGGCAAAGATTTTGAATTTTCGCATCTGGATTCACAAATAGAGTTTGCAAATTCCTATGTTTTTAACAAGGATCCTAATGTAGAAGTGGATATTGACGAATTGAAGAAATGGTTACAAAAAGTTGCATAGTAACGGATACTGCTTTTTTTTTTAATATAAGTTACTTGTATTTTTCGTCTTTGTCTAAAACTTTGTTTTCAAATAAACTTCTAGAAAATATAAAATGTGTTAAACAAAATGTCTTAATATTTAAATAATATCTATATCACGACATTATTCCCTACTAGGGGTGCCAGATAGCTAGGATTTTCAGGATTGTTTTGGGATTTTTAAGCTTTTGTCCCGTGTCCTAGAATTTGAGTCTTGTCCCGGAAAATTAGAATTTCAACAAAATTATAATCATAATATCCATGTTTATAACTGATACTAGAGAGAAATCTGAGAGCAGTTATCACGATTTATAAGATCAAAAAATTTAACGTGCCACCTGAGAAAATTGATGTAAAGCCATTAAAAAAAAAACAAAAAAGAGAAAGGAAAAAGAAAGGAGAATTTTAACTAAAATTCTTTAACAACCTACTTTTCAACCCAAAATATGTCCTGGAAATAGTCATTTTGCATCTGACAACCCTAACATCAGTTATATACACGTTTGAATGCCTGTATTACACGATCAGTTGATTTATCGAGATAAAGCCTGGAACAAGCGGTTAGTGATCATACATCGCTGGTATCGCCATCTAGTCCGATCACAGCGAGTCGCGCGAGCGTCGCTCGGTTTGTCACTTTGCTGCCGGGTGTTAGCAGGTTAGTCTATTGAAAGATTAATATCATACATTATCAGGTTTTCATGTTGTCGACATAGAAAAGTACTACATTGCGTACATAGATGCGATAGATAAAACTAGGTGTGTAGAATATACGATAACCAATGCTCTCTTCTGCCATGCGTCAATCGACGCCGGATAGCGCGGGTCGTTTCTTTTTGGGACAGACAGTAGCGACGTTGGCAGGCTAATGGTGGGGATCATTCTGTAGCAAGATGTATCTTTTTATATATGGTGGGAACATTCAACCTCAACCCACATATGCAAAATTCTGTTTTAAATAACAATTTACATTGCGATAGATCATTCCCCTTTTTGGTTATTTACTTTTTACAATTCTCTGCATGATAATTGAGGAAATATCTATAAAATATCACACACAGTATTTAGTACATGCATTTTTGCACTCTTAATATTATTATTCATGTATCTCATGTGTGCTCCTGGAAGCAAAACTGGACTTATTGATCAATCTCTAATATATTGATCCTTGATATCGGTAGCCAAAACCAGGGAAAATAGGAACGACCTATAGGAAAACAGGCTAAAATGCCAAAAACACGGATGTTTACACGTTCAGTTACAAACACTCGTCCAATCAATATGACACTGAATTTGGAATGTTCCGAGGAGCCTCTAAGTGAAGCTCAGCTGGTGTTAAAAACAAAACTCAAGGAAAATGTTGATAGGGTAATTTTCTTTGTTAATTTCCTTGTTAATTTCATATTGATATGAAAATTATATATTATTTCTCTTTGTCAGGTTATGGCTACCTTGGATGATTTAGTTGCAGTTCATGGTGGTAAATTAGTGTGTCAAGCTGGAGTTGTTAATGCTTATCAGTTTACATTGTAAGTACTTAATCCTAAAATAATTGGTACAAAATATATGCTCGATTGATTTATATTTGAATTTATTTATAGACCTACATCAGCAGCATCAACAGTAATTCAAAATAATTCTCAACTTTTAAATGTTGTAAGTATTACAGAAAAGACAACATATAATATAAAATATAATAAAAGGAAAAAATTATATATAATTTTTGTTTGTAGACTCAAAACAAGAATCAGCAAATTAAACTGAATATTGGTAACACAAATTCATCTCAAGGAAATATTCAACTAGTTGTTGATCCACGAATGGGAGTCTTTCTAGGATCTGTTACACAGTCTCAAGGCAAGTAAATTGCATATTATTTCTAACTAAAGTGAAGCTTTGCTAGTGACTAGTTCAAATAAGTATAATTTTAGGTGAAGCTACTACAACCACTACCACATCTTCAACCACGACACAGGCCCAACAAGATAATGTATTGTCAATTGCATTTTTATTTTTTTTCTTGCAAAATTAATAATTTACATTAAATATTAGTCATACATTAATTTTTTTCAGTACAAATATACCAGGTCTGGGCGTAAGACAAAAGTTCTTCAAGTACAACAACCTGAAATTATGGAGGAGGTATATTCTACCCAATTTGTTTATAAGAGAGGTTACTTGGATACATGCATAATTTCTGTTGCTCTATCAGTAAATTATATATATTATCTTACTTTTACAGACTTCAACAATCACTCGTGTGAGACCAAAGGCTGGACCAGCGACACATGTTGTTACACCAAGTAAGAATAATAAAAATTTAAAAGAAATTTAGAGCACTTTCAAAGTTAATTTATTACCGCAATAAAACAGAACTTAGGACATATATTTACATTTTTAAGTTTTTACATCTCATCTGACATTTTTAACTAACAAAAAAAACCAATATTGGTCTTGCAGCTACTACCACACCGCAAGGTGTAACAAATCTCAGGATTAAGACTGTCAGTAAGCAACAAATAGCAAGTCAATCAACTGTCAAACCTGCAGAGCACACTAGTATAGGAGGAATAGCTGTTGGTTGTAAAGCTACGGGTAAAAATAGAAATAGAATAGAAAGCAATATGTATATTTTTAATAATGGTAATGCAACTAATTATTTCATTATAAAATGTTTTATAGCTGATCAAATTGATGACACTAAAAAGAATCAGCCTGATGGCAGAGAATTCACGTTTAACAAAACAGCTGGTGGCCGAACTTTTCCGTCTCTAGTAGTAGTAGCAAGGCCAAATTTACACAACAAAGATGTCAGTCCACAGATTACACAAAAGGAAAGATCGGAATTAGGTATCCTTCGTATCCTACTTTCATATATTCCAGTATATGATAAGACAAGGCGCCTTATCTAATAAATTGTAACTCAATAAGAGACCATTTCAAAGATATAAATGGATAGTGTTTAAGAATAACATTTGAATATGCATTTCAAATTTGTTTTTTATTTCTTGTTATAAGAAATTATCTCATTTTATTGATTGTACTACAATCCATTGAATATATTGTACAGTATTGAGCCGATTGAAATGTTGACAATATTTTTTAGATGTTAGAGTCAAAAGCGTACTCATGTTTAACGCCACGAAATTTGCCGAATGGTTAATCCAGCAAGGCCTAGTAAGATCTGAACAGTATTGCATGATACACAGCACAAACCATCAGAAGATTAAGTTAAAGCTGGGAATGTACAGTGACCAGGGGACATTTCCGTATTCTGGTGGTTACGTTTGGATATCCAACTGTTGCCCCGATAGATACGTTTCTGTCTTTTCTGGCTCCATCTTTCAGGGAGCTCCTTACACACCCACAGTTCTGCTGAAGTTAATTTATCATTGGGCATGTCAGACCAACATACAAAATGTAGTCTCTTGGGTGAAAGTAACAAATCTGTATCTAAAAAATTTCTATACTAATCTACGTAGCATTTGCACAGCAGCGGTTTGGGATAAGACTAATAAGATGGGAGGCAGAAATTCCGTAATACAAGTTGGTGTGATTAGTTTAGGTACCACGTCACAAGACGGACACCTACGGCAGGTAAAATATGTCTTCTTGATGTGCTGCCAAGGCGGAGAAATTTGTTTGCTTGAAAGTTGAAGATCAAAAGTTGGTTTTGTTTTTATTTCTTTTAGGTGAAAGTCGAGGTCCTGGGTGTGTTAGATCCGTCTACATCAGACTTACGGTTACGCGCTTGCGAGCCGATACACGACGGAGAAAGATCGTACAAACGTCGATTTAACAATATCCTGCATCCGTTGAAAGAATGGGTTCACACAGATTCCCAGATTATGACGGATTTCACCGTAGATAAAAGTACCTTGCACGATATGGGTTACAAACATGTGATACAGTCCACATTTTCCGAACAAGATCCAAGAAATCTCATGAGCAATTACTACATCATGGAATATCTCAGGAGAATTGTGCCCAGAATGTTCCAGAATACGCTCAGTTTACTGAGTAGGCAAATGATACAGCAATTTCTCGATGAATTGGTTTGGAGAGAAATGTATGGCGCTACACCGGCACGTGCATTTAACAATATCATTCTGCACATCGCAGAGCAAACCAAACTCGATTACAGTGAGTGGTAGAGTGGTAGACTAGTATTGTATACAAATATTGCAACAATTCACTTTTTCTATTACATACTCAATTTTATATTGCCGAATAAAGAGATTGCGTATGATTTTAGGCAGTTCCTTGTTGGACCGTCTGGCGAAGGTAGCCGCTAATCCATTTCATGACTGGTCTTACACGAATTCACGAGCTGTTACACCACCGGCCTTGCCAAACGATTCACTTCCGACGACTGATGTGTCACCTCAAGTTGCAAATACTACAAATACCACCGAGCTACTATTGTTAAAACCTGCTAGACGAGGAAGGAAGCGTATTCATTCCCTACCGAGCTCTGAACTCGAGCCGAAAAGGACTGCGATCGAACCGAAGAGTAACAAAGAAAAGGAGAAAGAGAATAGAGTCGAGAAAGAACCGAAAGAACAAATTCAGCTTCAAGAATTGTATTACGCCACGATGGAAGGTGATAAGGATTTGATTTTGAAGGAACACAAGTCTTCGCTATGTTTCAAGGTTTGTTTGAAGCTCACCGTCACTGTCGCCGATGAGATGTATTGATGAGAAATATATGTTTTTCCGGTTTAGTGTTTCCTGTGCGCAACGGTAATGAACTCTAACATAGAGGTGATGGAGCATATGGTCAGCCATGTACCTCCTCAAGTACCCGGTCAATCGGAATTGTCAGTTTGTCGATACTGTTGCACCGCCCTTTCGTCACAACATCAGATGCTCACTCACGTGGCGGAAACGCACAGCAATTTCGGTCATTCTGACGGCGTCATGGTGGTTTGTGCCATTTGCGAGGAAAAATTCGGTAGGCGTACACCTCTAATCACTCTTACTATTCTCGCTGTTGAATTACTCGTAACTTAAAAAAAAACGAATTCGACAAGGTTTCCATTTGTGTATTTTCCTTCCCCAGGAAAAAGTAAGTCGTTAATCGACCATCTGTCCTCGATGCATTATCCTTCCGAAATGCCATATCGATGCGAAAGTTGTGGTTACCGGACATCTAGCCATAAGGACGTCATAGATCATTACTGCAAAGTCCACGAAAAGGGCGAAGGATTGCAATGCCCTTATTGCTTAAAGGTAAAGATGTGAGAAGAAAAAAAAATTTTTTAGATTAATGTAATTTACGCATTAATGAACGCATATCGTCGTCACGAATAGGTGATACAATTTGCGAGCGAAGGCAACCCGAGCGCGTCCAGCGTTTACGCTTATTTGTCGCACATGCAAAGACACGTTGTAAGAAGGGACCAAGGGAGAGGTAACAAATGTTCGAGATGTTGCCTTTGGTTCAACCAAAAAAGCTTGTTGACGATGCATCAGCGAGAGTTACACGACTATGTGTCCAATTCAAGTAAATATATATTTAAACATATGCTGTATGTCTCGCAGCGACACAATATATATTTAATTAAACGCTTGGTAAAATATACATATATGTCGCTTCGGAAATATTTAAAAAGAAAGCTTAGAAAGGCTAATTCAAGCGGAACATGTTCTTCGTTGTTTCTGTTCTATAATCCTCTCTCATGAATGCTCATGCTTGTAACATGTTGCGTGAGAAGCACAAATTCTGATAAATTTAACATTGAAATAAATATGCACACAGAAGTGATACCGTACACGGCTGGCAATAGTGGGATAATGATCTCGAAGGAACGGCCAGAGACGATGCGATTCGATGTAGATAGTCCAATTCCGGAATTACCACCGGATGAAAAAATACAAAAATGGAGTACTGGGCCAATTACAGTGTACAGCTCTGTCAGCCATTTACCATGTCAGGAATGTGAAGAGGATATTGATGAGGAAGATCATTATCCGTAAGTATAATGGTCGATTTCAGCTGACATTCTCGCGGATATTACAACAATTATTTCATCAACAGAGGTGAACAGCAATGTTCGCAATGTCGTTATGTCACTTGCTGTTGGCGCGCTTTCAAAGAGCATCAACAACAAATTCATAATGAGAGGCCGAAGACTAGTTTAGTGGTGCCGTCTCCTCTGATCAATATCCCGCTGGAAAAGAAATTACAGTGCCCATGTGGTTATACGTCGACCGATGGCAATCATTTAGGTATTGTGTGATCGTGGGGAGAGTACAGATTAATAGAGTAGAAATTAATTTACATCCACATTATTTTGCAGCAACTCATTTAATAAAATGTAAAAGGATATCGGCATATCCGGTAGAAAACTCTTCGCGGTCTGGTATGCTGGACAGTTTAGGATTAGTTCCAAAAACTGCTTCTGAGGTACGTTCAATATATTTGTGTTTATATATTAGGTGCTTGAATTAATTTCTCGCTGTTGACTAATAGAGGTCAGTAGTTGGGTTATTTCAACATGATCAAAAGTGACCATTGATATATATATATATATAAATACTCTCAATAGGCTTTAATAATCAGTGTGTGACATTAGATCGGAATGCAAAGAACACAATTTTTTATTGCATTGAAGATATCGGATTTCGAACCAAACAAAGAGCATTTGCGGGCAGCATTACTTTTCTGCTTTCATCTCAAGAAATCTGCTGCTGAAAGTCATCGTTTGCTAATGAAGGCTTATGGGCAGGATGTTCTATGTGGTGCAACTTGCAGAAATTGGTTTAGACGATTCAAAGATGATGATTTTGACATGAATGACAAAGAACGCCCTGGTCAGCCGAAAAAGTTTGAAAATAGAGAATTGGAGGCATTACTGAAAGAAGGTTCGTGTCAGACGCACAAAGAATTATCGAAAGTACTAAATGTCGAGGAGTCAACCATTAGTAAACGTTTAAAAACAATGGGAATGATCCAGAAACAAGGAAAATGGGTCCGAATTAATAATTGATACACGAATTGAAAGAAAGAACCATTGCGAATGTTTAATCAACGTTAACCGAAAAATGGGAAAGGTTTTAGCTTCCGAATGACAATAATATTTTGAATAAAATATAATGTACCGTTCTTTTGAAATAAATATGAGTTTTTATTGCAAGAAACAGCGAGAATTTCAAGCATCTAATAATAATGTTTTACTTTTCCAATCGTCTAATTCCTTCATTCTTTAAATTGATTATAGGAAGCTGATGTATGTGAGAAATCTAATTCACGCAGTTAGATGTGACACGCAATTCACCCAATAATACTGCGTAGAAATATGTGAAGTTATAAAAAAAACACATGTATGATCTGTTTGAATTAAAATATATAAATGTATATATGTATGTGTATATATATACGCATATATATATACACACACACACACACACACACACACACACACACACATATATATATATATATATGCACATATATATATATATATGTATGTATATGCATATATATATATATATGTATATGCATATATATATATATTTCAAAAATAATTTTTGAACTTTGTATCGTTTAATTGGTTAAACAGATCACATAAATACTTTTTTAAACTTTAAATTGCTTTTCACAATCGAACAAAATCTGAAATTTTATTAATTCATATCTCATCAATTATATCATTGCTGTTATTATTATGTGTTATGTGTTGAATTCATACAAGTGTACATTTCTTGAAATCCTCAAATGAAAAATATTAAACGATAACATGATAGTAAATATATTTCTTTCTCATCATAATATATAAAATATAATAAAGCTGAGGTGCTATAAATAGAAAAAGGAGGAAAGTCTTTTATAAAAAATACACCTCGTGTTATTCATCTCTTAGTATTCAGTATTTAGTATAGTTCTTTTACAAATTGATACAAAAACTTAAAAAAAGTTCTGAGAAGAAATCTGAATTCTCGGCTTATTTTTACATAACAATTGCCTCTGCTTGTATCCTCAATTTTATATTCTATATATAAAAAAATATTGTATGCATTTGGAGCAAGATATAAATAATTATTCAATATTATTTTATATGTTAATATTCTAATAAAAAAAATGTAATTGTGACAAATTAAAAAAATCTGCGATTAATTTTGTACATAGGAATTATGTATAAAGCAAAGCCAAGTGTTTTATATTATGTAATTAGCAGTAAACTAATGCACTTTATGTTAAAAATAACTGTGTAGTATCAATAGCGTGTCGATTTGCATATTCTGTGCGTAAGGATATTATTTAAACAAAAGTGCTTGCATACTGCGTGTTTTATTTCCATCACCTAAAATTTAACGTTTAATCGAATAACGTCCAAAATAAATATCTCTGGTAAACAAGGAGTAACAATATGAAGGGTTTTATTAAATGTTTATTTAGCAATTATGTCTTCATGTATGAATAAGAAACGTAGCATACATATCCATTTTTTATGTGTGGTCAGAGGTATGAATATATAATACTAACTGACGGGATAAAACGCACGGAATTATTTATCAATTTAAAAACTTGAGGCAAGTTGATAATTATTTGCGTGAAGTTAACATACAATAGTCCGTCACTCTGTACTTATCTTTACCTATTCCCTAATAAGCTATTAACACTTTTTTGTTTCTTTTCTGACATTTTTCACCTTTTTTTTTTGTATTTTTATATTTTTCATGTTGTCTGTTATCGAGTCAACACTAAAGAACGCATTTATTAGCAAGATCTCTCCAATGTTAACTGATTGGGGATTACCAGATACTCTAACTTATATCTAAGGAATCTATCATTAACAGAGTTAATAAGACAATAACTGTAATGAAGGATTATAACGATAAATAAGTTTTATAATAATCTAATACCTTCCGATTATGAATTGCTGAGATATTTGCACGAAATATATTATTCTGCATATACGGTTAACGATATAAGAGTGATATTTGTGACGTATACGGTTTGAACCGGTGCGACCCTATGAATCTCGATGAACAATATTCTATTTTCACCCGCTGTTTTTGCAATATTTTAATCCGCGGACTCTGTTGTAAATTATTGAAGTACGATATATAACTACTAGGAAGAAAAAGAAAATTACGCCATTTTTTCACGAAGCGTACGAGTCAACTGATATGTCTTCAATAATGCAATCTTTAATGGAAGGCTGGAAAGAGCGATTAAACTCACTGGGTGAATCTCATCGACATCCGCACAACAAATATAAAATGTAGTTATATGGTATACATATCGATAATACTTACAAATAATGTAAAGAAATATACTATATCACTAATAATAATAATAATGAGAACAATAATAATAATAAAATTAATAATAATACGGTGATACCCAATCTGCCACAATTAACATTGAGATTTGTCGATAATAAATTTTCTCTAAAATTTGACGGTTTGTCACTACATACAGTTCTTAATGCATAGTAACAAATTCCGTCAAATTCCTTCACGTGGGAAGCTTTGTCAGCAACTTATATGCTCTTACAAGAGTTATTAACATTGTGTTCAAGAGAATGAATCGATATACCCATCGAAAGCCTTTTATGTACGCGTTCTCTACGTATTCGCGACTATATTTTTCTTTGTTTCGCCGTTATGCCTCTGAAATTTAACGCAAAGGTGTTTTTCGATGTGATCGGCTTGATGACGTGTGAGTTCTTTCCTCGCGTCGTTAAAGGTCCTCGATATTTCTTCTTGTAAAAAACCGTATCAAAATAAAAAAAAAAGACAATTTTCTTCACATATCCAATAAAAACACAAATATACAGAAAAACTTAAAATATAAAAGAGAAGTGCATTGAATCAATCGCGTTTCCCTGTCCACAGGCGTGCCCTCTCCAGAACTTTACCTTAAACCCGTTTATGTGACTGTACCTGAAATAAAATTAAGAGAAATCCAAATAATTAAATATGAAATCATAATAATAAACTCACGAAAACGAGAGAGAGAGAGAGAGAGAGAGAGAGAGAGAGAGAGAGAGAAAGAGAGAGAGAGAAAGAGAGAGAGATAGAGAAAAAGGAAGCGCGGAAGTAGCGAACGGAAAATGGTCGATATAAAGCGCCGTCTCAACCAATTGGCAGAAAGAAACCGCAACGTAAATTTCCCTTTCCCCTTTTGCGTCAATACCTGCGCGTTAAATTTGAGAGGTGCCGAGCTGCTTGCCGATTACTCGATGGCATAGAGCATGTAGAGATTGCCCGCGTCACTGCCTGGCGGTACCAAGGCATGAGTCGGCGGCAGGACCGTGAAGCCCAAGAACATGAAGGTACGAACCAGCATTGCTAGACCATAACAACAGAACGATTTAGCGGGTGAGTCTTTTTCCACGCAAAAGTCTTCGTTCGTACCGAAAAACGGCAAGCGACAAGTACCTCGGTCAGATCTATCTTTACGCAGGCATACGATGATATTGGTGCAGCGCAACGTTTCCTCGGCGTATTCCAGAAGGGAGACAAAGCCCTCTTTTGATCCTTCGGGCAGAAGGCAGCTCGGTACGCGAATGTATAGACAACGGCGCCACGCTACGGTCTCCCACTCGACGGACGTACTCTCGGTCAAGTGGAGGGTGAACGTTAGACGCAATGGTTCGTTGCTTCTCACAGCTTTCAACAATTCATCCTCCTGTATGCGTCAACATGCAAGCAAACGTGTCGGGATTAGCTTTTTGGCCCGTTTGGGACGATACAAGAGCTGTACGCGCGCGTAAGTTACAGCGCGAATCCGGCTGATCAGTCACTCGGAACATGAAGAAAGATACGTACTTGCACAATGCGGGAGCTCACAGAGAGCTGACTCTGCTTGATCCCCACGCCGCGGCTCTCTGTGTTGACTGTAGATACAGACAATGCGGCATGGGGCACATCAGGACCACCACAGAGGCCCCACGCCCAGCGTTATACAGTAGTGCTGTTGCAGCCTAGAGCCTTCCTCCAGGCTTTCGTCCATGCACTTACTAGACATTTCACTGAAACATGCATTCGACGATTAGGAAGGTCGTGAGACTCGTGCGACTCTCATATGGATGGACGACGCGTTCGCGAGTTTAAGTTTGATTTATCATTTCTCATATAAATAACAATGTCTGCCACGTTCTACGACTAGAGGGATACGCAGGTGGTGAAGATTACAAGCGCATAGGGATACGAGAACGTGCGATTGTAACAGTACACGAGGAGAAAGAGGAGAAGAGAAAGAGGGAGAGGGGGAGAGAGAGAGAGAGAGAGAGAGAGAGAGAGAGAGAGAGAGAGAAAAGAGGGCAATAAATTTACGCGCGAACGCACAGACGTGCGTCGTTATCACGTGTTTCGGCCGACTTGAAACGGGAGTTCTTCGAACAAGAGGATGATGTATGCGAATAAACACAAGACACTGCCAAGAATCTTCAAGTTCCCGATGGAGCGCTTATATAAGTTCAAGACGCGTCTGTCTCGCTCCAGACCGCAGGAGAGCCGACCTCACGTCCTGAGAGGTGGATGGTTGGTATCGCGAGCCACGCGCTATTTGTTCGTCTTCACAGCTATCGGGACGCGAACCGTGATAAACCGCGCGAGACGCATCGTCGCGACGCTGAGGGAGAGAGAAAAGAAAAGTCATCGACGGCGATCCGCACGGGTCGCCTTCGGGAGAGTTCGCTGTCGCGCAATCGTCCATTAGACGGAGCGAGAAAAAAAAAAGAAATAAAAACAGCAAAGACGCATCTACCTTGGCCTTCGAGCCATTCGGGCGGGATATGTAGCGGGCGGCCGGGAGTTTTCGCTGCGAAACGCGTGCGCACACGGCGGTGGTGTGGTGCGACGACGACGACGTTGTGGACGTCTCGCGTCGCGCGTCACGCCGCCGCGAGAAGCCGAGCGATTACCGGATCAAAAAAGCGCACACCTCGCGAAAAACTGTCGCGGTGTATTCTCGCGGTTAACGGGCAAATCGGCGACTGCCACCGCGGGCGGTCGGCCGGCGCGATTTATACGCGATACCGGGTATAATGCAGCGGGCATACATTGTCGGCAGACGTCATTAAAGCGGGCGTCGCGCCAAACAAATAAGCGTCTTCGCGCGTTGCGCGCCGAGGAAGAATGCGAGCGAGAGAGAGAGAAAGGGAGAAAACGCGCGCAATTCTCGTCGCTTTTCATCGCCAATTTTTGGCCGGACGTTTTGTCAAGTCAAGATGCGCGTTAAATGTAACGGTTTGGGCATATAGTAACCGTGATGTTGGGAAATTTCGAGCTTACGTAAGGACGAGCGAGCGGCGCGGCGCTCCTTCTCACAAATGAATAATGTCTAATTGCGTGCGCGTCCGTGCGCCGCGCGACAATTTATAAATGTTTTGCCGCTGCGTTTGCGTCGCGGTGCAACATGTAACGCGAATAGTCAATTTTGAAGCAGCATTAGCGCCAAAGCGAGCGCATCTCAGACCGGTAACGCGATCGTATTCACCTTTGTGGACGCGCCATGGATATTTGCAGCCCGCGCTTTGCCAACGTCTCCGCGACACGCGGATGGCAAATATTCGTCTCGGGCGAATTTCGCAAGACAAATAATTGCGCTTACGCAGCGTTCTTTTGATATCGGCGTTTCAGCGTAAATTATCGCCGCGTCTCGAACGTGTCGATGCACCGTCCTCGTCTACCTCGGGTCCTCCAAATATTTTGATTTCCGTGTCGACGTGCGCAGAAAGAAAAGAAAAGAATAAGAATGAGATTATCGTTCAGTCTAGGATCGCCAAAGATTCGTATCGCAATATTTTATTCCGGACGATAATAGCGGACTCGCGATCTGATCGACGCGAGCGAGGATCCCGCGGCACATTTATCTCGGCGAAGTGAGCGATTACTGAAATAGATCCCAGATATCGTATCGATCGTGTGGGATGTTCCGTTTGTGTCGTTCTTGTACACGGACACGGACACAGACACGAGGAGCACACACACACGGTCTGACCTGAAATCGCGAAACTGGACTCTACGAGTCCGCTTGATCGCGACTAGCGCGGAGAACACCGTCGCGGTTTCTAACGCGATTTGGAGACACGCTTGAAATCCGCTCTCCAAGTTCAAATGTTATCGGCACATGCGTTGCGTGACAATAGGTCATCTATTTACGTTCAAACGTTTCAGACAGCGCGATAATGTGCGTCGCCACACGCGTCCCCCGGAGTGCACGATAAAACTATGCGGTTACGCGTGCTATAATTGGCGATTATAACGCGCAGAAACACGGCGGAAAGACTGGTCTGCCTCCCCCCCCCTCCCACCTCCACGCTTTCTCTTTTTCTCTCACGCGAAAGAGAATAAAAGTTTCAGAAAAAGTAAGAAGGAAAAAGAAATAAGACCGCCCGGAATAAGAGAAGCCACTCGTCGTCGTCGCGGAGGAGGAGGGGAGGGGGGATCCGACCGCGATCGGAATAATTTTATTGCCTTTGTTCCTCGACATTCTCCACGCGCGAACGAACGGCCTTGCGCGTTCCTGCGCAGCCGTCTCTCGCTTTATCAATCTCTCTCTCTCTCTCTCTCTCTCTCTGGAAGCTTCTCGGAGTCGATGGACAAATTTAATTACGGCCATTCAAGCGGAATACATTCGGACCAATTGTAGTCTTCCACAGGACGAACGTTTTCGTGCGCGATGATATCGCTCGGCTAGGCGTTCGGGCAGACGCTATTTAGCGTCTACAAACGCAATACCTCGGGAAGAATAGCGCGTAATTATGACGTACGACGCGACCATTAGTGCGCGTGTTTTTTAGCGTTATTTTCTAGTTCAGCGGATAGACCGTAACGCTAAATAGCGCCGAACGCAGCGTGCGGCTTTCTCTCATCGGCACGCAATGTCCTTATTCTTTCTTTCTTGCGAAATCGATCGGCGAATTAACCCCCGGCTTAATCGCGATAATGAGCATGCATGTCGTACGCGAAGTTCGTTTCCCTTTAACTCAAGCCTGTACGGCTAATTTTCGGGAGTCGACCTCGGGAAGAAAAGCGCGGTTGTATCGCATCCGGTATATTCCGCGACGATTACCGTATGTCGAATGCGTTTTCCGCTTGAAATTAGCCAGCCGAGAGATACGGCTGCATGTGACGTTCCTGAAAGCCACTTATTCGCGCTCGCGTCATGCCCAGTGCGGTTGTTACAGTGCGAACAAAAGGTGGCTCGCTTCTTCTCTCGCAGCTATCATCCAATAAGACGAATCGCGTATAATTCGCTGATGTAGCGAGAATTACGTAAGAAACGAGCGCGCTATAGCGAGAAGCTATATTAAATGGGCATTGCAAGTGTGTGTGTAGCGCTAAAGATGCGCGCCCGTTGTTTATCGCGTAGAACCGCGGATGACGATAACGCGGCTGAAAATAGATACACGATACTCGGAGTGTATGCGACGATAGACGAGAAGAAGTAATTAAATCGACTTGCGCGGCGAAATTTCATTCCGCGGTCCGTGTCGCACGATGAACATTCTCTACCGGGAATTACGCATGCTCTATCGTCGCGTCTGAGAAACGCGACCGGAGGAAACTACTCCTGCGCTTCTTTTTCTCTTTCTCCTCGGGTCCTCTCGACCTTAAGCTAAGACTGTTGGATTTGGAGCGCGATTTTCCAAACGCTTATCGTACTTTTACGGTGGCGTGAAGATTGAGTTCTCCAAGATCGAGCCGACTGGAGAAGGAGCGGAAAGAAAGAAAATATCACGAAGTGTCGAGGGAGAGAGAGGGGGGGGGGGAGAGAGAGAGAGAGAGAGAGAGAGAGAGAGAGAGAGAGAGAGAGAGATACGGTCGTGAAATAACGCTGCATTGCTGACTGTATATCGATTGGCCGAGACACGAACCGACTCGCCGTTTGCGAGAGAAAACAAAGTCAATGTTGCTGTTCGCGCGCGGCGTTTCGTGCGAAAGGAACAGCGCGAGATCGCGCAGGCTGCAGGCTGGAAACTCCGTTTCCACGGGCTCTCGAGCGAGCGTCTTTGCTTGTTTTCGTCGCTAATGGAACGATCTAAATCTTTGTTGTTTCGTACAGTTTGATTCGGAGAACTTTGGTGGAGAGAGAGAGAGAGAGAGAGAGAGAGAGAGAGAGAAAGAGAGAGAGAGAGAGAGAGAGAGAAAGCGCGAGCGAATCGACGCGAGCGTCTTTCTCCCAGGATATCTCTCGATCGTTTCCCTCCCGCTGCCCCCCTGTTAAACAGGATAACAAGGACAAGCGAGTTACGACGCAGTTCATCCAGTATAACGAATATACTTGTTCTCATGGTATGCGACTCGCTTCGGCTGGTGCGAAGGAATTCTCGCGCACGCACACGCTTCTGCATCGCGTACGAATGCTTGTCGAAGGAACTATTGCGTCACGCTCGGTTTACTGCCAATTATTATACGGCGAGGCGAGGCGAGGCGAGGCTTATCGCCGATACTACGCGCGTCCAGGTGGTGGTAATGAATACACGGTTCAATCTAAAAGTATTTGCCGGGTCACGCACACACGCACGCACACGCACAGTCGCGGATCGATCCATTCGTCCATTGGCTCGAGAATTTGTAACTCTCTCTCTCTCTCTCTCTCTCTCTCTCTCTCTCTCTCTCTCTCTCTCTCTCTTACGGCGCAACGCGGACATATACTTCTCCGATGCATTTGCTCTCTCCTCACTCCAAACAGGACACCGCTGATTAGATAATTGATAACGCGCTGCACAATAACTGTACCCTCGGTCTCATATACCAGATGAATGTAACAATAGCGCGACGATGCGTTGCGCATTCGACAAGCACGCGCGCGCGCGCGCACGAGAGAAAGAGAGAGAGAGAGAGAGAGAGAGAGAGAGAGAAGCTCGTTTGATGCACTCTTCGAGTCTCTTGGCTATGCGACCTCGAAGTCTCACGTTGCACGCTGCGCGACGCGCCGAGATAAGAGCTGTCCCGTGTAATTGAAGTCGTTCTCTCTCGGAGGGAACGTACTCGCAAGAAACAAAGGGATACGCTTCCAGCTAAACACAGCCGATTTCTCGCTCGCCCGCTGCAGCGATCGACATCGATCGCTTGGATCACCTTACACTCGTCGCATTCATCGCCAGGGCGATATCTAAAGTTTCATGTGGTGGAGTGTTGGGCAAGAGGGTGCACTTCCACCTTTTTTATCCTTTGTTTCTTTTCCCACGGATATTTCCAGAATAGATAACAAAGAATAGATAACAAAGAGCACACACGCTCGTGCGCACGTACGTGGCAGGTGAGATTCCGAGGCAAAACCGGGCCGCCCTCCGACGTGCGGAGCCCTGCCTCCGAGAGAAGCCTACTTGGCACTTCAGTTTCAGGAGATAAGAGAACCATTCACACCACGACAATTATCAATGCACACAGCAATTATCAGCGCGATATCATTATCTTTTGACGACCGACTCGACTACTCAACATTGCCGGGACAAAAAAAAGAGAGGGTTAAAGATAACATGTTTTCCCTTGTTCGAATTATGAATATACTTGCAAGTTATACGATAAATACCTAGAAACGATTGTTGTTTGAAAAATGCCGAGGATATGCCTGACTCAGCCGCGTCGAAGCATGTCCCGCTGAGCAAGGCAGATGGGCGACCGCTCCGGCGTCTAACGGAACAGCTGATAAAGCGCAACGCTACCGACGATATACCGTAATGCGCTCCGTAATAGATTTTTTTTAGCGGGGCCGTCACGTGGTCGCGTGGACGAACGATCGATCTAACGCACGCGAGATGTGTTTGCGAGAATTCCGCGTAAGTCACGGGCATTCCTCGGCGACTCTTCCTCGCGGAGACGCGAGTCCTCTTCACTCTCTCTCTCTCTCTCTCTCTCTCGCGCGGATAAGAGCGCTGATATCATCGAGAGACCATCGAATATCGCGTATCGTCGAGCCGCATTTTTCCGCAATGACTATAATGACGAAGAGCAGCGTCGAGAGTGGACGCGATATACCGATACGACGATCGCTCTATCTCGCGTTTCGATCGTCTGACGAGGCATTATCGCGCGATAATATTCTCACGCGACAAGATCTGGCAGTTCATAAACAGAGAGAGAGAGAGAGAGAAAAAGACAAAGAGACGGCAATGGCGACAGAGAGAGAGGAGGGGGGGAGAGAGAGAGAGCAAGACAGAGACGAGGATCGCGAGAGGAATTAAAGAGAAAAAAAAATAAGGCACATACACGGATCAGGACGCGAGATGCAAGATGGCGACTCGCAGGGAAGGCGAGGACAAAAATGGCGTAGTTAACGTTGCGTGCTGTCGCGCCGCAACTCCTACTCACCAATTACTGGAAATTAAACTCGGCATTATCGCGCCCTTTTTACTACTTTCACTATTACTTAACGACAGACTGGAATTAATATTCATACTTCTTTCTTCGTAAAATTTTGGCGGCTTTAAGTGCACTGCTCCACAACGAAATGTTCGCTGGAGTAGCGATCGACAAACTGCGACGACGGCGGCGTTCGCTATCTAAAGGCGTGTGAAAGACAGAAGTATTCTTCGCGGCGTTTACAGCAATACTGCTGGCAGCGCGACCGACGCCGACCTACCACCAGACGTATGCAGCAGCACGGTGTAGCGCCCCACGTCCCACGTGACGTCAGCCTAGATCCACCCGCGAATCAGACTCGTCGGCGGATTCCCACGTGTACGCACATGCGCCGTACACAGTTGCCTTTAAACGCGAATGATCGAACGATCCAGTAGCCGTCCGCCGTGCGCTTTGTCGTTTTTGCGATACTCTCACGTTGCGTCGCAGACTTTTCGAGACGTCGCGATTTTGCCTCTCGAGACATCTTTCTTGTTGTTTTTTCTTTCTCTCTGGCATAAATATAGGCGGAAATGCACTGCTCCGTGGCAGCAGCAATGATCGATCGATCGGCAGATGGATTCTAACGGTGACGATCCCGACGACCGACGACACGCGAGATACTTGATCTATTCTTTGTAGCTGCACTGTTTGAACTGGTGCAATAAGTTAGAGTGAGACAAATATAGGTTTTCTCACTCTAGCTTATTGCACCAACTCAGCAGCGCAGCTGCAAAGAACAGACCGGCTTGACTGAAAAGTATATCATGTATGTACAAACCGTTCTGTTTTATTTCTAGAAAGAAACATTCAACACTGCCTCACATCCAGTTCTTAGAGCCATCTTTTATTCATCGCGACGTACAATATTTCTTGCTTTGCACACACGCGTCTTGAGGACATAAATACGCTCATGCATAAATAAATAAAATGGATATTGCTCGTATACGCCGCGATGCATTTTTCTAGAGCGCGTGGAAGGTAGATGGAAGATTCTTGCACATACATTCTAACCACACAGAAGGTATATTGAACTCGATAGAGAGAGAGAGAGAGAGAGAGAGAGAGAGAGAGAGAGAGAGAGAGAGACAGAGAGAGACACAGACAGACAGAGAGAGAGAGAGAGAGAGAGGAGAGGGAAAGAGAGAAGGATGGAGAGAGGAAGGGATAGGCAGACAAGAAAACACGATTAAGGGTTACCAGCGTGAATCAAAATGCTCGGTCTTCGCCTTGGAGAAGAGCCCGCGTATAATCTCGGTTCTTCATTAAGTCTATCTCAAAAATTTGGAATGTCCGCGAAATTCGGATCTCTTGCTAAAGAGTGGCTTACTATCAATATCGCTAAATGCTCGTAAGTCGGAGTACGTCAAGGCACAATGCGCTAGATTGTTCTTTACCTACCATTGGTTAACTAATTTAGATCCTTATATAGAGAGGGTTAATCTCTTCTTCCCACATACATAACAAAATAGAGTGTTCGCGTTAGGATCTCCTCGAGATAAATCGCCGTATAGGTACACATGCTATGATATGATAATCCTCCAAAAGTAAACGCTTCAACAGACTCGGCAGATTACAGTGGTAAAGTAAAGGACGACGATATGATGATGATAATAATAATAATAATACTCTCTCTTGTACGCAGTTAAGTAGCTACTCAGCCGCACATCACCTGGCGGACAAAGTCTTCGTAATTGATATTACCCTGTGAATCTTCGTGACCTGCTAATAACGTTTCCACCTCCTCGTCACTGAGCTTCTCACCTGCAACGATACACACGACAATAATCTCACGCATCGATGATGATCGTCATGTGCTTTTCAGGAAAATCAAACGCATACCGAGCGTCGTCAGAAGATGTCGCAGCTCTGCAGAGGATATGAAGCCATTCCCATCTTTATCAAAGTGACGTAGACCTTCGATGAAGTCGTCCGCTGTGTCCGAGGTGCGGGCCTTACTGATCGCCTGGTAGATGGGCAAGAACACCTCGAAGCTGATGCGCTCGTCCGGCTTGTGCTGATGAGTGAACTTCTTCACGTCAGACTCGGTCGGGTTTTGTCCCAGAGCGCGCAGCGCGTCTCCAATTTGGGCCACGTGAATTTTCCCATCGCCACGGCTGTCAAACAACTGAAACGCCTCCTGGAATTCTACAGCGATACAACTGGTAAGCAAGACATGATACTCTATCTAAGTCATCGGGATCATCTTTCCGCTTTTTTTTTCCTGCCATCCTCGACATTCGTGCTGATGCGCGCCGTAATTAAAATCACCGTTCCGCTAAATCAGCAACAGGATTATTTACCCTCCATGGATGACATCATCCTGTGAGAGAGCTCTTGGTAGCTGTAGACATACATTTTCTTTCCCTCAAAGATAAGACTTATCAGCGGCACTGTCACACGCGATAACGTCAAGAACACACGTCACCGTAGCGACCGATCCCCTAATTCCTCGGCGTGTCGGCGGAGCACATGTACCACGAAGCGAGAGTGATCGGTCGACGGAGCAAGCTCGGCCGCGGGAGGAGGCAGGAGCGCGGCGATTAAGTCGACAAGTTGCGGCGGCGGCTTGCTTTCAAATACCGAGCCATAAAAGGCGATCCCCGATTCGCGGTATACCGCTCTTTACACCGGGCGATGCGTCTAAAAAGGCGATAATACTCTTGACCTGAATTGTGAGAACCCGAGGAGGAAAACGAGCGCGGCGCGGCGCAGCGCAACGCCGAGCCCCCCTCGCTCGCTCGCTCGCTCGCTCGTTCTTTCGTTCGCTCGCTCGCTCGCTCGCTCATGCAGACCTTTCTCGATCCGCCACGGTGCCTTCACTTACCCGCCAGCTGATCCTCGGAGTAAGACGCCTGCGAACATACACACGTAGCGACTCGTTTAGACGCATGCTCGGCAACACGCCGAATCGACGACGCGCCTCGCGCGTCCCGACTCCAGCCGTCGACGGCTGCTACCTCGTCGTGTACTCACCATCGTGAGTACTTCCGGTAATCCCAACAGCGACCAGTGACAGACGACACAATGCGAACTCACGTAACAGACGGTGCCCCGCGAGCTGTTGCGAACGAGCGAACACCGCTCCACTGCGGTGACGTAGCACAGCGGAAGTGAGTCACGACTGATTGGGAGATGGATCTTTCTCTCTCTCTCTCTCTCTCTCTCCCTCTTTTTTTGTTGCTCCCGCCCGTCGTTGTTCTCTCGTTCTCCTTCCTCGTGTGTGTTCGTACGTTCTTTCTTTTTTTCTTTCTTTCTTTCTTTCTTTCTCGCTTTCAAGTCGCCGCGGATCCGATCGCGAAAGTGCCCGAGGGCGATTGACGCGCGCGATCGAGCGAGCGTTAAAGAAACTCCGTCATCGCGATATGCTGACGGCGTGTTGCGATTTTCTCGCGATTACGCCTGACGGCTGGTGAAATTTCGGAGCCATGCGCGCCATCTGTCGGGCATCTTCGACGTCGCCGCGCGGCGCACCCGGCGACGGCACTGCGAGTCGCGTGGCTTTCTCTCTTCTCTGTGAATAGTTTGAATTCGGTCCCGGGTGGCACGTGATCTCAAAGTTTCAAATCGTGGCAATCGGGAGGAGGTTCGAAAAGTCGCAATGACGCATCCGGTAAGTTGCAGTTGAAGTGTCGAATTGTGCGCGCGATTTCGGAAGGAACGCACGGCAGTTGTTGTCGTAATGATCATTTTTATTATCCTTCTTTATTCTCGTACATATAGTTATACAGAAAAAGATCACGCTTATAACTGTAAAATCGCTTAACGCTCAAGCTCGATTGCGTCGGACTTTGCTCGATCGGCGCGATCGACGAATTACTCTCGATCTCGATCGCGCCTGCTTATACTCTAAGATCCACCTTCGACATACAGCAGGATTTCTCAAACGATTTCTCAATTATATCACAGAAATACAGACTTTGATACTCGAGTGAGACAGCTTGAAGACGCACAATTACAAAACTGTGTCCCGGGTGTGTAATCCGGGTGTGATCGGGAAAACTCGTACAAAACACGTAGAAATCTGTGCGTAAACGTTAGAATTAGAAACGATCGACAGCTTCGAGCTGTAAAATCACCTCGGGGATTCTCGGGTGAACTCTCGCAAAGAAAGATAAATCGACGATTCGCGTTCCTCCGAATGACGCGCACATGTAAGTATAGCGCGGTCTCCTTTCACGTTGTTTACAATTATATACGACTTCCGTTTAACGACTTTTGTTTATAGTATTTACGATTAATGTTAGAGTTAATATCGTGTGATAGTAAAATGAGTTGTCGCATCCCATCTGTCACAACTGATACTCGCTATCCCCGACACGTTTATATCGCCGATCTAACAAGTGTATATAACAAAAGGAACGTCGAGATAGCATTTACAACACTACTAATACTAGTAAATAATTCTGTGCTCGCAATGTTAGAATAACAATTGACGCGTTAGAAAGGGAGACTCCTACGTATATATAAATATGTCGCGGTGCCACTAATAAAAAATATCCAAAAACTGATATACATTTCAAGAGTTGTGAACAAAGCAATGTACCACCGTTGTGTCACACGCAAAACTACGCGCGACAATTAAAATACGTCTGTACGAACCTCAAAGTATATAATAAAGAGAATGAATGCACGTTAAAACGCGATGAGAGATGCTAGGGATTAGAAAATCGAGATATATCTTCAGTATTCCGAGAAATACGATAATTCCTCGCCGTATAATCTTATACATTAGGCACAAATATTCCTCTATACTACTAAGTAGCATATCCATTCTCTAAAACGTGTTTATAACGCGCAAGTTTACTTTTCTTTTTTCCTTTTTCATTAGTCTTTTTTTATCATTCATTAATTATTCTAAACTGAAAACTTGGTTTTCAGCTGCTTTCAATTGAAAAGTCTCAATACCGTGAGATGGGATAAAAACTTTGCAACTCCGCGCCATTGTAAAAATGGTATTTCGGCTCGTTTAGTAACATCTAGAGTAATGCTCAACAACCTTCTACGGAAATCACTTTCCTCGACACTAGAAGACGGTCCTCTAAAATTCTCCTTCCCGCCTGCAAAGTTGACCCTGTCGTTACAATCTTAGAGATCCGAAATTAGTTCTACTTGATATATCGGTACTCCGAGGAGAAGGTCTTATAAAATTCGGTCGGTAAACTCCCCTACGGGGAGCAGTCGAGTGTTTAACGGGAGAACGAGTTACTGGAATTATAAAAGATTTGAAAGAGATGCGAGATGCTGGAGAGTAGCAAAGACGCACGCCGCACTTGCGAGATGGTGCACGCCGATTCGGCCGAAATCCCGCTTGTACGTGTAGAACTAATATAAAATCCGAGGTATCTTCGATACCTCTCTCTCTCTCTCTCCCTCCCTCCCTCCCTCTCTCTCTCTCTCTCTCTCTCTATCTCTCTCTATCTATCTACATGTACGTATGTACGTTCGACTATTCCGTAATATCGATACTTAGACCAGCACTCCCACTATCCGTAATCTCAAGGATTGTCAATAAATTTGCGTTAACTTGTACTGTTGCTTTGCATCAGGTATCTGGATTGTTAGAGTATAGTACACGCGCCGTATCGTCGAATGTATTCGGAATTCTTTCAGCAATATTCGTTTCTAGACACTGGTCTTCTCTTTCTCTTCTTCCCTTTCTCCCAGATCGATGGTCAGATCAGAGCCATTCTGATATTAAGAGGATATGCAGTATCCTTAGAATGGGGTGATGTTAGAATCTCGGCGAATTGCGCAAAATTTGGGAATCGCAACGTCTCTTCATAAGCCGTACCTTTTGTAAGGTCACCGCTACATCTCTCGTATTTTTGCAAGCGTCTAATTGATCTTAGTCGGTCATATCTACGTCCGACGTTCGAAGTACCTTCTGATTCTTGGGAGTGAATATCACTGCGTCAAAGCCGCTGAACTTTGAGCCGCTCGAACTTACCGCGGAGTAAAGTCGTTTCTCGTGCATTCGGCGAGTTGCCGACACGTGCGTGTAGTATTCTCTGCTTTTCTCTTCTCGTATCGCAATGTGACGCGCAAATTTCGATCATTATTGCGGCCCTTCACCGTGCAGTAGGGTGAGTATAGCGTTTCTGAGAGCGATATTCGAAGTGAAGGAAGTGTCGTGCAACGGCTCGTTCGTCATCGGGCTCGTGTATTTACCGCACAGGAACCACTCGTTTATAGCCGCTCTCTCGTAGGTAAATCCGTCTGGAAACAATCGTCGATCAAATTTCAAGTATACTTTCGTCTCATGCTGTTTTGCTAAAAAAAAAAAAAACGTATGTTCAAACAAATGATTTGACGATGATCGTTGTTGGCCACAGTGAGATAACAAAAATCAAACAAATTTTTTTGCAACCGAGACTGATGTTCTGTAAAAAAACCTTGAATTATCTAGCTTTTGTAAAGAATTATTCGCGAGAGAAGATTTCGCTGTTTTACAATATTTTACCTGAACATTGCACAGGTTCTTTCATTATCTCGTGCGTTATGGGACACAGGTATTCATGGGGAATCTCAGACTCGTCTATACTCTCCGTGACATTGAAGTCCTCACGCTTTAGCCAATATAATTGCCTCTTCAGTATCTCCACCGCCTGTAAGGATCATTGACGTATCATTAAAAACGGATAGATAAGTAATAAAATAATCTCAATATTGTATACTCTACCTCTTCGTCGTCCTTGATGTCTAGTTTAGATATTAGTTCGTTTTCCGATATGGAGAGCAAGTGTCGTCCAGTCAATCTCAGAGGAAGCACTCTCCTGGCCAGTCTGGATAGCTCGATGTCGTTTAGCCATTTCAAAGTGTCGTGCACATTCCAGTCCGTCACCTGAATAAACAAAGCCTTGTCTAATTAAGTATCACTCGTCATTTCGCACATTTGTATACGAGACCGACCCTCTTCTTCTTGTTTCTCAGGCTGTCCATCAGATTGCTTTGTGACACTAATTGCTGCGGCACCTTCCAAACCAGAACGGTCTTGTCCAACGCACCTGGAAATATTGCCGTTAAGTATTCGCAAATGTTATTTCACGGATACATCTTTTTAATTGGTTTAATAGCAATCCGTAGGAATGTTTCGCATGCATATCCTTGTTTTCCACGTCATCATTCAAGATGGCTGCAGCGAGGAAACGAAAAGCCTTAGGATGGAAGATATGACAGGGACAGAAGAAAGCGAAGTACAGTGTAATTTTGCATCGGTAGCTTCTCGCGATAGTCGAAGCGAGTCAATCAGTGAAAGTTTCGAGACCTGTGGCGAAGAGAGTCGTATCTTCGGAAAATGCGCACGACGTGACGAGACTGTCGTGATCCTCCAAGACGTACAGGCAACTTCCGGAAAACTGAAAACACGTCGGGTCTCATACGTGTACGTGTACGTGTCGTGCTCATAGTTGTCGCCGAAAGCAATCGTCTTTGTCGCTCACCACGCTCCATATACGAGCTGTCCTGTCCGTCGCGACGCTACCCAGGACTTCCCCGTGAATGGGCGAGAAACGGACGCACATGACGTTGCCGCCGTGCCCGGCCAAGGATTTCTTCTCCTTGTAACGCGTCCCAGACTCGCTCGTTCCGATGCTGTCCGGATCGGCTGGTGGCTCGTTCGATATGATTACATGCCACAGTTTGACCAGCGAGTCGTTGCCACACGTCGCCAAGAGATACATTTGCTGGTCGACGTTCATGTCCGAGTTTCTGGCTGCAAACAATCGGTACATTGGTCGTCGATTATCGGCGGGCGGGAATTCATTTCCGAGAAATGAACAGTTTCTCGACGATACGTCTAACGAGTAAAAAAATTGATGCAATTTCTTTGCTCTGCGTCGTCGTGAAATGGTGATTCTTAGAGGGGGACTTCTGTTCTACACGCACTACACATCGTGGAGCTCGAAGTGGGGCTGAAGTCGCATCCCTGAACACCCAGATCGTGGCTGGCGTCGCAAACCATCAACGCCTCGCTGCCGTTCTTCTCGTCCAGGGTGTCGAACAGCCGCCAGGTGCCCTCGTTACACGCGGTTACCAAGTACCGAGAGTCGTGCGTGAACGCAATAGCCGATATCGCGTCAGCGTGTCCTTCGAAGACACTGTAACACGGCCTAGCGATTATTGTTATTGTTAATAGCAACAGAAGCCGAGACTGCTTACGTGATGCAATGATTCATAATTCGAGCTTGGCACTACGATTTAGATTGCGGGATTATAGGATAGATTTCGTGGTCGGGCTATTTATCGCACGAGGAGTCATCCCCTATTTATAAACTATGTCATGATGCCCCAATATTGATTTACTCTATTTTTTTCTCGTCGACTGTACGTACTGCAGCTCGTCCATGGTCTCCACGTCCCATAACGTGGTCTTCTCGTCGTCGCCGGCAGTGGCGATCTTCACGCCATCCGGTGACCAGCGGCACACCCGGATGCCGGTCCCAGAATTGACGAATGAGGACTTTGCCTGACCGCCGATCTGCCGGAAGGAATTGTCATGGAGAGGACGAGATTAAAGCTCTGATCACGCGCTGTTATACGTAGTTATGGCAACCCAGACAGCACTAATGTCCAAAACCGGGACATAAGAGGTTTTTCAGACGTCTTTAAGTCGTCTTTAAGTTTAAGGTGTCTGAAAGACGTCTTAAAGACGTCTTATGTCCCAGTTTCGGACATTGTGCTGTCTGGAAACTTACCTCCGTGTTCCAAACCAGAGTCGTGCCATCGAGCGAACAGGAAGCGAGCATCGTGCCGCACGGACTGAACTCCACGTAGTTGACACTGTAGGTGTGAGCATCGAGCGGACTGAAGGGCTTCTCCTGTATCTTGATCACCTCCTGCCCGTCCTCCTCTTCCGTCTCCACGCTCCATATGCGCACTAGTTTATCCCTGAGAACGACAGGAGATCGCGTTTATTTATTCGACCGTCTCGCTAGCCTCGTGATGGATTCTCGGAGACCAACCCTGAAGCTGAAGCTAAAAGATTGTTCCCATAGAAGGCAACGCTGTTCACCGCCCCGTTGTGCTCCTCCAGTCTTTGGATCAGTCTCACCTCGTTAGCGAAAGTTTCGACGTTCCTCATCACGTCTTGCTCGTGCATAGCGCTCTGTGGCGATGAACAATGTCGTTAATGCGAGCACTTCCGGAGAGCGTCATTTCGCCTCTCATCAGCTTACCTTTTCAGGATCACTCACGAACCACTTGGCGCCAATTCTCGAGAGCTCGGAATCGATATTCAGGTTTCCCGTCAGGTCCCACACGATCACCGATTTGTCATTGGAGCCTGTGCAATTGTACGAAGAGTCAGACGTCTGGAGAGGACACTCGACGCTCTTCTCGAAGAGCAGAGAGAGAGAGGTATTACCTGTCGCCAACAAGTTGCCGTCGCGTGAAAAAGCGCAGCAAGCGACGTATCTATTGTGACCGGACAGTATCGATGCAATTTTTCCCGAGCTCTAAGATTCAATCGGAGATCACCACGTGTTATTGTCTCTCTGTATACGGTATATCGGGAGTCAGGGAATCTACGCGTCGCGTTACTCACCGTCTCCCAAATTACTGCCGTTTTATCGAGGCTACAGCTGGCAATGTATAATCCGTTGCTGCTGAAACGGACGCAAGTTAAGGCACTGCTGTGCTTTTCCATCACTCTGCAAAGCTGTACAGTGGCAGTAGAAGGCTGGGCCTCGCATTTGTTCTGGCTCACCGTGACTTCCCACAGTTTCACATCGTGATCGTTGCCGCACGTTACCAGCTGATAAAGCTTGGTGTACGGCTCGTTACCTGCAAGCGCAATCATCTATCGCTGTCCAACGAGTGGATGAGTTATAAAAAACTAATTTATCTATAAGATTAAAAAAATATCTGATGCGCGCGATCTGAAGTAGCGCATTCCCTCGAACCTAATTGACCAGAACGCGCTATTGAAGAAAGCCCTTCCCCCGTGTGTGTGTGTGTGTGAAATCAGTTTTGCGTAACACATCTCTGGGGGACGTTAGAAAAATATCTCTATCGATCTATATCGCGATGTTTGCGTACACGTGACTTCCTGAAAACTCGAGAAGTCGCAGCAAACCACACCCATGTCGTGAGCATCGTCGATCGAAGCAAGTTCCGTGACGTCTTGATTGCTAGAGGTACAAGTGTCGATCAGTTCGGCAGTGGAGAATAGCTTGAGGACGCCCAGCGTGCACGTGGTGATGAGCCAGCAGGAGTCCGGCGAGAAGGCCACGCTCTGCACGGCACCCTCGTGCTTCTGAAAGCACCTGCAGACCAGAAACGAAGGTGATCAAAGGTGATCGGTGAAGAGAACCGGTAGAGCGAAATCCACGGTCATATCGTCACGCTCGACATCTTTTCTACTGTAACTTTCATCAAAGCCTCTTCTATAAAAAAAGAGCAAGGCGTCGCATCTGCGTGCGTTGCGATCTCACCTGATTAAATTGCGGTGAACCAGATCCCAGATGCAGACTTGGCCGTTATCTCCGGCGGTCGCGAGTAACGTCGAATCTGGCGAGAATCTGCATACCCTCACCGCTTCGCCGCCCACTTGAACCATGGCGTGTATCTTCGTCCCCGTCTTCGAGACGAAAGGAATTTCTATATGAATTTCTATACGAATTCTGTACGAATCTTGAGGTGGAATCTATCTCTTTCTCCTCCACCTTCTTCGGAAGAATTACACACAGGAACTTTCCCGTGTAATCGTGAGACGCGTTCTTCCGCGTGACTTCTTCAACTTACACGTAAATTCCAAAGCAACGTGGTACCGTCTATGCTGGACGTGGCTAGCATGGTGGATTGGGGGCTGATTTTGACCGCGGTAACGCCGTACTTGTGACCCATCAGCGGCGAAAAGTAAGCCTCCACGTAGCCAGTGCCGGGTTGCCATTCCCAAACTCGGACGCGTTTGTCCCTGCATGTTGAAGAGGAGTGAGCTCGCGGCTCGACGTCGTCGTACCGCGAAATTGCCTATCGATAACCGATATTTACCCGGATCCCGTTACCAGCACGCAATCGCCGGCGAAGTCGACGCTGTTTATATCGCTGGTGTAAACTGTGAGAGTCTGCAAGACTTGCACGTCGCCTATGGCAGTCATGGCTGTTTTTCTTCAGATTAACGGGGTTCTTAGCTGTAAAGACACGTTTAACGATTAATCAGCTGTTTTCGCTCTTGTCGGTGTCAATCGCCCTACGAGAGAGTGTCTGTCGCGTCTGTCGCTCTTTAAGCGTCGGACTTTAAGCGTCCGTGCCTCTCCCAAGTCAACGTACTACTATAAGGAGCGATCGCATTGATATCGCTGTCGTGAGTGGAATGATCACTGATTAGGAAACCGAGGCCGGGCGGTCTTGTGCGTCGGAATAACGATGACTATATTCCGCCGCGGTTCGATGATATCAAATTATCATGACTGGTCGTGGACATATTTCATGTGTTCCGTCGTCAGAGGCATATCTCGGTCCTAGTTGTCACACACAGCAATGTCGTGCCGGGTAATGAGCCGCAGGTCGGTAGGTACCTTCGCTTTAACCTTCGCTCCCAGAGCGCTCGCAAACGTAGGCACGCGTTTCTCAATAATATATTGTGTTCCGAATCGACTAACTGTTCTACAGGTGGGCACACGTAAGGCAGCAGGTCTCTAAGTTTCTAAAAGTCAGGCAGCCTTGGCATTGACAATCGCTATATGTCCTCGTGTATTCTCATTCTCTCGGTCGATTTGCATTAATTTCCTCGCTATCTGGCGTAATTGGCGACCCCCCGGAATCGAGACAGAACGCATCGCCGTGTTCGTCAAGTATTTACCGTGATCTTGTTGTTCAATTATCAGCGTCGCTATCAGGAGTAGCTACACCATCGCGTCATCGCGCAAAGGCCCGGTTTTTTAATTTCCAGAGTTGTTGTTCAGTTCGCGGCGGAAACCGCGGAACTCCCACACGCGCGGAAATTAATCCCAATTATCGACGCCGTTTGCGGGGGAATAAATAAAACGCCCCCGACTTGGCGGTAGCGCGGTAGCATAGTTCCATCGCCAACGCTGACGTGTACATTAGGGCTATCGATTGTATTTATCTGCTTTATCTGCACGGAATGGACGTAATAAACATTATTACCTCGTTCGCGATCGCTAGCCTGGATATCAAAAAGGACTCGTCGTTGAAGTTTACCCGTGAGACGTGTAGCATTAACAATCAGATAAACAGTTTGTCCGACCCACGCAACCGCACAACGACGTGTTCAAAGCAACATGATGCGATAAGGAGAGACTGCGGTGACGCGTACGATGTTACACATTTTATGCGCGAGTGTGCAAGCTGCAATAATCGCTAGATGCGTCACGGGAGATATTAAACGCGCGATGGTCATCGCGTATAATTTTACATCCATAAACGTATATTGTTGTGACGAATATGTGAAGTATATTACCGTCAATTCGGCTATCTTTTAATATTTCGTAGATAACATATATATATATGTATATATATATATATATATATATCATAATCTCTCGCAATACGCGATATTAAAACATACGGGTGTCTATCCGAAATTATACACGCGATAAACATGTACACATGATAAGAAATGTACAGAAAATTAAGGATATCACTCTAGGTGCACTGCCGGGTTTGGCGCTAATCAATATATTCGCCAAACTAGAATTCGCACATTCGCAATCGCGAATTCGAAAACAAACCGCGTCAGGTCGAACCGCGGGGTTGAATGACTCGGAAATGTACGTACATATCTATTAATATCTCCCCGTATTAATCGTCCGGCACGAAAATAGCTATTTCATAACAATTCATCCGTTACACTTTGCGTGGGATCGTCGCCGTTACATCTAACCCGTTAACGAGCCAATGAGCCTCTCTGTGTGACTGAGCGGTAAATGAAGGATAAATCAAGCGTGCACGAGTCGCCGCCGCTCTCGTGTCGGTCGCTCTCGCTAGTTACGCACTCACTAAATCGCGACGACTTTTTGTCATGGTTTAATCGCTCGCCAATTCTATTCTTTCACGTTTACACACGACGTAGGGAGCACGAGTTGCGTAATTCTTGCGAATTTCTCGCGTTTCGTTTTACTGTGCATTTACTGTGCGTGTATATTACTGTCTCTCTCTCTCTTTCTCTTCCTCTTCCTCTTCCTCTCTCTCTCTCTCTCTCTCTAGTACTCACTCGTAGCAAAGGCACATGTTCCAGACACTAGTAGACAGCTCTCACAGTGCTTCGTTGTTCTTATCGGCAAATATGCGCAGAGTACATGATTTCGCGTCGGTCGGCCGTAATTCTGAGCTACACGTCGCGTAGCAGTGATGTCACATTATTTATTACGATTGTAGTGCTCCTCTGCCGACGAGACACTTCGAACAGGATACCCCGGACAGGGCACCTGTCACAATGAAGTTAAAGGCGCTAAACGCATGTCCACTGGCCGACCAGATCGATATTACAGAGGCGTAACGCGAGATATAAACGGCGCTGCCTGGAGAATGCAGCGTTAACGTTTATTTTTTGCCTTTTTTTTTTCACAATCCCGCTGGAGCGGAGCACAATATCTTTGCAATTATGCGGTTGCGCTTGTCGTAACAGGCTCGGATGTTGTAAATTTTTTTTTGTCATCGCGCTAGGAGTGATAGGGGTATTATATAATAATAACAGTTTGTTGCGTTTTACATTTTGACTCACCAACTCGCGATTACACGAGTACATTGCTTTTGATACGTGTAATGTGAGATATATCAATTTTACTATTTTCTCAGAATTATAAATCTATTTATAAACGGCGAAATTGAACGGGTGTGTGATGCTGAATATTTTGTTTTTAGAAAAATGATATGATGAATTTTTCTAGCTACAAACTGCTTGTAACGTATCGAATGCGATGAAAAATTTAAGTTATATTTATTTCAAGTAGACAAATGTTGCTGAGATTCTGGAGGATGTAAGAAATAAGAAATTTCGTGACTCAATAAAAAATAACAAATTATTATTGCAAAGTTCATAGTCCAATTACGGTAAGTATTACATCTTATCCGAATCTTACGCGAAACGTGCAAAAGGTGAATAATTATTTTATTAATTTACTTGGGTTATCATTTTTAAAATATTATACGTATATATATATATATTTATTTGTTTATATAAAATTTGCTGGAGTTTATATCAGACGCAACACATTCGAGTCGTAAGGTCTGTTCATTTTAGTTGCACTGCTACAAGTGCACTTTTTGCGTTAAAAGTGTTGCAAGTGTAAATATAGTCCAAGTCCAACTGTCTAGGAAAAAGACGAAAGAGAAGAGAGATAAAATTCAAATGCAAGTGTATCTAAAATAATAAAAATTCACTAGAATATCCGCGATATTGTTGGCACGTGCCAAAATTAACAAACACGTGCGAAAATTGACAATTGTCAATCAGCAGTTGTAAAATGGCGAGTCGCACGTCAATGCATGCTCGTAAGTAAGATAATAGTAAGGTTGGAATGTTGTGACTGACAGCGGAGTTTGGAGTCGCTTGATTCTGCTCTTCGTGAACCTCTCATCAGTACAAACAGCGAGAATTGTCAGATGCCACTCGGTAATAAGCCAGAATGTACGAAATGCGGGACCCGCGAGACTCCGCTCTGGCATTCCACCGAAGCCGGTAACCTGTGCAACGCCTGCCTGGAAGACGAACGTAATGCCGAGGCAAACGCGTGTCCCAAAACAGACGAGGAAGATAAAAGCGGCAACACACTGAAACCCACCAGGAGAAGCACGAGGATAACAAGATACTGCAACTCCAAGTCTGCCGGACATCACAAGGTGGTGCCTAAAGGCAAAGGTCGCAGGAACTTGTTCAAGAAAACTGTGCGTGAACTTCCCAGTTGCTCTAAACAGTCTAGTTCTTGATGTACCTAAAAGGGCTAAAATTTTTGAAGCTTTAGTAGATTATATTTTTTCTATGCATAAAATTAAATTTGCTTACAGCCTATAAAAGCACCTACAGCTACTGCAACTCCAGTTACTAGTAATTTTGTATTCTACAAAGGTACATATTTTCAAGTCGGTGATATAGTATCTATGCAAGATATAGATGGGGGTATTTATTATGCTCAGATACGTGGCTTATTGATAGATCAATATTGTGAAAAAAGTGCCGCTATCACTTGGTTATTACCTACCACAACGAGGTAATTTTTTTTTATCTTGTCAAGTTTCATTTCAATATCCTTTGTACAATTCTTTGTTGCGTATGTGAACATATTTATTAACATTGAGTGATATCTTTTTGCAGCCCTCCACCAGAGGAAGGATTTGTTCCTGAAACATATATAATTGGACCAGAAGAGGACTTACCACGAAAATTAGAGTGCATGGAATTTGTGATGCATGCTCCATCGGATTATTATAAACTGAGGAACACGCCTTATCCACCACCGCTTACAGAAAAAGGAATGGGTTATATATGGACAACTCTTAGAAACGAAATGGCTATATCTAAAAAGTGAAAGTAATGATGAGGTCATGTTAGAACTATAGTATCTGATTTTGCCTTAAATTTAGTCTATAAAATTACTTTCTGTAATACTGACAAAACTTTTGCAAAATTATTTTTAGTTCAGTGTCTTATAATTAGCAGTATTTTTAATAATAGAACTATAAACTTTTGTCAAAGTACTGATATAACAAAGATATTTTGTATAATTTTATATGTATATATTATATATTTTGTAGTATCGAGTCTTAGTTAAACAATCAACCGAGCTAGAAACTAGATTTCAGATACACAGTTTAAACTATAATAGTACAGTATAGGAAAAGATTAGTCTATACAGCATTATTGTATATAAAATGGAAGTAATTTTAAGAAGCGGAAAATAATACGCATTGCTAGCTTTTGCATTAAATATATTTTCATTACAACTTAACATATTGGTGCTTTGTATTTCTGACAAATATGCTTCTCACACAAGATAAATTGCTAGACTATTTTGGAAAAACTGATGTCACAGTTGAAATCGTATGAATTCGATATCTTTTCTTTACATATATATTTTCTAGCATTCGTTTACGTATAAAATGGTAAGAACCATCCTCACAATTGCCTGATCTTTTTCTTTTGTACATATAAATTTTCTTAGGATTTATACAAGTATTCTCAACTTATACAAGTATTCCTTCGCTTTTCCTCTCTCTCTCTCTCTCCAATTTACTTTTCTATTCGTATAAATTATATTTCAAGAATGACAGCATCAAACAGTGATTTATCTGTGGTCTCTAACTCTGGTATCGCTGTGACGGGATATACGGAGGTAGTAGGCAGCAATGGTGCATTCTCGTTTGCTCGAAGGGAAGGGAAAAGTGTCCTCGGCGCGGTGGTGGTGTCGGTTACGTTCGGGATGACAGAAGAGACCAGTCAGCTGGGAGCCAACGAAGTAACGGCTGGTCAGAATTTGAGGTCTTTTATGGCTTGCGGCAAGTCAGGCAGCTTCATATCCTTTATTTGTTGCGGTATATTCATATTCTTCACTGCCGAGACAGCACGCGCCGGCGCTGCTGTGATTCCCGCCTGCACACACCACATACGGATGGAAGAAGCGGAAAACGGACAAATACAGGAGGATTTAGTGAATGCTAGTTCGATTAGCTTGGGAGCGAAGGCAAATGACGGGTAGCTACACAATATGACGATATTTATTATTTTCACAGAGCATTGCGATACGTATACATTATCAAGGCACTCATTAATGGAGCGGACATTTACAAACATTAATTGCGTCACCATGCGTGTTACGAACGCTCTCATACTGCTTTGCGAAGCTACCAAGGACTTTGATATATTTTCGAGTTTTTTTGTAAAATAAAGAAAGAAAAAACGAGCGAATCACATTATATGCAAAAATGAAATTGTACAAAGTGGCCCAATTTTCTACTGCCGATTTACTTAAGGAGGGGGCCCCAGAAGGACAAACGGACGGGGTGAGCAAGATCGTCCGGATTTGTAAGTCCCCTAAAATTGATGTTACGTCGATCAGTCCTATCTAGCAACTACATCAAGTTTGCTCTACAGATCGTTCCTATAGCATGCACAGCTAGCGTCCAACAGACTGCTTTGAGCAGTCAATATTTTCAAGCCGAGTGAAAAAGTGAACACATTTGCAAAGTTGGCCGCACTAGGTCAAAACGCGTATCGCTAGCATTCTTATTTAATGAAGTGGGATTTGATGAATTTAAGCATAAAAACTTGTAAAATTTATTCACTATAGACGTAGGTTGACGATCCTAACTGTGATCCATTATTGTGTTGTGATATATTTATAGTTGTAAAATATTTAATCAAGAAGATACATCAGAGAGAAATATATTTAAGAGAAGTTTGAAATAAATGAGTAGATCACGATTAAGAAAGTTCTGGGACACAACATTGTAAGGTGTACTTACCTCTTGCTTTTCTAATTTATTTTGATCTTCAATCCTTGTGAGAATTTCAGTCATGTTGGTCTCGAGAACCATACCACCCATTACCAATTCATTAAGTATATAATGAACTTTGTCCACATGAAAAATGAGATCAAGTTCGCACACATTCTCAAAACATTTGTCTAAGGTTTCAACAAAGACTTGTATTAGATCTAAGATTCCTAATTCTGATTCTGAACTATCAACACAGAACACAAAGTAAAGTGTGGCATAGTGTCGGTAGATCAGTTTGTAGTCGGATCCACCGATCAAACTACCACCTTCCAAGAAATTGCATACATTATCGTCTCTCTTTGACACAAGTTGGAACGTTTCTTTTATTATCTGTTGCTGCATATCCTCATTCTGAAGCAGAAAAAGTACTTATCATGTAAATCTATATAAATGTTTGCTGCATTGTATTATTCTTTTACAGCATTGCAATTTACTTTTGGGTATTTCGATATAAAGCTGTAAATTACAGTGATACGTTGTACTCAATTTAAATCCAATTATTTTGAAGGAATTCAGAAATGATTGTACATCTTATAAACACTGAAGAAGAAAGGTCTAAGCGAATAGCAATGGTGTATACTTACAAAGTACTGGTAAAACTTGGAAAGGCGAGGTTTCCCATGGTTATTAAAAACCAAAATTGCCTTAATCATGTTTATCAACGTTGGAATCAACGCTCGTTATTCGACCTTATAGTAATCCTATTACTAAGCTCAAAACGTACTGTCATTGGTTTGCGCAAGGTTATGTTCCATATTCCCGACTAGTTTCCAGTGTAATAGCTCGCATTATATTTCCCTGTTGTGTTATGAAGCAAAGCTTTATCACTGTTGTATATTCTTGTTGTCCGTCCACTATTGATAATGGTGAATAATACCCAACAAAAAGAAAGTCTCCACAAGGTTAAGCAGCTGTCAACACGTACATCGTGCATATATCGAAGTGAAGATACAACAATCTTTGACAGATAGACGGATAAGTTTTGTTCTTTCTTTATACAAAACAAATAATTATCCTCTTGATGTTTTCAAATTCCATTAATCTCTATAATAATACACTTCAATTTACGTTATTAAATTAAATAATTATTTTTCCGCTATATACTATCAGCTCTCAGTTCAGTTCGGTATATGGCTTTAGGTAGAAGGGTGTACCCATACGCCATTCTCCAGATACTATCAGCTCTGCTATCAGAGAGAAACCTGAGAGCGGCCACCGGGTTGAAACGCTTCTTCCGACGCTCCCCTGAAAAAATGTGTGCACACTACGCCCGTTTGACGATAACGGCAAAGTGTGCAAAGGTTTTTGTTCTTCCTTACTTTACTTCTTTATGGAAGATAGTAAGATAGAAAAGCATAGACGATCAATCGCTCTCTATCTTTGTCGCGCCACCGATGAGCGTACGTGTTGCAAAAGGAGATACAAGGTCTGTTCGTTTTCGTTGCACTGTTGAATTGGTGCAATAAGTTAAAGTGAGACAAATATAGATTTTCTCACTCTAACTTATTGCACTAGTTCAGCAGTGCAGCGAAAACAAACAGACCTACGATCTCAATCACGAGCAAAAGCGTCCCGGCGTAATCGGCCCGGTAGCCGCTCGCAGGTTTTTCTCTGATACTATTTGAATGCAAAAGTCCGTTAGTTTTGTCGTCGAGCTGCACTACTTGAAAAATGACGATTCCTCTGATCTGCCGTTGAGTCGTATTCCTCAATTTGTCGATAGAAATGCTAGCGCCCCGTAGGATCACATCGTTAGATGGCGCCAGGTGGACCGTTAGTCGCGTTGTCACAGGTCATGTAAATCAGCTCTTACGAAGTCAATGGTAACGAAAATCTCCGCTGTACGTCGCCACTAGTTTGGAAGAGCTCGTTTAAATATTTTGAATCTTACCCGTCGTTTATATTGAGATATTGAGATCCTGAGGCTCTGTTAATGATGCAACGTTGATACTAAGGTAAGCAATATTGTAACGTTACCTGTCATTTAAGAAACAACAAAGTCTAGATTAAGAGATTTGAAAAGCTACATGACGTAAGCAACGTAATACGCTCATTCAGTTTCAAAATAATGCCAACACAATGTTCGATATTATGCGATAAAGAGAACGACAGGTTAGTTGAAAATAAAATCGATATAATTTCTGCAAATTCGTTCGAATACGGCTAAGAATCGGTATAACTTCGAATTGAATTTAATTTTCGATATTATAAGCATAAAGATGGTTATGTTCGAATCATGGTTTTTCTCCATAACCACAAACAAGATAAAGATCATTTTCGCGTACCTGTTGCATCGAAATCTGAACTTAAGAGCTGAAGTTACGACGATATTATTGTGTTTGAAATGCCTGATATTTATGAGAGAAACGATAATCGCAGCAGTTAAATTGCGTTAACAGGATATTTAGGTATCTCAGGCCCAGTTCCACAACTTGCTTTAAACTCCGTTTAAAGCAAGTTGTAGAACTGGACCTTAGAGACACTGTGACGGTATATTTAGATGTCTTAGAGATCATTCAGCTTATTTATTCGACACAACATATCTTCTCATGTACACATAGACACGTTATACACATATAGACGTCAGAATAAACATTAAATAGTTAACAACGAATTCGTTACTCTGTTGACGTTGAATATCTCTTATCTCTATCGTTAATTCATACGACCCACCAATAATATATATATATGTATATATATATAATATACCTTGTGACCATATTTATTCTGTGATTTTCTTAACGCTTATAATATAGAAGTCGTTTGGTTGCAATCGCGTCGCGTAAATCTCGCATAAATTTCCTCACAATCCGAATACAATCTCAAAGCGAAATTCGACTGGCGATTCTCAGTGCCGGCGTTGCGCGTTCGAGTACGCAAAAACAAATATATATCTGTGTATTTATATATACGTATATTATATATGTGGAAAATAGTGCGGCCCTCTCCCCCTTCACTGTCTTTGCTCGTAGAGACAGATTTTATGTCGAGTTGTTTGATCTCCAGTGATTTTAACCGCACTATACGCGCATGATAACACCTAAAAGCAAGGAACAAGGCTCTAATATAAGTCTGTCGTTAAATCTCTCACTTCTTCCTCTTCTTCTTCTTCTTTTTTTTTCTCGATTACTACACAGGCATGAAAGTCGGACCCATACACCAGCTTGTTAAGATATCTACGATATGACGATACGACGACAACGTTAAATAGGTACAGACTTACAGACTGCGATTTTACAACGAGTGCGATAGGCTGCTGCCGAAACTATAATACAACGACAAATACATAGACAAGCGTCGTCCAATACCTTCCTAATGAAGAAATTTCTCGGTGATTTTTCTTTTCTTTTTTTTTTCTTTCTTTTTTTTCTGAGTAACCGATCGAACGCCTAGTTTCCCCGTATCTCTCATTGCTCTTTTTTACGCGCGGTCGATTTCGATATTCGCCAATGTCCTTCTTGGTAGACGGATTTTTCAACGAGACAAAAACCGACCGATCGATCGATCCTATGAATTTGTCGAATGCAGGGAAGGTTTTGCACTTTTTTTTCATTGCTTATTGTCTGTTCACAATAGCAGCGGCCGACGAATAGTTCGCTAATTTGCGTCATCCTTTCCTCTCTTTCCTCTTCGCCTTTCATTTTTTTTTCTTTTTTTTTTTTTTCTATAACACATTCAATGCGGAAGCATCGTTGCAGGCGATGGCAACCGAATAACGCACGACGAATACTTGCAGCTCAATTTGATTCACGTGTTTTTACTTTTCACAAGACTGTTCACTGTGCTTTTTTTGCAAAAATTAAAAATCGTCAGAAATTGTCAAAAACTCATCTATGAAATTAATTAACATTTTACATCCTCAAGATTATAAGGATGAATTTAATATTATTTTAATTCCGTTTTATTTCCGCTTGCCTTTAGCAACTTGTCGTCTCACATGTGTCACTAGCAGTCGAGTAATTTCATCCGTGCTTCCCGTGAAATAAAATACAATATAGTTAATTTATGCTATGAAACAACTATATAGTTTCGTTATATCTGGATCAACGAATTATTTAACTGTAGCTCTGTAAGGCTCTGCAGAAAATTTCCCCGAATGAGTACAAGAGTGCAGAAAAAGAAATCCTCTCGCGTCATATGATCTCCGTTCTCAAAAAAGTGATTAGGAAAATTTGCGATCCGTTTTCTCAATTCGCTCATCTCTTTACAGAACTTTTTTCCTCCTGTGAGAATCGACAGTGCCAACGACTGTGCGAATTGTACCGTACCTGCCGCGACGCCCAAGTAGCAGCCAAATTTCGATATCACGATTCGTTTGTCAGGTATGTGGTAGTAGTTGTACGTTAACAGTTGCGGCGCGATCGGTGCGATCGCGTTATTTCGCGTAATTTCATTGCCGGAAGCACGTGGCCGCGTGTGATCGACGAGGCTCGTAGCGTATAGCGTATCCGCGCGGTGCGTTTTACACAGATTCTCTCCTTACGATTCTCGCTTCGATTAACAACACAGTCACGTTGATTGCATCTGCAATTCGTACGATTAAGCCTGCTCGGCCGCCGGCCGAGTAGTCGATATGAGTCGGGCTGAATAGAGTTACACACGAGAGACTTACACGAATAATTATCGCGAATGTCGTACATACTTTTTCGTAGTTTCCGATCGGAAAACGAGAGTGCCGTTGCGCTCGAGTCGTTTCTCGCTGTTTCTCTCGAAAGCCGGTGGACTCGTATTGTGCTATTGAGAAGGTAACTCGCGTTATTACGGGTTAAACTCTTGCGTTGGAGTCCGGGATCTGAATTCGTCGTAACCCACGCATCGCGCAATATCAATTGTGCGTGTTTTAGTCCTTTCAACATTGATGATTTAAGTATAACGTGTCATTTCTATTAACGCTGTACCTACAGTGTAGGTAACTTTTCAGATTATTTCAACAAATGCAAATAAGAAATATATATAATCAGACTGGTGGATAGGAGAATATCTTTTCTTTTCAATAATTTTCTCAGGAGATAAACGCGTTCTAAAGCTTCTTGAGAAAAAAGTATTACAAATGTGACTTGATATTCTTGATAACAGAAAAGAGGTTATTTAATGTATAAATATGTGTTTTAAGGCCGATTTGCTCCAAGAACGAGATTCTCCACGATCGAAGGAATTCTTATTTCCAAGCCGTCGAGAGAGTTGGGCTTTAATACATCATTACACCTAATTTATCGCGCAACACGCATTAAGAGGGCGAGCCGTTGATATGTTATCTTCTTCTAATAGAAGATATGTTATCGTCGTGTTGACTGCACGTCGCTAATTCACATTGCTCAAGCGTGCACGGTTGCCCATTAAATTCCAACGCAAGAGATTAACGACGTGTAACCGCGTGTTGTAGATACAACTTATCCTTCTCGCGCGCAAATTTCAGAGAAAAGTCGGATTTTTGGTGGCTCTTTTTTTCTAAATGGAACTTTATGTTCAACCGTCAAATGATCCTTCACATCGGTTATTTTTCCGGGAAGAGCGTAGAACACTCGTGATGATAAATTTTGTCACGTAACATATGTGGACAAAAATAAGCTCTCTCCTCTTCGAGCTCAATCGTTGAAACAATTATAACCGCGAATGTTCACACATACATACCCACACACACACACACATACACACACACACGTGCGCGTACACACATACCATACGCATATACAGACATACGCACGCGTAGATATTGCGCAGGAGAGTAAATTTTGAAATGTGAGAAGATCCACCGAGATCCGCAGAGAGTCGGTGGTGCAACATCCTTCAAGGTATCTCAGCGGCGACAACGTTCGATTCGTTCGTTAGTTTTACTATATTTACACACAAGGGAACGAGATTGGTGAAATATACTGTGCGATATAGCTATGCCATATAGTACAACATCGAATCACGAGTAGTGGAGAATGCTGTTACTGTTATTGTTATTCTTACGTAATGAGAGATAATAATAACGTCACATGTAAAACTAATAACAATGGCACAACGGTGCCGTAAAATATGCAAACGGCAGAAAGAGACGCAAGATAAACGCGAAGAACGAATAGAACAAAACTCGATTTTATCGGACGAAAAATAGAGTCCTAATTCGCGCGGCTCGAAAAATCGTCACAATTTCGGCTCGTTCGCTTTTCTCACATTACTTGGTTTCTCTCTTTTCCCTCTTATCACTTCGTCCTTTCTCTCGTTGTCGTACTTTCCCTCGCTCTCCTCTCTCCCTTTAGATATCCTTACGACATTCTTAAATATTTATATATGTATATCGACAGGACGAGCGTTGGCAAGGAATTCGCGAATCGAATTGACTCGCGCTTCGTACCGGGAGTAGGTGCGTAAAAAGACTTTTACGGCCCTGTGTGTTTCGGAATCCGCAGTGGAAAGCTGTAGTCTAATCCCACAAAATAAACCGCAATCGGGCGCTCGTTGCTTCTAACTCTTTCCCGTGCGCACTTATCACGGACCCCTTTTGTATTATTGTATTATTTGTTCAATTATACAAGAACAAGAACCGGACACCCTTGATCAACAAAAAACTCCAAACTCTGCGTGTAATTAATCCTCGATCACACAACTGTGCGCTCTTGGTAACACCGTATATATATTCACACAAGCAAACGCGCTATAATCACGTACGTCTCTTACGTATAATTACTACTAGTTTGGATCATCGACTCGGCGAATACCTCCCGCGAAAGTAGCCTAGTAGCTTAGGATCTCAACAAGTGTTTATACCCGGCTTGCCTATACGTACAAGGTACACTCGGTTGTACACACGAACAGCAGCGAGATGCGCCGTCTGCAATAAATACACGACAATTCTTTTTCCTCTTTTTCTTTTTTTTTTTTTATCTTTTTGCGCGTTTTCCGAGCAATCACATTTATACGAAGATACATCACACAGATAGAATGACACGGATAGACGGATCGCGTACGTTCGTGCGCGAGTAACGATACACACACACACATATATATAATGTATATATAAGCTACGCTATTCTCTATATTGCTTCTACGAACGTTCTATTTTCTTCGGGGTCCGGTCGCGCGCGATTTTCATGCTCCTTCTCATTCCCGAAGCTGTGTAGCTCAGTAACAAATAAATCATCACTACTAGAGTTTCCCGCGGCGAATCCTCATAGAGTTTATCATATGATTCGCAAATCCCGCGAACGCTTCGTGCATCCCGTCTTCTATTTGCCTCTCTTTCTCTCTCTCTCTCTCTCTCTCTCTCTCTCCCCCTCCCTCTCCTTCTCCTTCTCTTTCCTTTTCTTAACATAGGCTTAGATACTATTCTCCGTCGCGACAAATTTCACGACGTTCTCCGTAAATTCTTCTGAGAGTGTGCGAAAAATCGGGGAGAAACGAAAATTTTAACGTCGAAGAATTTAGTCCGGAGAGACGCCGGAATTTGCATTCGCGTGCGTAAGCTCGGACCGTTTTGTTTTCACGGCTTACTTTTCCTCCGCCCTCTCTCACTCTCTCTCTCTCTCTCTCTCTCTCTCCCTTTCTTTATTCTCACCTGCGACGATGAGATCTCGCGAATTCTCGGTAAATCGCACGCGCCAGAGCGCCTCGCGTGAAAAAAGTCGCGTCGTTTCGCGACGAAAGAGCGAATGTGCGGTTGCCGTATGCAAAACTTGCGAGAAACTCTTCATGGCACCCGATTGTCGCCGGTCTTCCTGCAGCCATTCAGGGAGACCAAATCGGGCGGTTCTCTTAATGAGACTAAATTTATCGTAAAATTTCGTCGTCACGCCATGAGGAACGCGCCGGGCGTTCTCGTGCGGTTTACCGAGCGCGAGCGATTACCGTCGCGACTCGTCTTCGTTCCTCGTCCTTGCACGTCGATATAATTCTTATCTCTATATTCTTTGGAACAATCGTATATTATTTATAATATTACGTATAATCTTCCGATGCTGTAATTTCTTCGCGCGTAGAGTCATGTCTTCGGTATGTTTTCTTGCATCTGTTATCTTAGATATATCTTTTTGTTTTCTTTTTTTTTTCTTTTTCCTTGTGTTTCTCCTCTTTTTTTTTTTTATACGATGACCCTTACGGTATCCTGTGAGGGCTTTTCGGGCGTTCCGAATGCAAAGGGCGAACTCGACTTTGATTTGCCTCGGTCGATTTCGCTCTTTATATCCGAAACGCGTGACACTTACGGGAACCTAAAAGCTTCTTGCGTTGTAATAATTAGTAACTGCCGCGTCGTATTTGGCCTCCTCCTCTATTATGTATTCTCGAAACACGATTTAATATGCGGATATATATCTATCTATCGCACGCTACGATATAACGAGATTGTTTCCTTCTGCTTTCTCTCGCGACTACCTAGAGTCGCTCGGGCGTTTTCATCTATCGATTATTTGTCTATTACATACAATACACGAACATACACTCCATATTATATCCAGCTTGGATTTATCCAGAAGCATTCGAGAACGTGAGAGATCTGTCGAGTCTGCCTTCGAACGTTTACAGAGAGCGCGACTTGTGTGCTTACAGAATATATTATTTTTTTTTTTTATAAACACCAAGCGTGTTGTGCGACTTCTTCGAATCTGTTTATATGAGAGGGTCGTTCGCATTTTCCTCACCGGTGGTGACGACAGACTATTTGTGAAAACGTTACTCGATTACAAATGATTTTACATTTACATCATCTTTATCGCATTTTTCCAAACGTTATCAAGTGCGTGTCAACGGTTGTGCTTATTGTCGATGTTTGTAGCTCCTTATTATTTATGAAATTAAAAGTACAAGTATATTCGTATATCGACATAAAGTAAGAGAGAAAATAAAATGAAGTTGTCGTAATTCTAATAGTAATAAAAGTAAAAGTAAAATTAGAATTATAGAAAATGTTGAGAATACTCTCTTCTAACAATATTATAGAAATTACAAAAAAAAATATATATATATATAAAGAATAATAGCATATAGCGAATTATTTTTTAATTACGTGTTGAATAAAAAGGAGGAATGAAACAGGAATGTATCGAAAACGTTTAAGATTACTGTTCATTGGTCCTCTTCCTCGTTCTGGTACGTGACGTATCGTACGGACGATTTTTCACCGATTATTAACGACTGTAATTCAACATATTTCATAATTAGCGACAAATTTTCTCTGAAATATAAATATTAAGAAATTTACAATATTACACGGAGAAAAAGCTTTTCTGGTACCAGTATTCTAATTTTATCTGATTTGCTTCGTTCATTTGAAACAGTATAATCTTGTACGAAACATCATTTTCATTTTTCTGCACTGAGCAATATTTTGAAAAATTTATCAATTCTAGTTGCTGCTTCAAAAATTAGTTTGGGCTACTACAATGATTAGATTTCTTCGGATTCAACAAAATTTATTAAGAAAAAATATTTTATACAAGTAGACTTTACCGTTTTCTCTTCTTTGGTCGGCGGTGCTTTTAAGAAGTACATGAGAGGCGCATAAATGAAGTTTAATATGGCTATCCCGAAAAGCATCCATTCGAATCCAATACTGTTGACCAAAGTTCCGCTCAATGCAGGACCTACAAGAGCGATATTTTGTTGAATAACACACAGTAACACAGCACGTACACGATGCAATAGAATATGCATTTTGAGCAGATGTTGAATAATTTATATATAATTGGCAGAGATTTTAAATGAGGAGATTATAACAAACAGGGCAATTACACAAATATGTCCTTGTCATGTATCATATAAATATTTATGCAGAATATAGCAATTATGATTGACTATATGATGATAGTAAAATCCACAGGATTCCGGAAGCGTCGGTCGTTCGGTGGTTGGGAGATTAGCCTTCTACGAGAACAGCCAGGATTCTCGATCCTCGACCGACGCGATTTGATTTTTTGTACTTTTTTAATAGTACTCTTTTTAATTTTTAAACACCAATGTGTCTCTCATGAGATGTCCTTGTAACAATGATTACAAGGTGCATACCCTTTATTATCATTATTATGCAGAAGAATAAATGCTAGAGAGAATAATCTGTTACTGGTAATACAACTGGAGAGAATAACTCTATGTCACAGGAATATTTGAAAATATCGAGCGTAGATTTTGCGAACGAGACTTTGCTTTCGAAAAACTTAAATTAAAAGTTCGTAGCAAATTACAGTGATGCTTTCTCCTCGTTTCTAGCTTGCGTAATTTAGCATATGTATAATTGCGTAGTTCGGCATATGTATAAGAGAAATTTTCTTTTTATTTTTATATATTATTGTTGAATACAATTTGATTGTATACATCACGTACCTATAGCAAAGCCTAGACAAAATGCTACGTCGCCGATGGCATAAACGCTTCCGTAGACGGCGGTATGTCTTATGTCCACTAGATAACCGAGCTCAGGCATCATCGAACTGTCCACCATACCAATAGCAAATCCTAAACCTGCATTTGGTATAATCAAGTGGCCGATACTCCTCGCCAGCGGAATCTACGAAAAAAATTGTTTCATGACGTGAAATCAAATGAATGAAGGCTACTTCTCATTTTTATAGCCGCAGATTTGTTACAAAGTTGAGATTAATAAATCGTATCTCGTCAAAACGAACGCATCTGTAATTTAGTCACAGATAGTTACAGATTGTTATATAATACGACGAGGCAAACATTCAAGCGGAAACACATAAGGTGTGTCGAAGACATCTACAGATATACATCAAAAAGAGATAAAGCATTGACCGCGGTGCATATTGCTTCACGGCCCCACGTTATCGTCAATTAATACGCGGCCAATCGATCGTGAAGCAATTTCTCCGGTGTACACCGCAGGAAGTGAGTACACAGGTGAGAGGAGAAGTCGATTATTTCAACATGATAAATGTAGCGTACTTACGCACATCAAGCAGAGGCCAATAACGACGAGTCCTATCAGCGACGCTAACCACCTGTAAGCACATAAGCGCACACCGTGAAAGATATATGAGAGCGAGTATATTTTTTTTTTACAAAAAGATAAGTTCTCGCCCGAACAGGGACTCGAACCCTGGACCCTCAGATTAAAAGTCTGATGCTCTACCGACTGAGCTATCCGGGCGATATGACATCCTGGTCCTACCAGTCCTACCACCATTATAGTGATTCTATGTTAGAGATTACTCGAATTACGGCACACCCTGTATGTGTGTGTTTACTAGAGGCTAGAGGCTGGCCCACCTGCCCATTTTATGTCCCAACGGTCCGAAAAGGTTTGTGCCGATCAGGTAGCTTATGCTCGCAGGAAGAAAAGTGACTCCTTGTTTCCAACGGTCCGCGCCCATTGTGTCCATCATCCAAATCGGCAGACTCGGTTCCAACATAGCGATACCCATATTCGCAAACGTGATCGCGCCTGGAACATTAAAAAGCAGAATGCTAAATACAAATCTCGTTTGAGACACGTTTCGGCCGTGTCTTATATCACTGTCTACCCCGAAATTGTAAATTTCGAGCGGGTTAAATGCAAGGACAAAATACGTCCTACGTAACTCGCTCGAAATTCACGATATTTTGAGGTCGCAGTTCTCATCATTGTTTCTCATACCGGCGGCTATAACGATATAGGGATCGGTGATGAGGGATTTCAACGATGGCGGTTCCGCTTCCGTATATACGACCGACGGTTGAAGCATCAGGAGCTGCAATACTTGAAGATTTTACGAGAAGTTATTAAGTTGTGTCAGGCGAAACCAAATCTCAAACTATGATCTTCGTTCTTAAGCGACAATACGATTCTATCTCGAAGAGAGAACGTGAATAATTATCACGCTTCGTTCATTCGGTGTGTCGCGAGTTTACACTTACATCCATCACCGAGAGCTAACGCGGAAAGGACTAAAAATGGGGCAGATTTTCCAACAAATTGGTACATAACTCCGCCAAACGGAGGACCGATGAGTACACCAAGAGCCAAGCCACCTAATGCGATGCCCATAGCATTACCGCGTTCTTTATCGTCCTGATATCTCTCCGCCAACATGCCCATACCTGGAGATAAATGAAAACATTTTTAATCCCGGGAATTTTGACATGATTTTCAAGACTACTAGATTACAGAAAATAGACGAAGCAGTGACTTTCGTATTGACAATAGAAGAAAAATAGTACACCTTTTTATCACTTATATCATTATTCATTCTAATTTTTCATATTAGTTCATAAATGTATATTCACCACACTTATCCTTGAATTTCTCCTACGTTCTCAACAGCATCGGTGGTTCAGTGGTAGAATGCTCGCCTGCCACGCGGGCGGCCCGGGTTCGATTCCCGGCCGATGCAGTTTTTTTTTAATTTTGTTTATTTATAGAAAATTAATTATATAAACAAAGTGACGGTAATCTTTTATTTTGTCCATTTGCAATACAACAGAACAATTTTATGCATGTGGGCATTTATTTAGGATATAAATAAAAAAAACTGCTGACAAAGCAGTTTGTTAAAAATAAAATTTTGATAAGTTTAACAAATAAGAGGGCAGAACAAAAAATAAAGCTGCATCGGCCGGGAATCGAACCCGGGCCGCCCGCGTGGCAGGCGAGCATTCTACCACTGAACCACCGATGCTTGTGGTAATACGTGGGAAATAGAGGTATGTGTTGTGTGGAAAATTTATAACAAATCCCTTAAACTTTTCGAAATAATGATTCTGAAGTCAATAGCGACGTTACTATAGTAAAAAGCTTATTATTGTCTAAAGAAGATAGATACATTTATTTGATGATACTTATTTTTATATGCGTTGAGAGACAATGTGTCTGCATCAATTTGATTAAAAAATGTTTCGAAGTAATTGATTAGATAATGTTGTCAGCGTCACAATACTTAAGTTAATACGAAGCAATATCGATATAATTACCGGAAACACTAGAACATGACGACCCGATACCTTGAAGAGCTCGTGCTAAAAAAAGTATACCGTAGCTTCGTCCGAAAGCGAAGATCAGCGTGGATAAGAACATAATGATGAATCCGGTAAACATAGGTATACTGTAACCAATCCTGAAAGCAAACACGTAGATCTTTACGTCATATATCTATGTATAATCATATAGCTATGGAAAGTAATCGACTGATGTTTTCATCAAGTCCCTGGTGATTTTATAGAAACATAAAAAAGTCAGTGATTCTAATAAAATTCTTACTTTAGTCACACTTTCTTATAAAATGCTTCGTCAATATTTTATGTTTTGATCAATAAGAATTACTTTGACCGACATGAGTCACTTCGTTTCCAATTTTATTTGAATTTAGGTGAATTTTTTTTTTACGCCAATCTGATACATTCGAGGACTGAAAAGTATCCTCGTATATTTGACAAATGAGAGGGCTTACTTGTGGGTCAACGGCCCAACTATAGGGTTAGCCAACAATTGGACAAAGGCCTTGGAAGCGAACATCATTCCCACTGCCACAGTTTCCTCCAGTAATTCCCGGTGTCTCTGCTCTTTTTTCTTTATTTCTGACAACGTGAGATTGGCCGTAGTAGTTTCTGAAATTAAAAATAACGAACATAGAGAACGTATTGTTGCGTGAGAAAGGTAGAAAAGAAAAAAAAGACTTGTCTCTCTCCGCAAACATTTCGTGTAAACGTATATAACTGCGACATGAATAGGTTAATACAATAGATCAATAACGAGGGATGCCTCACCTAAGTCTATTGCGGGGTTGTCTATCGTGGTGGGTTGTCGAAATATTAATCCGTTAGGAACTGATATGTTCGGGGCGCAGGGGCATTTTGGCGTCGTTGACATTGCCGTTTCTGTCGTTGTAGTTGTCGGTGAGACGGTAGTGGCGACTGTAGTTTGACGAGGTGCGCTTCCTTCCAGGTCTTTGTCCAGCGTTGCGTTGGGGTGTTTGATGTCATAGAGAAATTCCGGTATTATTGGGACTGTAAAAATCCAAGTAACGTGTGTGTGTAAATTGAAGAAGCGATCCGAGATTAATTTACTAGAGAATTTTTATTTCTGCCGCGGGGAAAAATTTTCGTTGAAACTAAATCTCCTATCCAGTCACTGTAAGTCGGACTTTCAATGATGGACGATAACACGCCATCTTATTTTGCATAATATCGTAGTAGGAGATGAATAATAAATTATTAATAAATTTAAGGATAGTATATTCTAATCATTCTAGAGTAAATTTGAAACACTCTTTACCAACAGGGGGTGTAACTCAGTGGTAGAGTGTCTGCTTCGCATGCTGAAAGTCCTGGGTTCAAATCCCAGCACCTCCAACCCTAATTTTTTTTTCTCGCCGCGATGCTTCCTCCAACGTCTTGAGAATTATCATCATTAAGACTCATACTTTCGCGATCTTAAATTCGATTGGCGAATTATTTATGAAAATACATACATACCATGGTATACGTTTTGACCCCGATAAAACCGTGGGAAACTCAAGTAATCGTTATGCTAAACGTTAAAAATGGCCGAATTTAGAGAATTTTATGAGGATTTATGAACTTTTTGTTTCGTGAGCATGTATAAAGTAGGACGCGCGTTTCACGAGAATTTATGGTAGCGTCCCACATATGTATGTATGTATTTGTGTGTGTGTGTATGTGTGTGTGTGTGTGTGTGTGTGTGTGTGTGTGTGTGTGGATTTTATTCATTTAGACCGATGCAGGTAACGATTGAAAGTGGATCTCTCGCGATTTGTTCGATAAGCGCGGGCGACGTTTGCGCGAGTTTGTACGTTACGATCACACGGGTCTACAGGATGCTGCATAAATGCATGACCACTTATCCGGATTGGCGGCGCGATACACGGAGGTCCATACGTTCCACCGAGATTCCGAGACCGGACTTGGCGCGATAAACGAACGTTTTCTGAATTAAACATAAGATCTCGCACGATCGCAGAGAGGTGGCGGCTGTCGATAGGATGCCGGCGGAATGGCGAGGGTGTTAAAAGCTGAGTTAACCGCGCGATAATACGGATTAAACGTCAAATGTCCGAGGTACGATAAAAGTCCCCGCGAAATACCATCTCTGTATTTTGCACGCGTCGATCGTTCGCGCGTTTCCTCGCGCGTTTCCTCGCGCGTTAACTTCGGGAAGTGAATAATCTGATTCGTTCGGTAAGTTGATCGAAACTGCGCAAAGGATCTTTCGTCCTGATGATGATTTAACTTCTAAAAGCCGTCGATCTTACGACCACACGTGACGGTCGAGAGAAAGTGATGAAGCTAATAGTTCTCGCTACTTGACCCACTGGAACTTAAAGTTGTAAGCCTAAAGAGGCAGCTCCGCGACTCGGCTGAAAAGGAATTGCCAGAGAACACGATATCTAACTTCAATCTAACGCTGTGTGATACAAATAGGAATAAGTAACAGTAATGAACATGCGTTGTCTCATTGTGGCTCAGATCGTGCAATTATTACGAAAAAAAACTATCGACAAATTCCTGTATAGAGAAGAAGGATTTGTTGAATTAATATGAAACAAACGCTTGAAGAAGACACAATTTTTTATTCCTCGCGAATTCGGTTTGTAAGAAATTTCTTTCGATCAAAAGGCGCTTGTTTCGTTTATCGTCACGTTGGTTCAACCTTCAACTTTTTCCATACGAGGTTGACGCGCCAGAACTCAGGAAGGAATATACCTGAGATATAAGAAATTATATTTATAATTTCAATATGAGAGAGAGAGAGAGAGAGAGAGAGAGAGAGAGAGAGAGAGAGAGAGAGAGAGAGAGAAATTATTGAAACTATTGTAATCAATACGCTTGCTGTGAAGCTGCGTTCGCCGCATTAAAATCAGCGAAGCAACAAGCCGACATTATCACCTTTATTGATCGTCAAGGTATGAACGCGACGGATGGCTAATTAATACTGCGCTTAGTTTTAATCAGTGCCGTGGCATTTGGCAAAGACAAGCACTTACCCACAGTCGTCAGCAGCATATTGTCCAGCAGCAGTGCGATGGCAACGATGATGAGGACCAGCCTACGGGATTCCCGGCATCGTTGCAACCAACCGCTCCATTCCCCGCCTCCCATCCTCGAATTTTATCCCACCGTTGATGTTCTACGACATAATCGACGAGACAATCGATCGGTTACTTCGTCTCGTTAAATTCGTGCGAAGTCGACATCGCGTGGACAAACATTTCGCGCGGTTGAGCACACACACGGATAAACACACACACACACACACACACACACACACTTACACACACGCACTCGCCATCGCGCCGCCTTTTTCATTGACGTCGTTTCCGCGGCAGAAATTACGACGGACAAACAGAAATTACGCGAAGCCACCCGTGGTGACTTCTTCGGTGAAAAGCTCCCTTTGCGAGGACGAAGAATCGGGTCGCGCTGCGTCAACACTTGACCGCGCGTGTTCGCGCACCACGAGGAGGCTCTCCTTGATCGGGTTTTCGTTAAACACCGACTAAACGTCGATCGCGACTAGAAGAGGAAAGCGTGTTCTTTAACCGAGACACCTCGTAAGTCCTAATTGCATTCTGCAGATGCTCAAAATGTCGAGAGACGCCCCGAGTGAACGTTTTGGTTCGTTAATTAAACGCGTGAAACGAATAACCAGAAATTGCCATGTGATGACGAGCTTTTAAATTTCCACTCGGGACACACGTGCGTAATTTATAAAGTAACTAATGACGCTTTTCGACGATCACACACACACACACACACAAAATTGCCGCGAGAGATAAAATGTCCTTTCTCCCCATTACTGTCGCATCTAAGAGTCACAAGCAACATTCTGGGATAGAACCGAGTCACTTCCGTTGGAAGAAATCTTGAATGGCGCGGAAATAGTCTGAACGTCGGCGAGGGCGCATCTGCCTTAACAGAAGGCAAAATCGCTCTCGCTGAAAACTGTCAATTGCGGAAAGTGGTCAGAATTACGATCCACTCTCCTTTGCAATTTCGCTTCCACTCCACTATCTTGCGCCGAATCATCTTTGACCGAAACAACGTCAGATTCCGTCGTATTCGTCTGCGTATTTTCCTAGACGCCATGCAAGTTCCAAAAGTGACGCCATTATCCGTGAATTTTACACGATAACACGATAACGAGTGACGTTATGACACATTTATTTCGGCAGTGTCGTCAGGGACATTAATATCAGCAATTTTGACTCTGATTCTCTCGCATGATTTTCTCTATTGGGACAGAAATATCTTTCTTATTGAGACGGCAGGGAGAGAGAAAGAGGGAGAAAGAATAAGAGAATTCTTCGGGTTAGAAGGGGAGGAAGATGCTGTAGACAAAATCTAATTTCCCCGAGTAATGCCAGCTTGCGCCGGATTAAGTACTCGTGGGAATACATATGTGACATTACTTTTACAAGATCGGCGAGTACTTGACATGATGTTAATGTTGAAAAAAAAGAGACAGTTGTTCCTGGCGGATCATGTTTCGTCCGAGAGAGGAACCTATCCGGGAAAGTTTAATAATATTATAAAACGCTGTGCGCGTAACAACGCTAGCGCAGAAAGTAATTTCTCGTGCTCGGGGGCGAAATTACTCCTTAGATTTCTATTTCTACCGTTCTCGCGATCCTTTTGACGCCGAGTCCTCAAACAGCCTCGGTAACGCGTGACAGCCGGACGATGGTATCGAGTGCAGTCTTAATTGCCAAGGTTTTTCAGAAAGGTCGCTTCCGTTTCGTCTCGCTGACGCTCGCTATCGACTCGGCGTTCGTTTAGCGCAATACAATTAACCGCATTAATTACAGGCTTTTAATGCCTCCACCACCCTCTGCCACTCGCCCGCTCGACGCTCGGTGTGCGCGCGCGCACGATGCCTGTTCCTCTTTTATTCGTAATAACTCGGTTACCCCACGCTTTTAGCCCACCTAATTTTCACGCTCGTCCTCTGAAAAGGCAAAGCATCAAAGGCTATTGCGACTTTCAGCACTGTCTCGCGCTCGCTATTGCTCTGCCCTATTTTTATTAAGGAGAGCTGAGCGCAAGGATCCGACGGAATCCCCGGGACGAATTCAAACGTTATTTTAGCGCGTCACATCTCCGTCGCGTACCTGGCTTAATTTATTAACGAAGTAGATGTGATTTAAGTAAAAGATTCAAGTACATATATTTGACTTCGATTTCCTGTTCGCGAGGGGCTCCTGGCGGGCGAAGTTTCAGAGGAAGACAGAGACGACGAATTTGCGTCCTCAAGTTAATTTCACGTGAGTTCTATTCTATAGATAGAAATTCCATTACTAAGCTAAATATATACCGTGTACGAAATGAAAATCACACATCAATCTCATGAAATTGATATGGTGCAATGGCCGCGACATCTTCGCCGAGAAAAGATTGTGTCCGGTCAACAGTATGTAAAAATTGTAGAGGCGACGTGCAATATTTGCAAAGTGGAGCACGCAATGACGAAACGGATAATCGCGCGTCTCACAGCGAGAGAAATTATCAGACGATAAGCCCGACGAGCGCACCCCTACGTCCGATTTCGACGAGACACGCATACGATAGAAAGGGAGAGAAAGAGCGAGAGAGCGAGAGAGCGAGAAAGCGAGAGAGAGAGAGCGAGAGAGCAAGAGAGCGAGAGAGAGAGCGAGAGAGCGAGAGAGAGAGAGAGAGAGAGAGAGAGAGAGAGAGAGAGAGAGAGAGAGCGAGAGAGAGAGAGAGAGAGAGAGAGAGAGAGAGAGAGAGAGAGAGAGAGAGAGAGAGAGAGAGAGGGAGAGAAAGAGAGCGAGAGGGAGAGAAAGAGAGCGAGGCGGTTGGTATCGCGAGATAAGAGACGTTTAAGGTCCGGTAAGAGAAGAGAGTACGAAGCCTACACGCACGCATTACGCGCGAGATGGCCACACGGCGATATACGTCTCCGCTGCTGACGAAGTCGAAGATTGATAGCATGGGAGGAGAAGGATGAGGCGCGCAGAAGGATGACGAGGAGGGGAAGGGGCAGAAGAGGGTATACGTACGCGAGGGGGATGGCGGCTAGGATAGGCGGATGGAGAATTGGTATGAAAGGAAAAGGAGCGTGAGCGGGGAAGCAATCAGCATTTTCCCTGAAAGCCAACTCCCCGGGGTCCGCGCATTATTCTCGGGAAAGACCGCTTCCACTCGTGCCACTTATAAGCTCCGCTACCTTCCGCCATGACTGACTCCCTTCCGACTCCCTCCCCCCTCGACCCCTCTTCTTCTTCTTCTTCTTCTTCTTCGTCCTTCTCTCGTGTTCTTCTGCTTCTTCTTCTCTTTCTCTTATCTTGCCGGTAATTACGACGAAGAATGACCGCAAGGCGATTCTGTTTGTGCCGGAGCTTTCGGTGCTCGATGCGTACTCGCCGGGATGTCGGACGTTTCGCGTCTCCGCAACTGGTTATTCCCTCCGGAAACGTCGATCGATCTCGAGCTACATCGCGTCGCGCTAAATATTGCGGTCCTCCGAAGACCTCTCTCTCTCTCTCTCTCTCCCTCGTGCGCGCGCGACCACGCGCTAATTTGTTATCCGTCCGCCTGTGATTGTCGATTCGCGTAGAAAGCGCGTCGAGGCACTCGAGGTGCACACCCAAGCGACTCGACTTGATCCCTCTTCGTCCCAGAACTGCGCGACTCTTTTAATCGGCCGTCTCATTCTCCCGTTGATTGCTCAAAAAGAAAAAAAGAAAAAGAGAGGAAAAGAGAAGAACATAATACGGAAAGAGACACTTGGGTTTCTTTACGATCGCATCCGCGCTATTTTTCCCTCGTAGCGCTGGAACAAGCTCAAAAGTGAACCGGATCGGGGTGCTCCGATCGCACGATCGAGATATTTATAGCGAATGTACACAGTGTATCTTTTTTAGCATCCCCTCTCGCCGACAGCGACACTCGCTCGACGCTGTGTTACAGCCAATAAACTCGACTCGCTGGCGCGTAATTACGCAACGACGAGCTTTGAATTTCGGAGACCGACTGAAGCGCGATGTAAAGCCTACAGGATATGGGTGCCGGCGACTCGAGCTCGCGAAGCTCTGGAGAGGCATTGACAAGCGAGTTCACGAGTCATTGAAAGGGTTTGACAGGGTGATCGTTTTGCGATTGACAGCTCCTCGGTAACGCCGCTTGATGAAGTGGCTCGCGGATCCGCCGACTCATCGACGCTCGTTATGTCAAGCGGCACCGCGCAGCGGTGTGATGATATGCGCGCGCGTGTGTGTACACACATGCACACACACACACACACACACACACACACATATACGGGAGTTATGAGATTACGCTCGTATCGCCTACACGAAATCAACTGGCCAAAGTTTTGTCGTTTGAGCTAATAGAAAAGCCGTGTCGCGCCGTCAGCGAGCGAAATTTATTGTAAAACGTGACCACTCCGCGTAGCCGGCCGTTTCCGCGCTCTCGCGGCCTCGCGATCGTCAGGATTTTTCATATAATGACGAAAATAGAAAGTGCTGCCGATCCTGCCGCCCCCTCCCCCCTCCCCCTCTCTTTTTCTCCCGAACGCAGTAATACGCTCCGAAATTGAGTTTACTCTACTGCGAACAGTTTAAAAGTAAAACAGGCGATTGAGTCTCTCATATAGACGAGTTTCGGTGCGCGAGGTGTCGATAGAAATTATTTTTTGCTACGCGTAATTAACATTTTAATTACGTAATTAAAATTACGTAATTAAAAGCGAAAATTGACAGGAGTGTTGCTTCCGTAGAGTAGTAATTAGCGTAATAATCGTTATATCCGATTTAATTATTCGGTGGATAGCTCGTTCGGGCAAATTTCCGCGTTATTGTTGAAAAAACATTGCCCGAAACAATCTGTGCGCGCAGAAGTGAAAATTATTTGAATTAATACTGAGGACTGATATATATTCCCTTCTCTCTCCCTCTCTCTCTCCCTGAATTTAACAAATTTGATATTATGAATAGAAATTTCTACATAATGCTCGCACGCTTTTTTAATTATCGCGTTTCGCTAGTTGTGATTGAGCATTCGACTACGTTATTTGATCCTAATTACGGACATTAGGTTGATTCTCGTACAATACGTACAATAGCGAAGGTATAGGCAAGGCGATGACGGGAGGAATGGGAGGGAAGT